TGCTATTTTTGAATAGGCCTTTTGTTACTCATTCGGGTTTCATAAGGTGTCATGTGGTGCGTTAAATTAGTAACTTCGAGGGAGGACTTGAGACAATAGCTTAATTTGGTTGGTCGGTTTGGTTTGATTGTATTTCGCGGGACCTTCAAGAGCGGAAAGGCGCAGCGTAGAAGAACAAATTTAAACTCACGCACTGAGATGGTGAATGTGGGTGTGCTTTGTTGCTGTACAAAGGCTAATTAAGAAGGTAGCAGAACTGGATACTTTTGAATTTAAGCGGCCTTACCACACAAGTGCCTACTTTTTTTCCAACAAAACTTAATTTTAAATATAAAAAGCAGTGTCCAAGATTATGAAAAATAAATGAGGTCAGTTTTATGCAGTCAAAGTTGCTTGTGTGTACAACATGTGGAATTACGGTGTATTATTACACAAAAAGGAGTTGTGTAGAGTCAACCGCTTTGATATTAACCTTAGTCCTTACTAGTGCAACTAGCATTTAACGTTAATTAACCCACTCTAAATAACTTCATGGATACTTGCTTGCCAGTCCATTGTTAAATTCTTCTCACCCATTTTGACCTTATCTAAGAATGATTTACACTCAATCACAGCTTGGCAGTTGCTGCATTGACAGTTGAACGGAGTACACGTGATTTGAATTCACTCACTAAAATGCATGGCAATTTAAACAAGGGGGCGTTGTCGTAAAGTTCGCAGACAAGAGTTTCAGTTAAAACTCAGTATGAAATGCCCGTTTCAAATTTTCGGTAATGAACCTAATTTTTGCGATTAATGAACAAATTTACTGAAACAGCTTAACACAAATGTAAAAGGGAAAAATTTTCTCATGTTATTAGGAATTGGGCCATTTTCGGCCTTCCGTGCAGAGATTACGTCAAAACAGTGGTAACTCTTCTTCATGGTGCCTGAAAAAAAATTAAAAAAATTGCGGATTAGGGGAATGAATTTTTGCCTCATCAGTTCATGCCAAAGCCATATTTAATCAGAAAATTAAAAATGTCAGATCAACGGTGCGCTTGTGGACATTAAGTTAAAAATTCTTTAATTATCTGTTTACTAAGGTGATTAAAACGATATTTAGTACTGTCGTAGGGTTGGGGAGAAATATGTAAACACTGACGAAATCCTAAGTCACGGTGAGCCATCTTGGGGAGTGATAGATCCCTAACACTTTGAAATGTGGCTGGGATCATTTTAGAGACGTCTAACCAGCCCCTGGTAAAAGTTCCTGTCCGTGCAATATCAACCTTTTAAGCTAATTAATTAAATCTGTGTGCTTAAGTATCGAAATAACGATATGAATTTGATGGCAATTAGGTGTGGTTAGTCCTTTATTTGCTTGAGTTCGTAAAATTTAATCAAGCAAGGGGATCCTAAAGTTAATTTCGTTCAGATTCCAAGGAAGAGTCAGGATCCTAACACATTTGAGAATTCGTCCGAAATTTGGAGGAGAAATGACCCTAAATCAAATTATTTGCCGTCCTTTAAAGGGCAATATGCCAGGAAATTTTATCTTTTCTTTCTTCATCCAAATAAATTCTTTGGTAGTTGCAAATTTATCCTTCCCCTTTGCAGTAAAAATAGAGCAGGACGCAGAGGGAAATAGAAGCATCTCCCGTAATTATAGGCCTGTGCTTGCTTTATTCAGATTATCTTTCTTAAGAAATCACCCAACAATTACCACTGGTATTTCTTGTGATTTCCTCCCTTGAAACCTCTGATAGGCTTGTAGCGGCTTCGTCAACGCTACCTTACAACCCTGCTAGTTGACAGTCCGCAACACAAAGACTAAAATTCACAATAAAGGGACCATGTCTACTTGCATTACGGCTTTTTCTTAGTTATTTCCTTTCAAAAGTTGTTACAAAACAAGACGGACAGCCAAATATGTTTAATTTTGAATTTTGTAGTACAGGGGACATATTTGGCTTGGGCCACAGCTCATAAATCGACACGTTATCAGCGGGTTCATTGCTTTTTCGCAGGTTCATAAATATTTATTATATGCATCATTTGTGATCTATAAAAATTTGATCGATGCTGTTTGCTGCTGGTTATTAAATTGCCTGACAAACAAAGTAATGGTGGGACTCTCGTAAACACCAGCGTCGCCATGACTACCCGATTAATATTTGGCTGCCCTTTGTGTGTGAACAATTATAAATGAGACAAAGTGCTCCTTGTATAATTTTGTTTATTTACAGATATTTTCCTTAATGCATCATTTTAGGTGGGACTTCGGCGGTGCCAAAGTTTGTAGCGATTGGTTGTGGCTGCAGTTTAACTGCGTTCATAATTGGTGTCCTGCGGTTACGGTTGGAGAAGGTTTCTCGACACAAACACTGTCGAATGGCGTATATTGCCCTTCTTAGCTCTGGATGTAAGCCATTTTGCTTATTATTTAGACATTTTAATTATTCCCACCAAATATTTCGTTATATTAGTGAAAACAAATATACAATAGATTTCAAAGTGAATTTTTACAAGTTAATAATGATGTCCGAAAAAACTAAAAAAGGCCTAAAATGATGAATAACAAGCTCAAGATAATTTGGTGTCACCTGATTTTCAACTGCAAATGCACCTTCCGTTCTCTAGCAAACTGAAATCAGCTTTAAAAGGCATCCTTACGGCGATAAATATCTGCGATATCTAAAATCACTACCAGTACTAAAACATTTTTGCAAGGCTTTGAAAAACAAAACGACATTATTGGTTTTGCCCTAATAGTACAACAGTTAGCCGTGATGAATTTGAAACCAATGCTTTCCTGGGACCGAACATGGAATGCGGAACACTTGATCCCGATTAAACGATCCGTCTGCTCTCGATTTAAATACTGCGACAGGTAGAAAAGAGACTAATGTCGAGACAAGTGACACGACCAACTTCTGTGGCGTGTATCTGAACTTTATCAGGATTTTAAATTTTCTTTTTCGGGCCTCTAACACCTGTGCGTTCTATGTAGTTGTGATCTGTTTACAAGGAAATACATTTGCGTCATTTGTGTTCGCTATTTTTTAAAAGTATTTGTAGCAAGTGTTTGGCGTTATGTTGGATTAAAATAAAATCGCACTTTTTTACCTTGATGCGTACCGTTGATAAGTGCCATCTGATATTTTTAATGGTAAAACACGTTTGACAGTGGAGATTCCCGTAGCTCAAGTTTAAAATCTACAAGTAAAAAGACTAGAACGAATTTTATTTCCATATTTAACGTTAATAACTATGCGAAATGTTTCCATTAGTGGCCTTGAGAACTTAGACACACGATATTGTGGGTTTTTTTCTTGTCTAAGCGGCAAGATTTTGAATGTAAATGTGGACGGTGTTTTTTTGTCATTAGCATAATCAAAATTAATGTTGTTGTTTAATCCTGAGGACGCCTTAGTAGATAGACGGAGGTTAACATAGATGTTCATTTTCTACTAAAGCAAGGCATTGAAGATTTGCAGATGCCTGATTAATGATACACGCTTTTATTTGGCAATCACTTCTACAAAATGCATTTCATGTATTCTACAAAAAAACGCAAACCGTAGGTGCGTAAGTAAGCTGTTTAAGCTAATAGCAGATAGCTGTCTTTATGACTAACTGTGGAGACAACGATGAAGATTTGGGGAAGCCTTCATCCATCACATTATCAAAATGATTGCCTTTGTATGTCCCTGGACCACAATGATTGTCTTCACGTCATCAAACTGAGGCAAAAAAGAACAATTGGTTCAGTTTAAGCTGTTAGACGTGTCAACGTCTTACTTTCCTTCATAAAAAGGCAAACATTAAGCACTTATTTAAAGATGTTTCAATGATTTCCTCGCGAGATTTTGTCTCACCGTTAGATGAAACACTTGACCATCAGTAGATTTGATTTTTTTAAGTAACCAACTACTCTACGCCCTTCTACCTTACAGTCTAGCTGACTATACATATAAAACTTTTATATCGGCTGTTTACGACCCATTTACTGTTGGTCATAAACTTGATGATAGTGGTTGAATAAAAGTAGTAGGTAATGCAATGCTGGTAGATAAAAGCTCTATTTTACGAAAAGTTTTGTGAAATTTTGATTAACTTCTTTTTGCTGTTACAATGGTAAATGCGCACGTTAAAAAATCTCCATATTTTGAGCCATTAATTATCTAAGAATGAAATTTTACACACAGGTTTACAAAACATACCTCATCTACCGATTTTTTGATATTTAAAACAAGTGCGAAATTCAAGCAGGCTTCAAAAATTGCATTCGTTTTAACCCGCATCTATCTTAAAACCAAATGTTGGAAACTCAAGAGCAATCTTAGCAAGGTTAGCAAACCTATTTAAAAGTAATCGGATTTTTTCATTTTCTTGCTATCTTGCAAACTTGTCAGTAAAGCAGTCTGATTTCTGGGCAAAACTGTAATGAATGTTCGTTATTTTCTTAAATAGTATTTAATTGCTTTTAAATTCTTGCCAAGTTTGGCAAACAAAGGACGTTGTTTCTTCTAAGGAAGGTAGCTCTTCTGTGCTTCAAAGTTGATTTTCAGAAAATGAAGTTAATCGCATCGATTTTGCTTCGTGAAAACGAATTGATAAACCAATACAAAAATTTACTTTCACATTTTCGTGGACCGTGTACCACGAGAGTTGTCCTTAAAACACTGTTAACGAGCAACCGGAACTCCGCTGCCATTGTGATCGCACGGTCAGCGGTACATGCTTTGGACATCATGAAGTACTCACGTGGGAGGGGAGAAGCACTTTGGATCCAAATCAAATCATCCAGTAATTGCAAAAATTGTTATTGGGCTCATTTTCCCTTGAAACTGGCCTTTTATGGTAGCAAGATATGTGATTTTTGTTGGTAATTTAGAATGTTTCTAGTCATTCTCACAAGAAGGTCCGGTTAATAAAAAAGTTGTGTAATTCTCTCTCCACAAATGCAACATTTGGATTATATCCGAGTGCAAACTTGTATTCTCTCCCGTGTAGCAATGTCAATGCTAATTGCACTTGTCATCTGGGGTGATATGGCGATCCACATGTCATCAGATGTTATCGAACAACGACGAAAAGGAATTCTGAGAAATTACTTTCGACGCTTAAAAGCAAACATCTACGAAAACCGAACAGCCCTAGCCCATGTGATCGTGGAGCACATTGAAGCCCCACGCGGCCACCTTACTGACACCTCGCTGAAGGAAGCCTTTCAACACCTCTACTACTCATGGCCTTTTGGAGTCGCTATTATGGCCGAGATCCTGCTCTTCATGGCAACTGTGCTCTATCTCACGCGAAAGGACTTCAAAGTGGCGACACAACAGTTTTCCGTTTAATTTTAAATCTCGGCATTCAGAAAATGTATCACAAAATGCTTTGTACTTGCCGGCTTAGGGATATACATTTCATATTTATTTCGTTCTTAACTACAATATATTTTTGACTCATTTGTGGTTACAATAGACAAAATAACAATTTTAGAACAACAAAGAAAGCTTGTTTGCAACACTAAGGGAGAATCTGCTGTCCCATATCAATATAGCAGATCCGTATCCTTTACATTTCCTTTTTGTCAATAAAAAACCAAAATACTGACTCAGAAGCTTTGAAATGGCATTTGTCTAAGTATCAATTTGCAAGGTTCGCTGATTCTTCAATTATTTGAATTTATAGTCAACAAAACTGCTTCATTTTGTATTGAAGCTAAAACATACCTAGCGCTTAATAAAATTTAGTCATTATAAGGTAGGAGGTTTGATTTGCTTGTAAATTTTACGATAAACTATGGACAAGGTCTCAGCCTACGACGATTATGGCCGTCACCACCCCTACGAGTGATGGAAAACATTAAGGTCGCAAGTACAATAATGGCTAAAAACCAAGGTCATTTCAAACGAAAAACGTGTCCGCTTTGATTTAGAAAAAAGGATTTAATGCTGAAATTAGACAATTAAATTCAGTTCTTTTGTTCCACTTTTGTTTAAATCATCGGAGAACGCGCATCTCCCAAAATGGGCTAATGGCATCAATTTAAATTAACTTATTTGAAAAAAAAGGCGGTATCTGTTTATTTTAATTGTTGTCTGACTCTTATTAACCCTATGCTAACAGACAGTCTTCGGACGCTAGTATTCTTTGCTGTTTCACCAATTGTAGCAAAGGCTAGATATTTAAGCACAGTTATGACCCTACTATTTCCGCACCATATTAATAATTGGTGCTCGTTTAAGTGTTAGGCTATCGAGTTTTCATTGAAAAATAATCTGTCACCCTTTTGTTTATAACTAGAATTTAGTTGTAACTTTTATGGTAACAACTTCCAATGTCTTGATTTACGAATATGCACATTATTGACTTCAGATCAGGTAGTTAGGGACGTTTGTTAACTAAAATTTTAACATTGTCAACAAAAAAGGGAAACAAACACAATTTTTGAGCAGTTTACTATATCAGGTAAGCTAGACAATCTTATTTACACTGGAGCATTTACCTTGAGTTGCAAAGGGCTTAGGTTAAAAAAACATATGATAAACTAGGAACGCTTTGCTTATGAAAAATTTGAAAAGTGAATTCAGGTGCACTGAACTAGGTAATAGCAAAATTAAAAACTTAAATTTTGGCAAGTATCAGTTTGTGCGCTTCTTAAGTAGAGCAGCTGCCTTTATTTTTATTGAAATCGATATTGTTTTTGGAAAAAAATTAATTCAACCCCATATTTTTCATGGTATACCCATACTTTATAGTGATTGACGAATTTGATTTTCCACTTTTACGCTTTTCAGATACTTCGGCGTTAACTATTCCGTGTTTTGTGATAGTCCGTTTTTGATGTGGAATCGATTTGAGGGGAAATGCAAAGTTAACACTAGGTTGAAAGTCCAATTTTGGCCTAAATCCGTTAAAATATGATAAATTCTATCATAGAATTAGCGTATTGAAAGCTTAGCCTAGATCTTCAAATTGGCAATCACTTTGTTGTGGATCGCGTTGAATCACACCCGCTAATCACACTCGCTAATCCAGCCGCGCGGATCCTCAACTCCCCCCTCATTTGCACGAATATTTATCTTGGAGCATCCCCACACCTAGGTCTCGATGTTAACACATGTATGACCCACACATCAGAGATATAAATGCACACGCGCAAATGCCGCCCACGACACAATGACACCAACGTGGTTGAGCTCTGAAGTAAACCATTGTGTCCACATCCTCTCCGATCTTATTTTTTTACCGTGGGTAGCAGGGAAGCGCAATCGGGCCTGAATTAATTCATTGATCGCGGCGTAATTCAAGACTACATGCTGGGGCCCACAACAATTTGTTGCCCCACAAAAATTGTTAACCACGACGTGATCAAAGGTTCTCCGAATCTCTCAACGAGTTTACTTTAATTTTGTGTCGTTTCGTGGAAGAAATGGAAGGAAAATCCAATCAGCTGACCGATGTCAAGCTTCCATATTCAACTAACAGCGAACATTGATATTTTAGGTGTATTGTTTCAAACGTCATTTTGTTAGATCAGTTGTACCATTCTACCTAGGCTTGTTATTCCATTAAACACTGTTCACCTACTGATACTTAAATTAGTACCCCGTAAATGCTAACAAATTCTTTGTTTGTGAAAAAAGAGTGGTTTTCCAGTTATGGTGACAGAAACTTCTACGCATATGTTGTTTGTTGTGTTGTTGTTGTTGTTTGTTTATATGTTGTTGTTTGAGTGAATATGTTGTTTGAGTGAATATTAATATGTTGTTTGAGTGAATATACAAAAGGCATTTCTTTGCAAAACCAAGAAAACAGAATAGTGACATTTCAGACATGTTGTATTTGCGTTCAGCATTATTTTGCGTAAAATTCTAAGGATTTTCCATTAACATTGATCTGTGTTTGTTAAATAGGGAGAAATAAGTTAAAATTGGTGCACAAAGTATCTATAGGTGCAGAATAACAGAAAATAGCTGCAAAAGGAACATTTGCACATATCTATAGGTAAATGAGGCGAGGTGTTTCTTTAATATGAGAGATTCAACTGCGACTTCTGCGAAGATTGTCCACTTCACGTTGCCAAAATCGATATAAATGCCAATATCGATCGCTAGAAATTATAAAAGATTGTTTAAGTGAATCAATTATGTTTGAATAAACACTAAAATTAACGTCTTCTTGGGCAAAATATAATTAAGTTAAATAGACGATAAACGTTAGTTTTTGCGCCAATTTCACTGATTTTGTCATGAAATTAAAAGGAAAGTATTAAATTTTAGTCTGTTGGCTTCGTGCATTTGTTTGAAATGTAATCCATTGTCAAAACAACCAAAATTGGCTCTTTTACAGAGGAGGGAATTATTTAAACTGTATGATGAACTTCGTATATTGGTTTAGCTCAGCATATTCAAATTTGCCTAAACAACGCAAGAATCAAATAACTTATTTCAATCAAACATGACCGCCATTTTTTGGACCAACGTACACAGTAACTTGTATTTCCATATATTACTAGCTCAGAAAAGATGATCCATCAAATTTTGTTGTTACAAACTGAATAAACTCGAGCAAAAGCTTTTCGACTTGTTGCTATGCCGCTCAAGTCAACAACTAGAGGGCTTTAGCAACCAATATGCTATTGTGCCACCATTGCCTGGGTAGAGACATTGGATAACAGTCTCAGTGTAGCTGCCATGGCAACAGCATTGAGAGCAACAGACGAATTTATGTTACGCGAAACCCAGATTCCGTTTATTGTTGTTCTTTGGTTAAGAAGGAAGAGTGAACGCTCAGTCACACATTACCTTCGTTCCTGAGCTGCCTTTAGGTCAAAGTCGGGCAAAGACGAGTAGGACTTAGTCCGGCGCATCTAAGAAATTACAAAACACCAAGTTTACTAACAGTTTAAGGGGACGGTTTAATGCCGCCGTGAAAGTTGCAATGCAAGTCATGGAGCATTATCCTAGAAGTGCAGGAAATTACGTTTAGCACCAAACACAGCGTCGATGTTTTTTAACCACCAAAACGGTGTGATTCTTAGGGACTTGTGAACAACAATAAGGATTATAGGTATCCAATTAATTTAGGAGTAATTACTACTAAAAGGAAAGAACTTAAGAACCCACAGTAAAATATCAAATGAATTTTTTTTGGAAATGAGAGAAGGAGAGGTAAGTTTCAGGTTATGTCGTAGACAAAACGGTCAGCCTTCATCTTGACAAAAAATAATATATGAACATTTAAAATGTCACGTTCACAGGCCGCAATAGGGATAAAATTTTGAAAGTTCGAAAATAACCTAATCAAGCTTACGGCGCACACACAGTCCCTGGAGCAACGAAGACCTACAAATAAAAAGTTTTTGAAATCAACGAAGCTGTTTTCGGGAAGTAGCTTACGATTTAAGCCAAGAAAATATTGAAAAATGCTCTGCAAGTTTCTGCTGAGTCGAATCTTATGATTAAACATTTTTTTAAGGAAGCATCTCCATAAAAAGCCAAAACGTCAGAAACCTGTGATGGGATTTTTAATAGTTTATTAATTCCCCTGAAAATTAGCAAAAGAGTGAACCTTTACTTTCGCTTTTTCCTATAACTTAAATTTACAAATGACTAAATTTCTTAATTTAATAGACTTCGGAAACGATACTCTGAATATGGGTATTTGGTATAATGGCTCATTATACGCCAATGTTCAATCAGTTTGAACTTACAAGGCCTCAGATTGTCCAGCTTAGACAAAGGGACGTTAATTGAACTTCTTAGCGGAGAACATAGTCGCCTTGGTGGATATTCCTTAAAACAAGCGAATTTAGTTATAAATCTTAGCCTAGATGTTCAGGTAGTTGATTCTGGTTGTATACGTACCTCATAGCTACAAGAAATATAAATTTTAAAAACCTTTCAAAATTATTATCGCTGGCGAACTTATTGCTGATTATTCAGGGCTGTCATCTCAAAAAATTATCTTTTAAAAAGCAGGCTAAATTTACAGTTATTTTATAAAGCAAGAGTACTTGGAATTTTTTTAGTTTGTGAAAATCCTATACAACGATAGGGACAGTAACCAATGTGTGTGTACAGAAAAGAGGTCAACAAAGGTGGTGCCAACGCCAATATATACTTTTCCGTGGCATAAATATATACTCAAAACCATCTTATTAACAATTAATATGAATAAACATACTAATTGGTTCCAAGCTTCGAACCTGCTTCCATTTTTTAATTTAAAAACTTAAATGGAAAACACACTACATACAAATGATAATCCTATATTTACTTTTGACTGCATGACAAAAATATTCCAAGGTAAGGTAATAATTTACTCAGTACAAATAAACTAGACATCAGCACCATTCATCGCCAAATTGATCATGTAACGTAAAAAGCCAACAATTAAATGGAAATTATCGTTATTACGATATTTCGGTCTCACACAAGTGTTGCCAGGAAACAAAATGTGCTTTATTAAAAATTGTAACAATACGGCTTATAATGGCATGTACAAGCCTACACTATGCCTATATGAAAAAATGGTTCCACTAAGTTTGAATGGCTTTAAAGCCGTTGGGACACTTACACGATTTCCACTCCTACTTCTAGTAGTTCTATTTTTCTTCACATCTCTTTGTATTGAGGAGTTGCCTTTCAAAATGCTATTCAAAGTTGGCTGTGCATAGTGTGGACTGCTGCAAAATTCATTAGATTTTAGAAGCTTTCACCTTAATTTTGAAGCTTCAAATTTGGCAGCCTGCATCACAATAGCAATTTATGAAGTCATAAAATGCTTACCTTGCTAAACGTTGAAGGAGATATTTTGGTGGTTGTTGCAAATTCAACTCGCGGAGACACACCCTACAGTAAGATTTAAAATATGCAGCTTACCGGAAAATCTACTGTACGTATCATTAACAGTTCTCGGTCATTTCCAACTGTGCTGCATAAGGTAGGGCAAGGCATGAAAAATTCCCGCGCATTTCCGTCAAAGTATGCAAAAAGTCTTCCGCCGTTGTAAAAATCTGTAAACTGTCGTAGCTCGATTGTAACGGAAATATCTAAATTTTTTTATCAACTTCAATTTTAATTAAAACCCTCAAGCTTTCGACATAGTTCAAAAGGAGAAAATGTATCAAAAAAGCGCTACATTTGCAATAATATGTATAAAGTTACATTACCTTTTCAAAAGAAAAGCATTCATGAACTTCTAACGGAAAAATTGGTTTGGATAACTTTGTGTAGTTTACACTATCAAAAATATTTATAAATAAATATAAATCCTCTTGATTGTGTACGTAGGTACCAGGTGAATGAACCTTTTAGCAATCAAAACTATAAAAAGTTTACTTTCTTAATCAGCAAAGTTCCTTCAAACGTATAAGTTGGCATGATTTCTCAAACACAATTAACGCACAGGAATAATTCAAAATTGGCAAGGCGTCTGACCTTCGCATCTAAGAACACATTAAAATAAGGTGATTTGCAAAAAGAATTGAAATGAAAGGCAAAAAGTGACAAAAGTACAATAAGTGAATGTGTTATTATTGTGTGGTCTGCAAATTTCTGTAGCCATTTTAACTTACGAAACTATGAACAGACACACAATTTTTATTTGCATTCATAGAGGAGTATAAAAAACATCTTAGAACAGACTAATGTGCTTCACATGAAAGATGTAAATGCTTCATGCCTTTAGAAGGAAAGATATAATTAAATACATACATAAGCTAGTGTCAGCAAGAAATCATAAAACATCGCGCCGTTTACATTTGTCGTCCAAAGATCCATTTCGAGGAAGGTTGGATGTCTAACAGATTACGATGATAAATTGTCATTTTGAAATAGAATATTTAAAGCCTACCTTTTTAATAGAATGTTTAGAATCAAAAAATTCGGATTTTCTAACTTATACTTATAATGTTAAGGATATTGTGTTACGCTGGCCTAATTTCCTGTTCTAAGTCGAGTGCAAGCATATTTCACTTTGATTTTTAAACTAGTAGTTAAGGAAAATAGACTGGAATCATTGATTTCAAAATCTTCTCTAGAATATGGACATGTTAGACACTGGTTAAATAAAAAAAACTTGTTATGATTTATCAAAATGCACTAGTAATCAATAAAGATTTCCGTGCCCTCATCCATTCTCCTTTGTCCAGGGTTATTTTTTTTTCGCAAAGTTTTTTCCAAACTTAACTGACAGTAATAAGGTCAGTCTATAACAAAGAGGCAAATATAGTTTACGCAGTATTTCAAAATGCAGAATTAGTCCTTTAACAATAAAGCAGCTAACATAAAGCAGCGGGAACTGACTGCTAACTCGATGTTGCGTTGATGCTTTCTGCTTGCCAAGGATTTAAATATTAAAATTATTTAGTCATGTACCTCACACAAGTAAGCTTAGAATTGCAAAAACCTTTCACTTATTCTGCTTGTTTACGCCCAAGTTTGTAGCTGTTTGGAAGGCACCAAGCGAAACTTTTTGTTCTCTGGCATGCAATATTTACAATGTCAAAAGATCGACACAGTGAAAGCGATTGCAAGCCAGTGGTGAAAGACGCGCACTGATATGATGTGATGAATGAAAAGTTGAAGTGATAATTTACTTAAATTTATGAGTGGACCTTCAAGCTAGTTATCAAGTACTTTATCGCTAACCGTGATCATCTGATTGCATTTTTAAATTAAAAATATCTGAACAGAACCCGCAAAACCTGAACCTGAAAGACCCGCGGAATGTGTCGTTGAAATATTGTTCAGTGATATTCACATAAGTTTATCAATCGCTTGCCTCTTATCTTCTAGCAGTTAATGGCTAGAAAAGCTTGCCGTTAAACTATTGCATGACTTCATATTTTTAAAGCAAATAATCTTATTTTTGATTTCCTTAAGAAGGGGGCTGGTTTATGTGAAGTAAACTAGCTTTCTTGATACGCTAGTGATTTTTTATGATAAACTGAACTAAAATTTTACGGTTACAAAGTCATGGCATCATTCAACAAAAATTCCGATGAGTTATCGATTCTGAGCCCGTAAGATCCTACAGAGCACTACGTCATGTGAACAACTACAGCGGTTCGTGACTCGTGTATTAAAAAGAACCCTGGCCTTATGTATAATGCTTTACTTCTGAGGGTTCGGCATATCTCCTTTTGTTCATTTAAAAAAGAGTGTAAATCTATCTGAGCATTTGTACACCATAAAGTGAACCGCATAAAAACGCAGTGACAAGATTTAGTCACTAGTCCACGAACCACCATACAATTCCTTAATTTGTAAATTTGCGATCAACACAAGTCTGATTTTCAGGCAAAATTAATTTTTTACACCTAGCTTAAGCGTGAATCACAAAAGCAATGTCAAATTGCCAATTAAATTCCTTAGGTTTAATTGGCAGCTCCATCACCTTTAATTTATTTGAATTAATTCGACTTTGAAGCTGTGAATAATGCTACGGTAACAAACTTCACCTTTAACATATCGTGCACTCAACACACAAGCACAGTTACAACGTCTTTGTATCATCATTTAAAATAGAAGCCGAGTGGAAGTCTAATACGTTTGGTCAGCTTCACAGTTAGCATATTTTTAAAAAAAAATACAATTAATGTAAAGCGATTAGTTAATTTTTTTACCAATACACGAATCGTATAGTTGCAAAGCCAAAGTAGGTTCAAACTTAGGATTTACAAGCCGCATTTTATAAAAATGCATCACGAAAATGGCTCACATTCAACATGCTGTATCTCTTACACTTTAAAATGAGCGCCATGTAAGCAGTGCAAATTTAATTTGCTTTAGGTACAAGGTTCTGAGATTTGTATGCTTTGGCTAGTTACTGGCGATTTTAGTTTGAAGCACGTCCTATGGGTACAGTCATTGGCTTCAGCACAAATGTCACATTTCAAGCACTTTTCAGTGTTATTTTATTTAAAATCCTCAAACCTGCCAAATGGCAATCTGTGCACTCACAATTGCAATCATTTGTAAAACAAATGAATGTAATTCGCCGTGAGTCTTAAATATTGAAAACTTCAGAAGGACGCGAACTAACCAGGCTTAGCACAACTATTCAACTGTTCCCAAAGATTGTCATAATCCAATCTTAAGTGCTTAGCAATTTACTGGTCGATGACATTGTAAAGGGTTCCTTGACTTAATTTTATATCTCCATAATTTTAACGGTCGGTTTACTTTTTTGACTACCATAAGTGGATGCTTAAGTGGCTAGTATTCATCGATTCAGCAGTTCAAGTACAATTTTTTTAGTAAAAAAGCAATTTAAACTAATTGATATTAGATAATGTATGTCCTAATTTTTAATATTTTTGCAAACAGTTTAAAATTTATTAGACTACACGAAATAGATCTTTGCATCAAGCATTTCAGTGTCTTTAATAGCAAGAAAAATGCGGATTTTTGTTTCAATATGCTTATTCAGATTGTCTGGTGTAGCGGTTGTGACAGTGGGACCCACGCACGCCGGTCTGGCCTATTCGTTGTCCCCTATCCCCTCCAGCACTCTCGCCTTCCTCAAGGCACACCCGTGAGTCCGAGGGCAACACCGATCCTCCTCGCGGCCATCGCCTTCCCCACTCTAATTCGCTTTAAGCTCTAACCCTCTAAGTTTGTATGCGGTAGTATGGAATACATCCGGTTCTTCCAGCTATTCTTTTATCGTGTGCCTGGTAGCTAACCATGATGGTGTGGCTATCTAAGAGGGACGGGCTAACAACCATCTCCCTATTTAGGTCCCCGCTCCCTAGGCACGTTACAGATTCAGGGACTTAATACCAACTTCTCTGCCGCCACAATCACCACCACCACCACCATCATCATCATCAAGACTGCACAATTTTAAGAGTTACACAAATCGTAGTTTGTGGTTCATGATTAAGCAGATGCAAAGTGAAGACAACAAATATTTCTCACTCGATATTTCGGTGATGGTGAACCGAACAAAAACAAACCAAAAATGGTTCTGTATTTATATTCACTCCATCTGGCCAAACACTGCGCTAGCATACTACATAGCGTCTAAGTTTTAATCGATAAAACGATCGATAAAATGTACATATTACATTCTACAGAAAATAAATGCAAACTCTGTAAATACTTGGATAAATTTACAAAGTGTAAGTGACTCTTGCTGGAAGCAGTCTAGTGGTAGTCCGCTAATATGTCAAGTACTTCCGGTCCACCAGTCTAGTGGATAGAATATTGAGAAGAACAAAAATCACCGGTTTAGTTCCACCCGGCAATTCCAGCTCCTGAAAAGAGTATGAAAATGATTCCTTTTAGTTAATAGCTACGGCGTGAGGCACAGTAATTCTATAGCAGCTCTATTTCACAGGAATTAAGAAGTAATGATTAAATAAACTGACAGATTGTCTGGAATTCATGGTATTGTTACAGTGAGGTCTATGAACATTTGTAATATGTTGCACAAATGTCGTTACAGGCACAATCAAGGGAATTAAAGCCGACGTGATCTGATTAATTTAACTGCTCATAAGGCAACGCAATACTAGCGCAAACACAAACCCCGGGCAGATTAAAACAGAATTGGCTGGTAAATATGGTGACGAATTAGACAGATGCCATTCACCTTTCTGATGCATCATTAGTCTGAGAAAATGTAGAACTCTTTCAGAAATAAACACCACCAAGAAATAAAGCAAAAAACCGGTTTCTGTTGTAATGGCCTTCTTTGAATTTAATATCAATTATTTAATTTAAATCATCAAAGCAGAGAGTAGGAAGAAGGCATAGCAATTAATTTGAGCCCTATGGTTTCAAGATGGCATAAAAGTGCTCAACGGACTCGCTCCAAAAATCAACAAAATTAAACCTTATTTGTGTCAGTAAAAATCAAAATAAAACAAAATAAATTAACTACAGATTCTTTAAAGTTTGATACGAAAATATTGATCAATGTAGGAATCGTTTCCTCATTTGATAAGACTCTGCTCTGTGATTTAAGTGTAAATTTGTCAAGTTAAAACAGACAGACTATCGGAAGTTACATCAACTGTCGATAAGCATGACCTTTTAAGGTAACAAGGTGTTGGGGATCCACGATTCCCCAAGATTGATTTCTGATGCTACCTATATTTATTGACTAACATTTGTTTTGCTACGCTTTTTATCAAGTCAAGGTCAACCTTGACTTGAATTACTTTCAATTTCACTTCTTCTCTGCACGTGGCTGACGTGATTAAAGCTCTATACACGAGATCTAGTCTTATTCTTGCATTAGCCTGGGAAGGTCGGTTCTAGCTTCAGCTAGGGATCTGGGGTACCGTTATTTGAGTGGTTTCCTCTTTGTTACGGGCAAACGTAACACAAGGCAACACGCAACCCACTTGCAACCCGTCCTGCCCGAAGTTGATCCACAGTCGACACTTGCCGTCGTCGGCTGTTGAACAGACCCGCTCGAAAGGAAAGGCCCAGATCAGTTTGCCGGAGCAGTTCGATGAGCCAGCCCGAAAGAGGGAGATACCAGCGATCCGGTGCAAGACAAGGTCTGTGTCCAGTCCACGCCAGCGACTCTTAATTGCTACCTGGGGCGCTGCAAGCAGGGCTTGCCGAGTGCTAGTTAAAATAACCTGCAACCAATCCTCAAGTTCACTGGACGTTGGAGCAGCAAATGTGTGCGATTCGACGCCATATTTCCTCCCTTAAACCGACAATAGCAGTTATGATTAGTGGTCAGTCAAGTTAAAACCCAACGTTCTAATAGGTGGATGCTCAAATAAGGCAACCGAGTAGATTTTTATAATTAGCATGAAATGAACTGACATTTTCAATGCCTAAACCCACCTCAAATAGTTAAATAGTGGACTTCCGTGTTTACACTTTATAAAAAAATTAAATGCATTATTTTTAACGAGCATATACTTCAGTGTAACACATTGTTAACCATTTAAAAGTGCAGATGACTTAACTTAAAAACTGAATGCATTGATTCAGTCTTTGTATAATTTTTAGAGTGCATTTGCAGACTGCCTGTTCTGTACAAATAATTGGAAAGGTTGGTTCCAAAGACGTCTAAATGCAAATAAGCAAATTTCGCATATGCCACATTTCTAGTTTTGCCAAATTGCTACACATTTGAAGCCAAATATCCCCATATGATGTGACATTGTCGATGGAGTTCAATTTCTCTGACTTGAAAACAACTTGTACAGGATATCATTAAACGGAATAATTTCGTAACTTACCTATGTTACCTATTGTACCAAGTGTCTTTGGTACTAATAAATCTGTGGAATATTATAAGATATGTGAGTTTCACTTAATCCAAACCTGTTCGAATAGTGAAATGTAGTGAGGGGCGCTCTTTACGTGGGGTCCAATCTTGATTGGGATGAAATTTCCCAGACAGACCAGTCATAAAATTGACAACTCGAGTGGTTATCAGCGCAGCTGAGACGAGTGGAGAATGCCAGTCTTCGGGGCTGTAAGGCGCCTGAGAATACATTAGAAGCAGGCGGTCCGTAACAGCTAAAAATACCGGTTGCCATGACGACCCGGAGGAGCAGGGGGACGCAGAGAGGTGAGACGGGTGGTGGTGTTCAGCTAGACAGGAATTACTGTCGTCTACCAACCTGTCCAGTTCGAGGACCCAGCCAATTTTCCTCAGCTTAAGAGAGATGAAATTAATAAAAGTAATCATAAAGAAGCGCTCTAGCCTAACCATAAATTTTATGCTATATGTTTACCAGATCGTTCTGATATCTTAATCTGTCTAGAGCTGTTGAGGACTCATTGTTAAAGCGACGCTCATATTGTGCGGCCCTATGGGCGATTAAAGTAATCAGACGTATTTGACTTTTGTCATGAAGCGATTCTCAATAAAAGTAAGTCGGTCTAAGACAGAGCTTCGCCTATAGTGTCCATAAACTCCTCGTCCAAAACAATTTCACACAAAATACTTATCAGTACACAACTATTTAGTGTATGCAGTGATGTGTAATGCTTCAATCTAGCTTCAAAAAATGGTCTGTTGTCCAAAATCTGTTCCGATATTGTTTGCACAAGTGCATTTAATGTGTGAACTTCAGCCTAAGTGTTTAGTGGTTTTCCGAGGTGAACTACCCCCACAGGAAGGTCACAGCCAGGGAGGCAAAAGTACAACCCAACACATGCCTTTTCCAATAAAAATATTGATGTTTGTGGAAAACGTAATTGGATAATAGCCTCTTGGCTGCAGAATGCGATTCGTACACAAGAATGTGTGTTCACATGTGAAATGTAATTCTTTTTAAATGAAACAAATAAAAAGGCGGTTGACTGCGGCTTTCAGGAGATAGGACACCTGTTATGCACGATACCCTAGAGAAGCAGTTGTAGCAAAATGTGATTACTAATGACACTGTTGAACAACGGTAAAAACTACCAAAGCGCCATGGTAAGACATTTAAATCTCTTGTCCCCATTTAAAACAAACCCTATACAATGATTAACGATGGAGTGATCCCCGGATTGCGTAGAGGGTTAAATTGCAGCTCACAGATGGGACGCATGGAATTGTTACTTCCGACGTTAGTCACCAATCTGACATCGGCCTTCGTAATTAGCAGGCCCTGACAAATAGACCAGAGGAAACTGACTTCGCAACACAGATTGGTCAGCTCATAAAAATCAATTCAGTTGAAACAAAAGCCATGTTATAGTGAATTAATTACATTATATTCCAGGGTCGGTTAAGACTGATTAAATAGAAAAAAAATTCGGTTAAGAAACGCGATTTCCGGAAAAAACGAGTCACTCTATTGTCCCTTCTAGACAACCGACTGCGAAAAATCATTAAGGCACTAGATCGTCTTGGATACATTTAAACCCAACATGCTCGCAGAGGTTGCATTAGTGCAGGGGGCAGACACGATGGTTTTTGGGGAGTCATCGAACTCCTACCTGTCTATGTTGAAGGCCTTGGCGTGTGGTCTAGTCTTGGCTCCTAATACGCTACACAGATTTCCGTGGAGATTAAGACCAAAGGTAGTGGAAACACAACCGTTTGCTAGATGACTAAACCTATTTGTATTGTTGTGAACGTGTTTGTAGTTGTTGACCAATACAGTCTGGATGAACTAGTAGAATTACAAATGACTGAATGGCCATATAAAGAAAACAGGTAGCGTGGGGATTTAAGAACCGACGGTCTAGCATGAGTGACGGGCACGCTATGAAATGGAAGCGGTGGGTCGGTAAATGCACCGACAGGGTTAATGGATGTGCATCAGCACGGTTCACTACACATGTTTTCGTTTCACGGAAACAGGGAAGCATTTACCCAGTTGACTTCAAAGGAGATCTGCAATAAACAGTTGACAAAATGAACCTCTGAATTCTGTAAATCGCCCGGGAGGATTTGAAATGGCCCGAAAGCCAAGCAGAAACACGCATAAATTGGTGGACCTTCCTCGGCACTGCCTGCGGATAGGATATTGTAATTTGACGATTTCAAAACATTGTCCTAAAGCTATCAAAGTGGAATTTTCAGAGCGAAGCCGAGAAATGGTAAATTTAACTACCACAGAGTCTATCAGACAAGTAAGGCGTTGCAAGGGGTAACTGCGCAATTAATTTTCCAATTGAGTTTCTAGAACTGTAGGCAAATATCCTCGAATCAGCGACCTGTACGATACGCTTCGAAATTGAAATTGTCTGTAAATTTCCATTAACGGCCACGGATGTTCAGTGAGGTCGAAACAACCATTAATCACTCTGAACACGCGAGGGTTTCATAAAATGGACGCACTTTACCTTCTAGTGGCACCGAAGACACGCTCGAGGTACCAATCAACACTTGATTATTGTTCGTGTGATTATTTTAGGTTCATTTCAAAGCTTTTTTATGTTTGTTTTAAATTTTGGAATATAAACGAACGATTTCTGAACACCAGGCCATTTCATGAACCCTTATAACACATTAGTATGTTTTTGTATTAGACCTCCAAAAAGTTTCCTTTGAAAGAGGTGCAGTATTAATATGCACACATGACAGCTAATAAGAGCTACCGGTAAGTGGCCATTATAAATCACTTTCAGATCATTTTTGTTGCCATGGAAGCAAAAAGCCGTTTCTTAAATCTGCTGTTTTTGTAGACTTCTAAATTACAGAAAGTAGAACTGGTAAGTACAAATATTTTTTTTGAGTTAATAGTGAATAGGTCATACCAAAACAGTAATTTGCAAGGACATAAACAGTGGGAATGATACATTTCATTTAAAAAAAATTGTTTAAAGTTGGCAAACATATTTGTACTAGTTATTTAAACAAAGCGAATGAAAGAGGCTCAATAGCACCCCAGTAATTTTATTCGTTAGACGCAAGCATAACTAGCCCGTTCTTGTTGCCATTAATGTTTCGCACGCTATATTACACCGGTCAGCTTCGCATTTTTTCATAATCAAGGCATTTCCCAGACCAATCCAGCATTGTCAAGGTCACGTTAGCTCATTATAACGAAAGGTGCATCTATTTCTATTGCTGCGAATAAGTAACCCACAAAGTGGACAACTTAATCTCAAGCCAGAATGAGAGCTTTGCAGTTTGTGAAATAAACGTCCACTCGTATCGTTCAGATTCTAATTACGCTGCAGATAATACGTAGTATTAGCAAAGAACGTGAAAGTTCGGTTAACTGAGGAGAGATATCCTAAAAAATAACAATTTCAACCCAAGTAAAGTAACGCAATGGCTCCTTAAAAATTCCCTACCTTTTATAGTTAAAATTAACAAAAAGACTATCCTGACAAGCAAGGAGTTTGCCTTTTAATGACCTAATAAGAACGCGTTTTGACTTAACTCCCAGACAATTCCCGTGCCCGTCTTCGTCGTCAGACTCGTAAACGTGCTGCGATGTTTTATTTACACTTCGTCGGTAGGCAAATGCGATGTGATTTTCGTTACTGCATGTAACACACCAGAAGGTAAGAGGGACAGCGAATAACAATCAGATTTACAGAAGTTCTAATGAACTAGAGTAGAGAATATTAACACAGGCAGTTAGAGATTTCATTTGTGACTCTCGTGACAGATGAGATTTAAGCGGTCGCCATTGACATAACTTTAACACTAGCAGAAAATTAACCCACTCAGTGAGATGTCTACCAGTTAATACTACAAGTCAACATTACATTATTTATGTTCGAATGTGTACCATTATTCCTTAAAACACATTTACGTTATGAGAACAGTTCACATAAGCTTTATTCCATCATTAAGTGCCTGGACTAGTAAGATGGCCAATTTCACGTGCCCAGGACTTGAGGCCAATGTCGTCCGCATTTTAAATGTGTCCTTAAACGTGAGGCTTCATTAAGCAAAGAAAATCCATGCGCACCCACGAAATTGGTAAATAACTTTCCATGGGGCTCGATTTCTCATACCAAGACCCACCTCACACACATCAAATCACCCTTTCTCTGCTACTAGATAGAGTCTTGTTATAGGGGAGCTTAGCTCCGATTCCTTGTTAAGGCTTTCAATAGACTAGAATAGAGTAGACAACAGAATAGGCCTTGTATCTTTGCCACAAAATTCTATTCATTTTGCACATTTGCTTTTCATTTGCATTGACTATTAAGCCATAATTATTTCCCCTGCGAAATTGCCGCGGCCTCGCATGGGAATGTAGGGAATAAATTGTTTCGCCAGCTAGTATGAATTATTATCTGCTTCATTTGGTCAAGCTGATAAAATTGAACCAACGATACGGCCGTTAAAACACTGCAGAAACTCGACTTAAGAAACAAGTTCGGGAAACCCAAGGACGGTTTGCACATCCTAGATTTGGATCAAAAGTTAGCATCAAGTACGATATTCTGAATTTACACCTAAAAAGAACAGTTAAAGTACTGAAACAAAACACGTTTATTTTTTTACTAATCTGCTCTCTGTTTCCTGGCTCGGTGTGGTTTAAAATCACCAGCCATAAAAACATCGCCTTTTATCACGAAACAAGTTTTGCTAAATTCAAAGATCAATTTTATCCAATTCGTCGAATATTGTATAATACTTCAACAGAAAAAATATAGAATCTAGCCATGAATGACTGTCAAAACTTGTACTAATGTCACGCTTTGAAACTTAAATAAAAGTAGAATAAAGAAAGCTCGTTTAGATTTAGCTAAAATGTTGCACAATTCAAACGCAAAAGTTTCAAACCGAACCTGGAATTGCGGAAGCACTTTTATCCATCCGTTGAGAGAGATCTGGTTTAGGATTGAAATCTGCCTACTCAGTGACGCAAACCAAACACTTGCCAGTCGAGGTGAACCCGTGCAGAGCAGGCATGACTGAGTGAGGTCTGGAGAAAAGAGTTCTATACAGCATCCGGATTCACCGCTGCCCGAAGCTTTCTCCATGAAATGCTGCTGGTGCCGTTTTCGTTCCACGTAGACTAAATTAAGGGGTATCCGGACCTGACTATTAGTGAAGACCGAAGGGGATAAAGCGTCAGTCGCCACCCTAGTCGTTGAGGTTGAGCACTGGGGCGAAGCTGCTGATTCAGCCTGCAACCTAGATTAGTTTTTAGTGAGAAATACAAATCTTAAATCGAACCAAATCACATTTGCTTGAGTCATCGATTTAATACCTTGGCAAGAAATAGTCAAATTGTTTTGTAAAAAGAGACGTAAGGCCTTTTACAATAACTCATATATTCCATTTTAGTTGCATCAAGTGCTGGTCAAATGAAACCTTCAATACCTTTTTACAAACGAGCCTGTCCTGCGCAAAGGTTTCACTTCTAGACAGATTGTAGAACCGGCTGTTTTTAAAGCTCTGACAGCCTCATCATGAGATGCCGACTCCAAAGTCTCTCCATTGACCGAAAGTATAATGTCACCAACTCTGAGTTGTTGACTCTCATCCGCAGCCATTCCCTTAAATTAAGCAAATTCAGGTCTTTAGTGAAAGCAAAGTTTGTGCAATAACACAATTATAATAGTACATAACAAACATTTTGATAAATAAGTCATTTTAGTGTATTTAAGGTATTTGCCTAAAAGAATTCACATTCGCAGAAGAAGAGTAAAAAATCAGACCAGTTCTTTGAGAAAAAGTCGCTGTTTGTAAAGTATTAAATCAAATTGCAAATGTGTAACAATTAAAATAAAGCCTAAATTACACTTACAGAAAGCGTTTGCTGAAACCCAAATTACGATGGTATCTTGCTGAAAATTCAAGGAATTCAACACCAGTCATGGTTTAAACGGTTCTCATTTAATAAAGACCTATTCGAGAGAGAATTGAGCAGCATACAACTAGTGCTAATCTTAAATTATTTTAAAATTGAATTTGTGATTAAGCATAAATCTATGTGAAAATATTAGATACTCGCTGGACACCCCGATAAATTGCTTTAACGAACCTCACCCACATAAACTGAAAATTCGGTGACATTAGCGTCATTTGTAAATTATCAATCAACGGTTTCGAATCTCTCAAGATTCAGGGTTTGAATATCCTCAACACACCAATATTTGGACTTAAAATTATTTTAATCACCTATTTAAGTTGCAAAGGGCATTATTTAGCATTATAAAACTGCATGTAGATAACAAGATTTGTGTTTTAGTCAAATGCTTTTCCGTGGCGGTTTGCAGACAGAAGCAACAAAAAGTAGTACTAATGAACAGACGATAGTTAAGTGCAAAAAACACTTTGTTATGATAATTCAATGTAAAATTAACGCTTAGGCATAAAAACTGTTAAATAACATCAAGGAATAACGACATGGAGTAAATAATGCATATATTAAAATAAAATTCGCATCGTACCTTAAATATTTTGCTTATTATTATTGGTGCTCCGAATTCCCGCCCACCCTTTATGCTTACTCCCAATCCACAACATTCTTTTCTTTGAATCCGAACAATTACTGAATTCCCAGTGCCTGGATCTTGAAATGAATGCTTAGAATATTACCAAAACATTTCTGCGAAAATTGTCTCCATAAATCACCAGATACATTTGTAATATGCAGTGGTGTTAATATTAACTCACTAGCAAGTAATCTGGCTTGCACATCTATCCACTGCAATTCACAAAATAACTTTAACTTATCAGTTACACTGTACTCCATCAAATTTGAAATAGTGGGAGAGTCGTTGAAAGATTTAAAAAAGAATACAAGTTTGAATGCATCGATTAAATAATCAAACATTTTTTTAAATCCACTTTATCAAAAAAATTTTAATTTTTAAAATGCAGAAATGACTACATTAAAAGATACATTATTGCACTAGACAGAGATGTGAGAATCTAGAGACTAAAATTATCAAGAAAATACCACAATAACGTAAAATCAAAGTAGAAGATGTGTTGCAATAATTGATTTTGAATGACATATCATAAAATTAAAGTGTTATTATTCTGGAAGTGTCCTTCTGATGTCCATCCTTATAAGACATTTTAACCAATATGTATAATGAATAAATGTGTCACGTGGGGGTCACCAATTTGTAGCTGGCTGCGGTGCAATTTTTGAAATCACACTAAGGCTGGCGATATACGCTGATAAGACCCGACCAAATAAGGTGCAGAAATGAAAGTGGCGCGCAGCTCAGATTATTTATTAATGCAGCACCCGTGTGTATGTACAGGATAACAGGTGCGTTTGTATGGCTTCGCTTAGTTTCTATCTCTTAATAAACGAAGTTGCGAAAAGTGCATTTACGAAAATCGATTAACTCGTGTTCGTTCATGCTTGCTAACTGCGTTCGCTCACGACTTCTGTGCTCCCCTGCTGCTCGCCACAGTTCTTTCCCTTGGTAGAAGGAATTGGCGTTTATTTTATTCTAGCAGATATTCTGAAGGGTGAGTCGTAAGCATTGTGCAGTCGACTCGCGGTATCCTAGAAGATTTCGGAACCTGGGAGCTAGCACTTGAGAGTCAAGAACCGAGGAGAGTTACGCGAATTCGGAACCAAAAAAAGGTAAACCTGGCGAGATTCGAAAAAAATCGAGGTGGTTCATGTATGCGACAGAAGATGGTCATGATGTGAGAACAAGGGTTAAAGGGTCAGGCAATGCAACGATCAGGCCGATGACCGCGTCTATCATTGCGTGTAATGGTATTCGTTACTTTATTGGCAGAAGGAATGGTAGTTGGCTGCGCCTAGGGTTTGTCGCGTGGCGGCGTCTTCGCGCCAAGGAATGCTGGTTCGATACGGTTAATAGATTCGGCGTCTTCTTTTTCATTTTGTTCGACAATGGAAACCTTTTCTTCTCGCATGAATATTCTGAAAAGTCCACTGTGGGTGGGTGGAGCAGAAGGCGAATGTCGTCGTGCCTGATGAAAACATGAGTGCAAAAGGGCAGTGTTCTTGCGATGAAGCATGAAGGGGAGGATGATCGAGGTTAAGTTATAAGTTTGCTTATTGTCTTTCTCAAATCATCAACGAAGCTGCTTGTGTCCGGCCATAACGGTAGCAATGTTGCTGTAAAAAAATTGCCAGGGGGTTGTCAATGTTGTTTCGAAAACCATTTCTGCATAGGAACAACCCAAGTTTTCCTATACAGCTGATTGAATACCGAGTAACGCATGTGACCAACATGATGAGTCACTGTGAGCGATTAAAACGGCTTTCCGTTGCCGGTGAATACGTTCTACCATGTCATTTGACTAAGGGTAATAGGCAGTCGTTCTAATACGTTTCGTCCCCAGACGTCGTGTGAGATAATGGAACAGGTTTGATTTAAAATGAGTTTCTCGATCTGTCGTTATGGTGGAGGAGACTCCAAATAAGACAACCCATCTGTTAACGAATGTTCTGCCTACGGTTTCGGCGGAGATGTCTTGCATCGGAATGTCATCCGGCCATCAATTTAGATTGTCAAGGCAAGACAAAATGTGACAGAAACATCTCGAGTGCGGTAAGAGTCCAACAATTTCAACGTGTATATGATCAAACGGAGCACCTAGAACGGTATAGTGCCATCAGAGGTCTTGCTGTGTGTCCACCTTCTCTATATGACAGCTTACACAGTTTCTAGTCCATTGTACAACATCGCGGTGCATAGCAGGCCAGGTCAGTTTCCATGTCGAACGCTGACCAGGATGAGCAAGACCGTGAAGGGCTTTGGACACTTGGCGTCTCATCGGCTTCGGTACGAAAAGACATTACACACCCGTTGAAATGTTGCAGTCGACTGTACGTGTGGATGAAAGTATGGCGAATTCGACTTGCTTTAGGGCTTATTTTATTATTGGAACTCCAGCGATTCTTCATCAGATTGCTGAGCGATTGCCGTATCCTCAAAATCCACATGTGTACCTGTATTTATAGCGCCGATGTTCGAGGAAATAGTGCATTGCTACCACATAGTCCTTACCTTGGATGTGACGAATGTTAAATGAAAACTGTAAAATATAATCCAGGTGTCTAGATTCCCTTGGTGACAAACGATCTGAACTCTAGTGGCTTGCAAAAGTCAGCGGTTTGTGGTCAGTGAATTGCCGACCCTAAAACAGATACTTGAATTGCCTGACCACCAGCTTAATCGTCAGAAGCTAACGACTTAAAGTGTTGTAACGCTTTTGAGCTTCATTGAACTTGGCTAAAAAATAAACCAGTGGCTAAGCTGACTCGTCAACGGCTTTCTATAGTCCTGCACCAGCTGCCGAAAGGGACGCATCGTGTAGCAGAGATAAAGGGGCATGGAGTCGTTGATACGCGAGTGTGATTGTCGTCTCTAAAGCCTCCTTTGCGGCCCTAAAAGCTTGACGTGCCTTGTTGGTCATGGCTTGATTTTTAGACTGATCTTTGAGCAAATTGGTAAGAGGCTGAAGGGTCTGAGCTGCATTAGATAGAAATCGGCTGCAGAAATTGATCATGCCCAAGAAACGTCGAAGTCGCTTGATGGACCTCGGTTCCGGGTATTCTCGAATCTCATTATCTTAATATCGGTAGGTCTAAAACCTGCAGCGGAGATGGTGTATCCTAGTAATTCAAGTTCCGAAACTCCGAAAACACGATTTGTCGGATTAACATTCATACCATGCCCGTTAATGCGTCGAAAGACAATGTCCATGTGTCCCAGGTGCTCCTCTTGATTTTCACTGGCAACCGGAACATTGTCGACATACGAAAAGACAAAATATAAACCAGATAATACTTGCTGGATGAAACGCTGAAATGTTTTAGCTGAATTTTGTAAGCCAAAGGCATTCGTACGAAATCAGGTCGTTCTACAGGGATCGGATAAAAGGCTCCCACCAAATCTAACCTGGTAAAAAAAGGGTTTTGGTGTAGATTGGACGAAAAATCATGCAGGCTTGGTATTGAGTAGCCATCAAGAATTGTAGTTGCGTTTAAGACACGCTAATCACCGCATGGCCGCCATTCACCAACAGCTTTCTTAGAAACCATACGCAGCGCAGATGACAAGTGAGCCATTGAGTATCTGGTTAGGGAGAGCCGACGTATTCGGACATTAACGAAGCGACCGTTTTTCAGAATGTTATGTCTGATATTGCGCCGAACCTCGGTTTGCTAGTGAGTTGGGTTAATTAGATCTGAGTAATTTCACAGTAAGGCCAAATAGGGTTCGTTTTCGAATTGCAATGTCATAACATGAGGAATGGCTGGTGCATTATGTGTTGGACACCATACGGATAGAGTTTTTGGGGATCTATTTGACACCTGTTCTAAAAGCCGAGGAGGAGACCAAAATGGTTAAGAAAATCTGCGTCTAGGGTTGGATGGGTCACCGCAGCGATAGTGACAACACAACGAAACAGGAGTCATAGTCCTAAGTCAAGCGTGAGATATCTCTGCCCGTAAGCGGCGGATAAGACCACAGAGAAGGGATTTGGGACCGCTTTTCAGAGCGCGTTGGAGGGCCAGCGGATATGTCGGACCCTGAGTCGATCAAGAATTGCATATCAGTTGACTTGTCGGATAGGGAAAGGGGGCAGTTTAAATCCTTAATAAATGCCGACGGCACTATTGCTGGGCATTCTCGTTTCCCGACCGTGCGAGCGAGTCTGAAACAGCGTACCTACACGGGACTCACATTGTCGGGCTGCGCGGCCGAAGGTTGGATGATACCAACACAAAAATCGGGACGACGATCGTGAAGAAGATCTTTGGTGGGAATGTGGGCGGTTCCGTCTAAATGAGTGTCATACCTTCTCCCTCGGCAATCGTTGACTGTCAAGGCGTCAATGGCTGCTTTGATCCTGACTAGGTGGCTCTCCAAGGAGGTAGAGGCTTGGCACGGGCCAGCAGACAAGAAGCGTTCAAATGTTTTTAAAGACATGGGTCCATTTTAGAGATATGTGAGCCGATTTCGTTGGTGCTAATATGACGTCTGCGGCATCCGCCAACTGTTATAGTGTTAACGATTCAACAATGAAGGCGAGGAAGGGTTATATTGTTTGGAAGTCATTTAAGAAAAAAATCCTTTCCAAAATGCACCTTGAAAGGTTCGTCACTGAAGAGTTGCCGCATCTTTCTCAGGATCTAGGTCGGCTTCTAATCTCCCAAATCATGGCAGGATAAAGGCTGATTTATGCGTACCCATGTAATTGGTTGCGTACGTTTCAGAATTGCTACCTTTAATTGGTCGTAAGGAAATTCGTTGTTGGGGTGAAGCAGTACGTCTGAAATTTCGTTAGCCACTTTGCTACTCACAGTATTTATCTTGTTGGCTGACAATGTTAGGGCCACGAAATTGCGTTTCCAAAATGGCGAACCAACAAGGAACGGATTTCGGCCAGAATGGAGATAATTTCAGGATGATACCTTCCAAGGTAATTAAAGGTTTGCTCTCTTGATGGTCCATGTCAAGGTCGTCAATTTGCAGCGGCCGAGTTTATCACTACTACACAAGCTATAGTTAACAGCCGGTGCAGCCTGCGAAGAAGGAAGAAAAAGGGTCGGCAGAGAACTCGACCGTTTATTCGCATCACGATAGACAATTCAATTTGAGTCAAGTAACTATCTTCTGTGTGTCTTCACAGAATAAAATGTGCGCTTATATGGAATCGCTAAGATTTGACCTCAATACGAACGGAGTTGCGTGAAGTGGGTTCACGAAAATAGATTAAATCGTATATGCTTACGCGCGCTAACTGCTTTCACTCACGAATGCCAACTGTGCTAGCCTGCTGCTCGCCACAACTGAAATGCAGTAAGCAACATAAATATAAGTTTTCGATGTTGATGGTTCTCCCATTGACGTAAGCAACTTGCTGCAAAAACCAAAATGTTTAGTGCAAAAAATTTAAAGTAAAGAAAGCTTTTAAAGCACAAACACCATGAATGTTTCTTAGATTAATTATAATCTGTTGATCTTTTGAATATTTCCATTGTATTTCATCCACTGGATGTAAATAATTTTTTGACAAATTGCCCCATAAAACACCTGTTTTTTCATTAAACCAGCTTTTTTAAATTCAAAATTTTTCTGTTTGCATTCATAGCCCTGATGCTGTAACTAAGTAATTTAACAACAAAAACTTCAATTTCCGGAGTCGAAAATTAGTTTTAGATGACTCATAGCTCATTATAACCATGTATAAGCTAAAATTCACTAAATACATTTTCGTGCTCTTTCTTACAATGACGTATCTCTTCCTGCGCCCTTTTTACAAAGACTTTCGGCTTATTCTGCAGAATACCCTAGCTCCAATAGGAAGTAGACTGGAACAACAGAACAGGCTTTATTGACCAATCACAAGTCAGAACCACATGCCGGGCACCGTCCATCCGAGATCACCACGTTGGCTACGCCGCTCGTTATATACTGTTCCATATTCGTGTCTTTCTCTGGTTGGCTGCATATCTTCCTCGCATGCCACTGGAATGCGGAGAGATAGAGGATTGGCTGAGGTCAGCGTGGTCCAATATGTCTGCGCCCAAAGAAACACCGTCACAATTCTACTTCTTCGGGAGCGTTATCGCATGAGTGTTTTGTAACTTAGTCGTTTGGGGTTGGTAATATTATTTTTTCCAAAATGGCGTCCTCGTTACCGACGTCAGTTCCCGTCTATGGCAAGTCAGTCAGTTATTGGGCCTTTATCGTGGCTCCTCCCTTTCTAATTGTGTTATCGGAACCAATGGGTGTTCAAGTTTTGTGCCTGTGTGACAGTCATTTCTTCTCCCAAGCTATTTTAAGTTGCCGCTGCACTTGCTTACATTTTATAGAATTGCGGTTCCTTGTACTGATATAATCCTACTTTGCTCTAAACTATGCCCGTGTACCATGTAAATGCCCGGTATTTTTATGAAAAGTAACCGCAAGGTTTAAAATCTTACAACTGCATCCGATTTACCAAACAATTATTTTCCTGACATTTGATTCATCAAAAGGGCTTGTCAAGTGAGACTCCTAGTGGCTGCAAATGAAATAAGTCCTCGTTGTGATTTATCTGAAGTAACATAAATTATTTGCAATTAATACGTGATTTATGTTTTGTCTTTGCATGTGTGCCGTTCTTGTTTCATGTCCTGGAATTTTTTTAGCATTATTATCTTTTAAACCTCCCACTGTATAGCGGTCGATTCCACGGAAAAGGATGTTGAATACACCGTTGAAATCCCGAACATGAAGGTCGTCAGAAATCTCTTTGGACCGAATTCAATAGACAATGGATCACTTCACTGTCAAATTTCGGAGAGGTAATCTGTTTTTCACTTTTCAATTCCAACTGGATGTGTTGTGGGCCCCAGCATGCGGTCTTGAACCACGCCGAGGCCAATGAGTTTGATCTGGCCCAATTATGCTTCCCTGATACTCGCGATGAAGAAAAGGACCGGAGAGGGCGCGGACACAACCGTTTACTTTAGAGCTCAAACACGTTGGTGCCGTTGTGTCGTGTGTGGGGTTTGCGCTTATGTATTTATACTTCGGATGTGTGAGTCACACATAATCCAAGATAAATATCTGTGTGAATGTGGGGGAAATTGATGATCCGCGCGACTGGCGACATGCTGCGAAAAGAGGAACCCTGTGCCGGAGGTGGAGCGACCGGGTTAAGGGATGTGAATAAACACGATTCACAACAGATGTATTCAATTTCGTACCAAACGCCACAAATATTCCGAAGAAAATGCCAATTCTTATTGTCTACCATTTAGGGGATTCGACCTAAAATTCACCGGTGCTAAAAACCTTGTTGGAAGAAATTACTCTCTATCCGTGTCAAACTTCCCCAGCGCAATTTACACCGCTAAAAGCTCTTGGAAACCACGCAACGGAGCAGTAGATATAAAGCTGCGTGTTTGTGTGAGTTCTTAAGTTTGTATATTCTAAATGGAATAAAAAAACACCAGCAGGCGTCAAGGTTGAACTTTTTTTCTGAACAACAACTGAGTGACCAGATTTGTAATACCTCTAGTCATATTTATCTGAAATCGCCATTCTGCCTCTTACCATCACCATGTAACCTGCGTTAGTCTGCATGCATTTTTTCGCCTTTTCAGTAACTACGCCTTGAAGAGGTATGCGTTCAAGCCTAGTTTAACAGCTATAATCAATAAATTGATGTTATCACTTTGTTTTAGAAAGCAATTTCACTAACCTCTGAGGTATGTTACCAAAACAGACTAAACTTGCAAAATAACTGGGTGCCTCTGTGTCAAAAAGCAAAAACAAGTATCCACGAATGAAGTTTTGACATTCCAATTCGTATCTAAATTTCACGTTGTCTTTGTAACGCAATTCCTTTGCGGATGAAAACCAAATTAAAGATAGATTGGCGTTGAAACTGCTTTTACCGACACATGAAGGATAGTCACTAAAATAGGCATTACGTGTCTTGAGTTAGTAATTATCAGGAACGCTTGCTTCTTTCTTACCATTGCAGGGTAATCCCAAAGAAGTGGAGGAAAAGCTTAAGGAAGAACGAAAAACCGAGGACCCCCCAACCCCCTGACTAATAGTTGTTATGATTTATTCCTCTATTTCATGCTTTGCCAAGTATCCCGAAAGGTTACTACACAGTCGTCTTGTCTTTTGCCGTATGGTCTGCATGATTGCCCGGATAAGCCGTTTACTCATTAAGTTGTCCTCAGGTAACCGTCTGTATCCCTTCTCACCAACGTTGACTTTCTGCTCAGTTTGTTCAATCACAGAATCGCTCACCATTGGCTGGGAAAAGTTCCCTCATCTGACCCATTCGATGATTATTTAACTATTCAGTTGCAGTTTTCTTGGGCTGTTGGAGTTATAACTGTGAATTTGCACGATAGTCACAGTTGCTCTACCAATTAACAGGATCGCCGCTACCACACGATTGAAATTAATTCGCAGTCTCTGATGGAATCTTAAGAACACACAGAGGGCGTGTCTATGCCTGTCTTTCCAAACACGGTGCTCTAGGGGCTTCAGAAACGTCGCTTTTAGAGCACCGTTCTTAAGACATGCCAAAGCTAGCACACACAATCGGACTCGTTGTGCGCATGTGGAGAAGGAAATCACTCATTCGCAAGTTGCGCAAAAGCATTTTGCAAGCGCCGCGATGGGTCGCTGTTTAGAAAAAAATAATCACCCATAGCAGGTCAGGGGTCCAAGTAGCAAAAAGCGTAAATGGTGCATATCTAGGAAAAACAGGCACTGGTTGGTCAGAGCCTCCGCTTCATATCAGACAACCTTCTTTGGTTGTGGGCGTCACCGTAGCGCTGTTTGAGCCGACGAGAATAGGAAGTGTCACCTCTGTGGTAGCGATCACCCTGGTTTTCATAGCCTCGGGATCGGTCCTCGGCCAGCTCGTTAGATTGGCCTCCTTCCATCCTCTCGCTGCGACTACCACCGCCACCGCCGCGGAAACTGCCCCGTTTGTGTTGCGCCGCACGTGGAGCATGATCATAGCCGTTTGTGTTGTTGGTTCTCGTTATCTCCCCTTTTCGTTCCGATGGGTACTCCGAACCTTGACTTATGTGGTATGAATTATCTGTGGCATCCGCTTGTCGCGTGACGCGGTTCTGTGCAGCATTACTGCAATACCGCCCCCGATTTTGTGGGGGTCTGGCATAACCCCTGCCTCTGGCCGCGTTCGCTCGATTGTCAGGAAGCCGTGTGTGAAACTCATAGTCGGTCTCCGGTGGCATCGGTTGTCGTGGAACCTCAATTTGCTGGTACACTTCGTTGCGACCTCTGCGTGATGTCTAAAACGCAAACATTCCTTACGATAAGAACTGACAGACCTCTAACCTATCAACACTTCTGAGTATGTTTACCAGCGGTGGATATGCTTCCAACAAATTTGCCTGGAATGTGAGACATGACTACTACAGTGCGTTTCAGACTTTTACAAAAACAACAGCAAGAAGCGCATTGCGCGCGCCAAGTCAGGTCTGACTAAGTTGCTCGCCACTGGTCCACTTCTTGCCGAACAGGCAAAAAAGGTGAAATCAACACAAACTACTAATGGTGTTGTATTTCCTCACTACACACCACGAACGTGTACAAAAGTGTAGAAAGGAATCTGATTAAACTAGGTTTAATTCCAGAAGGAGCATGGTGCGGAAGAAGTGACCTTCTTCGCATTGTGGCGACTTTAAGAGCGCTTTTGGCATGGAGGCGTCATAAAACGAACCAGAGAGCCAAGGTTATCACCAGACTACAGGAATGTTAGGCTAGACAGCTTGTCTAGATCAAGATCAACGGTCGAAAAGTGGTGTATTCTGTTGAAAATGCAGAATAGAAAACAAACTGCACTTTCTCTGGTATGTTTTAGATCAACACTGACTGGATGAATGTAGGCTGAACACCATCATAACTTCTGGCCCCGTATTGTTGAATCAAAAACCAACATTGTTAGACATAGCGCAGCCAAACCAAACATGCCTCTATATTAAAGGCTTCAAACTAACAGTAAACAGCTGGATGTATGTTGGCCAGTGGTCAGTACTTGCATTCTATTTTAGTACTGTGGCTATTGCTTACTAAAATCGGATTTAGGAAAAAAAAGTTAAGTATCACAAATGACTGATAGCGCAGGGGGACAATTATGAGTCATTTCAAGGCTTTTCATGCCCACGTTTGTGCCCTGACAAACAGATTGATTTGGACTTGAGTGAATCGCTTCGTTTACGAATTTGGTGTTTTATCGGCATACCGTTAGTCACCTATTGGTTTCCAAAATCGCATTCAACTTCTAAACCTATGACAAAGCAACTGCCAGCGGGAACAATGCTTGAAAAGTACCGGAAAAGTCCGAATAAGCATCTCGTCGAGGCCAGGTAAAGCAGCCAACCATGCGACAAAAACGGTCGTGATTCATAAACTGACTGGGATCAAGAAGAAAAGGATTGTGCCAACACACCTTACGACCAAAGCCTCGATTCCTCTCTCGAACGACTTCAGGGTTCTCAATTGGCAGCACATTTTTCCTTGGCTGCTGCTGAGCCGCATCCTACAAAGTTAAACAAAACATACAACTTACGCAAACCCTGAAATCTTGAAGCGCGTAACGTAGGCACCTCGCGTTTAAACTAAACACTCGACACTAGGGCGGTGGTCGAAGAACCAAGGTACCCATGGAAAGACGTACAGTGTTTGTTTAAACGGATCACTTTTTGCTCGTTGGTAGTTGAAAATGTACTTTATTCCAGTACTTGATTCTATGTACACAAGACCGTCGCTATGCTTAACCCTAGAGTTCGAAGACGGGACCAAATAAATCGAGTGAAGCCCAGGTATAAACATGAATTGACAGTGGAAACCGAATATCTTGAATAATATGAGGGGTGCCATCAATCGCCAGAGTCCAACGAACCTCTCTGACGGAATAGCGCCGGTCGGGCGAATCAGAGAACTTTTCTTTTCCTTCTTCTTTTCTTGCCATGCCTCCGAAAGCCAAGTTGAGTTCAGTGTCCTCAGCCTCCTCTTCAGCCACTCGCTCCAAGGCGATGCCTCCGTCGCCATCGTAGGTGTCGTCGTACTCGTCTTAAGGCAAAAGACAAAGTCACTAGTTCCGACTTCTCCAGCAAGAACAAAAACGCAAGACAACCTCATCTCACGCGTCAAGGTACCATCCAGCATCTATTCCTGAGTTGTAAACCACTCCTTACCGTCATAGATGGTCTCTACTAGCCCATTGGTGTTGGGTTGGACAAAGAAATCGCCTGAGTGTTCATCATCATCGTCCCAGACGCTGACAGCTAACTGCGTTATACGATCTCGGTCATCCTTTGAGAGGGGCTGCGTCTCGGCGTCGGCATTGCGCTTGCCCTGCCACAGTTGACCTGGCCTGAGTTGTTCGACGCCAGACGCCGCCGCACTTGCCAGATCCATCGTTCTAGTGAACGCGTCCAACGGCAAATTTTCTTTCACACTCGCGGTATGTCTACGTTGATGGAGCAGAGACGTAATGGAATTATTGCGCAGAAAGAGTACTAGGTAAATTTGTAAAATTATGACAGACCACAGGTAGAATGAATGATGCAAACGCAGACCTTTCACTGGCCCACCTCGACAGTGAAAGTTTCATTTGAGGCGCTTAGTACGCACCTATATAAAGGACGTCGCCAGCAATACAAATGGGACATAACAACTGCCATGGAAGCAAAACGTTTTTACCAAGCACTGTAAGAAAAAAACTATCTCGAATTCGACTTACTTGACGGCATCAGGATCCATAACCTCAGGGGGCACATTATCGTCCAAGAGCGCGGAGATTACAGCCGCAGAGTCATTTTTGTAATAATCAAGACATCGCTGGAAACGAAGGCAATATTATGTGAATACTTCCGCCTAGAATATGCCTGTGTGCACATCCAAGCAATCCCGACCCTCCAAATTGAAGTTTTCACACCGTTCAGATAAAAAGAAATTGGACTAACCACAATTAGATCGTCGTTAGTTTCAGGACAAACTTCCTTAACATCTAGAAATTCCCGAGGCCGTGAAGGACCAGGCTGTGGTTCAGCGTCGGCATCGTCGCCTAAAAGCGCGCTGACAGAAGGCGGCGCAACTTCCACCTTCACGGCCTGCTCTCGCCTTCCAACGGACTCGGCTGTCAACTGCGAGAAGCACTGCTGAATGTAGTCCAGTTGCTGCTTGTCCCTGGGAGGATACATAAACACGTGTGGCTGGCCAATTTAACTAGTCAGACTATCGAAGACTAGACTGTCTTCTAAAGACTTGTTTTTTTAATTAACAAGCAGCACTAAGAATTACAATCGAAGTGCTCATGGGGTATCTGACGGGATCAGACGCAATGCAGCACCACTATGCCGTACAAACAGGACCCACTTCCAAAGAGGGCAACCTGGACGTGAAAAGAGCCCAAGTGAGACATAGAAATGGCTTATAAAAGTAACAGTTTTAAGGATTTTTGTTACTTTCCGACGCTGAAAATGCAGGAATACGTAGAATTGGAAATACGGAAAATACATACAGGTCACCTGATTTCGACGTTTCTCGAAGCAAAATAATGTCGTCGTCGACGTGGTATAATGAGGCGTAGGCGATTGCAAATCTGTAAATAAGTCGATAAAGTGTCATATAAACGCTTGTAAGAGAACTGCAAGCAATCGAAGAGACGGATACATAAGTAGAAGACTAAGGATTCGAAAGAAAATCCATTGAAGTTTTGATGTCACGATGTTAAGTAGGATTCCTTGAAAGAAAAACGCAATTGACGAAAACTAACTCGCTGCAGTTGAGCATTTCCATCATGAGGGCAAGCAGGAGGTGAGAAGCCTTCTTAAGAGACTCAGCCTTAGACGAGACGGCAGAGGCGTCGGCGCGGTGCGGATCAGGTGCATCGAAGGCTAACTGCATAATCTTATGCACCAGGGCCGGTTCAATTATGCCCACACGTACCAGCTTCAAAAAGGCAGCTGCTGCCGTTGCCAATTTGCTCATTAGATCCGATTTCTGACTGAAGAAATGGAAAAAAAGGGTAGATTCAAACCATGAAAGGCAAAGAAGATGAATCAATTAAAACAGAGTTATAGGCTAATACTAATGTGCAGCCTGATTAGCATTCATGTAAGCGGATAGAATGGCGGGAAATGAATTCGTTCATTAGCTAGTCTGGAATATTGTATCACTTTAATTTTATTTAAAAGTAAAAAAAGTAGGAAGTTCCGATTGCCGTCCAATTCAGTGCGTTTTGTTTCCCAACATGCCACTAAAATTACTACCATCCAAACCAATGCAACATGTAAGATCGCAAACTTCATCGCGGAATTTAGGTTATCAGGCTAATCAGACAAAATGATTGCAGTTTTTTGCTTGTCAGCACTTTCCGGGGAAGTAGAATGCTGCAATTTTCGTTACGTGTAATAACAACTGAGGCTCACTTACTCATGAGTCCACGTTATGTTACGAAGAATGTGTCTACGGATGCCAATGATTGTAGTGTTATAGAAGTTGGCTAACCTGCAACAAATGCAAAAAATCTTTTCACAAAACTGCTCTTGAGTGCTGTTACGGGCACATCTAAGGCTGTAAGAAGGGTAAGGAGAAGGTTCATTCCGTAGAATCATTAATTATTGGGTGAAATGACCATTATGACTTTCAGATAGGATACGTCCCCTGATATCCTCAGTTTTGTTGCATTTTATACCAGAGTCTGTTTAACGACTTCACAATAGTCAAGAAACAAAACTTAAACACGATGAGCATCAAGGATGTTGAATTTAAATTACACAAGCCAGCAAGCTAAAATGGATAATGATTAAAACGACATGTTGGTTTCGATGTGTTAAATGCCATGAAAAGCAATATAAACGACCAGGCAATCGACTGCAAGTCGTGAGACACAACTAGGTAGCTTTCCACAGTGACGAAACAAGAGCCAGTAGGGCTGCCCTATTTGGTGACAAAGGTTTGAATAGTGTTTGAGGGCTATCAGTCAAGCACACAGACTTCTGTATGATTGACAACAAGACACGCACATCAAGATTGGGTTTAAATAATTACAGCGTTTCAAAAACCGAAAACGCATCGAAATCCCGATGTACCTAAGTCGATTATTTATGCCTACATCTAGTTATAAAAGTATGAATCATGCCTAAGCAGTACTAAGTGTTAGCCTTAACTACTAAAGAACACTCTGCTTCATGACAGCGAGCGAAAAGAAGGAAGTCACACTTTTGCGGGAATCGGCAGTTACATCGTGAGTACTGGCACTTACTTGGGCACAATATTGAGCTGAAGACATGTCTCGGCAACTGATGAGTTTACTTGGCCTACGAGCGCCAGGAAAACTCCCAGTGCCTTTCCGGCATCTGCAAGGTATTCTATTGTTTTTTCCACCGTGTTGAAAGCATCCGTGTCCGAAGAAACGGGTTGATGGTTAGTTTCAAACTGCCACTCACCCACACGCTTGCCTACCATTTCAAGCGCCTGAAATGAAGTTTTACCATTTAATATCTAAGTTGGGGCAGTTATGGAGTTAATGCATCATAACATTGCCAGCAGAATGCAAACGACATTATCCGAGATGAAAAAAAAATGGCGATGCTCAAGAGAGTGATTCGAGATTACCGATGGCAAACTTTGCAAGCATACTTGAATAACTAAAATTAGATCCGGCGTTAGAAAATTGCATGATGCTTAAGATTACCATGGTAGGGAAAACCGTGTATTTTTATGCTACAGCCCACTAATTCCCTAAAATAAGCGATGACGGCGCATTGAGAGTACGTGTCTTCATTGACCGGGTACAATTCTGGTGTCAACAAACTCGTGATACTGGCGTTGTTTTTTTTAAAACCACAGATATACCACACACTTTAGCTAATTTTGGAAATGTTGTGCATGTTTAACGGGGAAAAATTGGATAGACTTACGGCAACGGCACTCTCCATAATGTTTCCTGAATCCTTAATGTATTCACTGCCATTTTCAAACACCGATTTAAAAATATCAGAAACTAAGTCAGGTGAGTCGTGTCCATAGAGTGCAGCAAAATCAATTAAGCCAGGCACATCAAAAATCAGGTTCTTGTGTAAAAACTGTCGATGCTCAAATGGCCGTAAAAACATGTCCTAGAAATCCATTAATCAAAATAAAAACTTACATCTGATTCATGGGCTCTAGAAGCTCTCACATGAATCAAAAGGACAAGAGCATATATCTGCTTGATAATGCTCAAAAAGTCGTTTGGAATCGAGGTTGACTTTATATCTCTAAGCAAATCAATTTTAAACCTAGAGGAACCTTGGACACAATTGAAGAAACGATTTCATTGAGAGGGGTAACGATGCTTGATACAACAGCTACGGCCACTCACTGAAGGAATAAATATTAGCATTACCTCAGACCAGAACATATCGAATGGACTAGTTACAAGGGCAGAGTAGTATGACACAAGAAGTGACATGTCCATGAACCACTGGGAATTTTTACCGATGGAATAGTCCTGTTCATTAGGCATGCGAAATAAGGGGTACTGTTTTTTGGTGACCCAGTGAGAGTCCTTGATAACTTGCATTACAATTAGAAAATGGGGGCATTACCAGTAATCTGTACTCCTTACCATCAACTTTGCTTTGCCTGCTTAATTCCGCTACCGATTTTGCAGACATGAGGGTAAAGGGACAACTGCAGCGACGTATATACGGACGCAGACATATTGGATCACGCCGGCCTCAGTTTCTTTCTCCTTGAGTTCCAATGGCATGCAAGCAAGGTATGGAGCCAACGGAAGACAAACACATATAAGAAGCGGCATATTAGGAGCGGCGCAGCCAGAGTGGCGAACTCGAATGGACGGCGCCTGACGTATGGCTCTTGCTTGAGGTTGGTCAATTGTCTGTTGTACCAGTTTTCATTCCAAGACTTGGGTATTCTACACCCATTTGAAGCACAAGACCTTGAAAACTATTAGCCAATTGGATTAGCCATGGCATATTTCCCGTTGCCGGTGTTTCGTGTGCTATTTGATAAGAATTCTCTATTGGGGCCCACTAAAATATTTTTTAGTAACAAAGAAGGATTATGTGTAGCAGGCAGCGTTTTTATCTGCTGATAAATAGTTACTGAAATACAGTTGACTTTGTTAGGAAAATATTCCGTGTAATTATTACACAAGCAACTTACATAAATACGTCATTACATTCGGACTGTTTGTTTTTTTATTTCACAAAAAGTTGGTTCTAAAATGTTCATTTTTAATTATTGCAAAAGTTGCCAAGAGGCAATTTTTAACTGATCATTGGACACGTCATTCTTCGAATAGATTAGGTCAGGTATTTTAGATATTTAATGTCTTGTATTGTTTGTATCAAATTTTTCTGCCTTTACAGAATTGATATGATGAACGATTTGGCTTTGCTTGCCTAGTAATCATTTCCATAGCATGATATTCATACCGAAGGTCACGCACCATACGTCGATGACCATGATGATAACCTAGTTTTCGCCTTAGAGCTCACCTATAATTACAATATAGAACCAGATTTGATCATTTTTAATGTTTAAAAGACTGTTGGAACTTCCATGAAATACAGTGCCGGCCTTTCATTCACTGCTTGGTTGTGACATACGGTAATTTATGCAGGCCATATGTATTTTTAGTCTCTACCTGAAATCTGCTATTTGGCAGGTTACATTATACCTTTTTACCCACCCATATTTGTTGGCATGTTACCATAGAGATTGAGGAATCGAGATAACGCCTTATGGCCTTGAAAGCGCTTTAACAAACTTACAAGGACCAATGAACGCTGACCTATACTGCGTTGTCTTAAACGAACAATCCAAATGGATAACATGGAATTAAGTACGAGGGACACTATCTAGAGAGTTATGCCCTTACCCGTCATCTTCGCATGGCGTTAATTAAATGTATTCTGGCCACTTGCATACTCGTAAAATGCTGCTTTGAGCAACATTGTCGCAAAATAGTATGCCGACGTACCCAGAGACATGAAAAAAATGTGGAACCTGGCGAGGCCCTTGAAATCCAATAGCATCCTGATACGTACCGTCGTAAGGCATTGCATTGGCCTAGAAAAGTGAATGTGTTTCGGAACTCTAAGGCGACTTAGCTATAGTGCATTATACCGCTTACCAATGATTCAACCACGCTCAGAGGCTCCTTGTAAGATTATCATATTTAAAGTTGACCTTAGCGCTGTTTTAGTAGAGCAGTCGAATGTAGAATACCTACAGGCTGCCTAACCTGAAGATTCACACTTAAGACCGATTTATGAAAGAAACCCCAGAATTAACTGATGAAGAAATAGTTAGCAGCAATGTTTATGCACGCATATCTGGTCTGCTTAAAACAATCATTTTTTTCTACGAATAGAATTTATCATCCCGTCGCACCGTAGGTTTCCATGGAGCAGGTTGCCTCACAGCTGCCCATCATTATGGGGCGTAGAGCGCTAGCAGAGTTAGACTAGGTCGCCTGTCGAGCTATTGGTAGACTGGCATGAGTGAGGCTTCGTCGCTGTAAGAACGCCACAATCCCAACCCTGGGTGGCTTAAGCTTCACTCAAAGCAATAGCCTGATTCAGAAATCTGAAAGAGCTTTTGCTATCGATTACTCCAACACAGAGTGAAATATGGGAGCCCTAAATAAGACTGACGTTGTTCCGTTGGCACAGAAAATACCAATGGAATTCATGGCTGGCTGGGTTACGTATCGTGGGAAATCGGAACACGTTTACACTGATTACAGCAGTCAGATTGTAAGCACGTTGCACAATGAACTATGTAGCCATTTACTCCTTCGCAGAAGCTGTAACACAGCCCTCTTTTTCCAAATAAGAAACCATTTAGAATGAGAGGATCTGACTTTAAAATTGATTTTATGGTAACATCTAGATAGATCTATTCTTTACCATTGGGATGTGGCCCACGCACCTAGACAGCTGGTGCCTATTCCAGCTGTGTATTCGGTAAAAGGCCTGACTCTGTAATAATGGCTTTTCAACCCATGTATCTGTACATCTCTGGGTGCCTGACGGGTTTACGGCAGCTAATTCTCTACTCTAGTAAATCGCCCAGATCGCAACATATTCTAGCTAATTGACTTAAGACATATTACCACAATAAACAAGAAGAAAATATTTTGCACGGAAGGGAGGGGCTAAAAGCTTAATGTTGCTTTGGAAGGACCCTATTTAATCAAACTACCTTCCAAGGTGAGGCTGCCCGCACTACTCGTAACCCCAGGATCGCCATCGGTTAAAGGTTCTGGTATCTAACAGAGTCGGAACTCGGCACTGAGGGTCCACGAATTTACAGTGAATCACCCCCGGTAGACCACACCGCTTAAGTATACGCTGCCGTGATCGACTCGGAGAAGCTTGGACAACTTGTCTGGGGAAGGGACTATGTAGAGGTCATCATGGGCTTACCAAGGAAGAAGCACGGGTTTAGATAGAAGGGGTTATATCCCATGAGCAGTCATGTAGTCTCCGACTTCATGGGCAGCGACGAATCGAATGAAGCGCCAAGATTATTAGTATTCAATTGCCATGGGAACTGCTCTTTCTCTTTCTATAAACCGGGACAGAACCAATCAGAAGCGCAAGCAACTGGGATCAGGGCAATTGAGCAAACGCGAGGATTTCGCTAGAACGCCATTGTGTCAGTAAATCTTGCTGACTTTTCCTTAAAGTGACTTATTGTCGTGGCTAAGTGCGCTACGACGCAGCCACCTTGACCATTTCTAATCAGTTCCGGTTAAATTGGCGGGAAGGAAAACCAATGACATTTGAAACACTGATTTTTTTAAGCAAAAAGACGCTACCTTCAAGACAGTCACAATGCTACTAAATGCAAAAGCATAATTGGTCTTCTATTAAGAGTTTAAGTTTAGCGAGGCTGTTAACATTGAGTGAATCATAATGTCACCACGCCAATAAACTCGGCAGTAATTTGCTCTGATAGACGTAGATTGGCACCACTTCAGTACCAGTATGGTACAAAACCAAGCTATTTATAACCAGTGGAAATAAATGTAACATTGAAACGTTCTTAAAACCGCAGATCAATAAGGAAGTATTCGTAGGAATAGCACAAAGCCGCTATGAAATTGACGAAATATGTGGCAGGGTCGAAGTTTCTATTTCATTTAACACATTTAACGACAGTCGTCTGATCCTTACTGGCTGGATGCGGATGGAGCGTCTATTGATTTCTACCAAATTTTCAATTCCTGCGTTAACCTTTGATTAACAGCCCATGGCTGCACATCGCATTTTCCATTGAGGCAATTGTCTCAAGTAGAAAAAGTCAATATAAATTGCTACGCATACTCACGGTCATTTACGAGTATGCACAAATCTGAAAACGAGTGGGTGTTTTACTCATTGCAACGCACTTAGCACCAACGCTTTGGAGACGACATGGTAATATCCGATCGGCGTATTGGAGCAATAAGAATACGACATTAACACACAGAAATAATGGACGATGTTAGTTCCTAACCAAATAGTCGATCAATAGTTTTGGCAAGCTTGACAGATAAGTCTTAGCTGATCAAATGGATTTTCACCCGTCAGGAAAGCAATCAGTTGAATTTACTTATCAAAAATCATGCGAATATCAAGCAAACAATGATAGGCGAGGTGCCTCTGAGAAATATACAATTCTAAGCCCAAGACAAAGATTCCGGAAAATACCGCACCATGATGTAGGTAATAATAAATCAACTGCAGATTTATAGCTGCATGCGCAGATGTCTTGACTCTATTGCCAATAAAGTGGCAATCGGCAGACTGCGGTAAACATGCATTTTAAATTAATTTCAGTCGAATCTGCACACCCAGAGAAAAATAATAATCCAACTTAATTACCCCATATCAGGGATACCTAGGTAGATAACCAATTCAAGCCCAATTAAGAGAATACGCATTTTAAGTAATTCGCTAGTGAGTTTTCAACGAATTTAATTTACACGCCCCCTGCACATGACTTCGCAAAACCTGAAATCAACCTCCACTTTCCTACTTCTTCTGTACAAGAGGGGGCGTGTGTTTATGCGTCAACAACACCCACGCTGTACCCCTGTATCAACCACGAAGTGGACCGATCAAGGCCTTAATCCATCCAATAAACCCAGTTGCCGGAAACAGAACTGGACTAAAGGCTTTTAAGCATATGCTTATGAGGCTACACTGTTTTGCGACGTGGATCACACAGGAGTTGTGTGTAGGTTGTATTAGTTGATCTAAATAGCATCCACGAGATCAGCTGACCGCCTGTTTTAAGTGCCACAGTTGTTCACCCTGCATTTTTAGTAAGAAATTACACAATATAGCCGACTTAAAAGGCTACCTGATTACTGTAACTTAGTTTGCGGTGATTTTCCAGAAAACTTTGCCATAGACGATGCTTAACTGAGTAAGCATTAGAACATAATAATCCCAAAAATAACATAATTAAGTTAAACATCTGTTCACTCATCCACTAGATCCGGTTGTGAAGATTTTTGGGCTGTAATTGAGCTTGGACACAATTTCTATCTCATGCAAGTAATCCGCCAAAGTACGTCATACTTATCACATCCCCCCTAAGGACAAGTTTGGAATACGAAACCAGCTATTGATATAAGCGGCGCCTCCCAAAATGACGAATCAGCAAATGTGGTGGCGGAGAGTTTGGATAGATAATAGAACGCACAAACATGGCAGGAGTGAGTGTTGGCGTGAAGAGACCCCTTAATTAACAACGTCCCACTATTGTGATATGTAATACGTGGGCGTCGATAAACCAGTACTCAAGAACACTCTACATTTTAAATAGAAAAAAATCACCATAAATGTTACAACATAGTGTTAAATCGAATGATGGGTAGTTAGTAGTCAAATAAGGTGGAAACTCAACGGATACAAAGCAAAGGTTATTTATCTTTACGGAGGTTATTGAATCGCGCAGAGAGGGCATCGAAATCGTCATCATCTGTTGTTGGGGGCGGCAAAGGCCCACTTCCGCCGGAAGCTTTTTTCTCATCTTCGTCATCAAGTTTAGTTCCAGAGGCATCATCGGGATGCTGATAAGGTGGTGGTGCTTCAGGTCCTTTGAAGTCTAAAAATGTCAGGTAAAATTTTTGAGGAGCAACGTATGGGTTTTCAGAGTTGAGCTTTCGCTGGTAGATGCTCACGAGGTATTACGGGACATCCGAGGTACAAATAATAATGAAGGCAAATTAAAGAGTAAATTTGGGTATCAGTGCATCAGTAAATAGTACTGGACACATTGTCTGACAAGGCGCTAAGGTCCTAATCGACTTCATGGAACGATAAGTTTCCCTGAGCTAATTAAATTACAACCGACACAAACTAGTCCTGATTTATTGGTTGAGGTTCAAACACCGTCCGAAAACCTGAATACCAAATGTTCATAAGACAAGCACTAAGATCTAATAAAACAAATTAGATGGTAAAGTTTTTAGCTGGCGAATAAGCAGGAATGATAGTGGAATAGTCAACTGAGTTACAGTCTAAGTACAACGACAAAGTGCTAGACGCCATAACATACAAGCCGAAAGAACGGGCTTAAATGTTATAGACAACTTCGGAGTACATAAAATGATTTCACTTCCATAGTATGACTAAAACAAATGTATGCATGGCCAATTCCTTTGTGCTCCGACGAGGGCATTTCCGTTTACATGAAACGATTTGAGACCAATTACTTCCGTGACAAAAATCCGAAGTAGGAAAAATCGCAAGTAGCATCCATTGTTATGAAAGTTAACACACGATTTATGAAAAGCGACCAAAATGTAAGCAGAAACAAGCAACTCATCTAACAGAAACAACGAATTCTGATAGCTCAAAATAGATAATTAAATACCATGGAATTGTTGACCACTTTCGCCGGGAATCGATGGAAGATCCATTGCCGACGGAGCACTTGCACCGGTATTTACTGGGTAAGGGGCACCTGGACCAGAAGGTGTTTTCTCAGCGTCAAGGAAGTCGCTTGACATGAGGTCATAAGGGGGGAGTGAAGGAGGCTCCCCCAAGTCCACAAGCTTACCACCAAAAGAGGTGTTGTTGAGCAAATTCTCATCGGGCGTAAATTCCACGTCATAACTACGAGCAATCTCAACCTAGTTTAGGGAATTAATGTCTATTTTGAACACAGGCTTACTAAATATGCTTCGCACAAATTTGCTGGAGGTGCTTTGACGTTAAGTTTGTGCATGACTTTAGCATTGACATCATGATTGGAATTTGTTGCGCAGGCCAATGCGAACTCCTTTCCATATTTAAGGGAAAATTGGTTTTTCAGAACTTCAAGTTCCGGGCAGTCGTATGATAATCGTGGAGTCACCCAAATAATTGTTGCGATAGCTTCTTTAAGACCTGGATCGCACTCGCTTAAAATTTATGTAAGTAAGAAGAAATATATGTCCTACGCAGTGGAAGTAATGAGTCCTAGACGTGTAGTAAGTAATTCACAATATAGTTCAATGATTTCCAACACCTCCAGTAAATAGTCTTCACGGACAATCTGCTCAACACGGATCCGAGCACGGTCGATTTTCTTAGCTTTCAAGTATTCAGCAAGTTCTCGGCGGGCACGGACATTCAATTCATTCTTTTTTTTGTACAGATTTTTTAGGCGAGTGCCACTAATGCGCAAGTTTGTTTTCAATTTATTTGAGTCAAATCTTGGAGCGAACATTCTTAAGCGGAACAAAAGTAAACTGTCAGGACATTGATCCCAGCGGCAAAAGTTTCGTGCAAAATAACAAAACCGAAATTGTGAAGTAGAATTATTTTAAAAAGATAAAGCACTACATGAATATTCATTAATAACATGTAGCGTAAAAAATTTTTTTAAATTAAATCAAATACTTTAATCTCATTTTGATGCTAAGCGAAAAAGCGATTATAAACGTAGAAACTAATGCGAGCAAACACAAATCACATCTAATCTACCTTTTTAGATACGATGCAATTTTAGGTGACTAATTAGTTACGCAGAATCATTAAATGCACACGCTCAAGCAGCTTCGAAAAAGTTTCATTGATTAAAATATTTGTTTATCATTGTTTATAAACCTATTCGTAGCTGAGAGAACCATTGATTTTTAGAAAACTATTCAGCGTAATGTGTACTAAAGACATTATGTCTAACAAAGAATGAACTGTATTTGTCAGAATTCTAAATAGTTGAAATTCCGTTTAAGATAGCGTATTTTTAATATTGATGAAAAATTTTTGTAGAACAAAAAGTCAAAACGACTTAAGTTAGATAGATAATTTACTTGCCACCATTCATTACACATAAATTTGTTTAGGAAAGGAAATGTTTCTGCATTACAATCAGTTAAAAATCTTCACATATTTGTGCGCCTGTGCCTGCTATGCTTTTTTGCACAGTAGTAACGTTATCTACAGAAGGACGCTTGATTAAAACTTGACTTTGGTTTCACAAAACAAGTTGTCTCTGGTATGATAATCAAAATTTTATCATTACTCAATTCCAAATTCAGTGTCAGTAAATAACTAATTACACCCATTCATCTTAAAAAAGATGTTTACTTTTTCTTAAAGCATTGTCATTTCAAGTTTGCATGGTGTAAGTATGTTCAAATACAGGCGTTTGAGCTACCATAATTCCGGGCTAAGGTTGATAATGACGTCAAATTTGTTAACTTCTAAATAGGGTAAATTTTTTTCTTTTATGTTGACCTAGAAGTCGATTTTATAAATAAACAATAACAGTTAGATTTGTGCTTATATCTTGGATGACAACTCGAAGTTGATGGTTGTTTGATCTAACTACTTTTAAAATAATCAACATCAGTTTCAGCTAAAATCGTGCCCTTTGGGCAGGGGCGGGTAATGTAAACACGTTCTTATTATTTCGAGGAGCATTCCAATTATGGGAACAGCTATGATTTTTCATTATGTACCTTTTGTACTTTTGTTTTTACACTTTTCCTTTGGAAAGTTGCAATCCGCCTTAGATCCGGAAGTTTATCAAACAGCTGTAAGTGCTCTTTACCGCCTATGCTTAATCTTTCGGTTCTTTGAGCGATCTCATCATATAGAATCTTGTGCCTAATGTTGATACCTATTGTGGTAATTTTTGGCAATAACAGGAATAAACGTAATACAAAAATTGTATTCATAAGCAATCAAAACTGTTTGTAAACTATCTTCTAATTTTTTTGTAAGATAATTTTGCATCTAGATGCTTGTTTAAACCCTCACAACTACAATTTGTCAAACATCGAAGCCTGTAGATAATTAATTTTTTCAGGTGAGCTCTTAAGGGTTACCGTTATCATATTTTTACGCGAACCCGTGGTTTTTACCACTAGTATCCATGATGTCCTATCAGGTTGTTAATATGTGTTAGTGTTCTACTATTGTCGCCTCTTTTTTATGACCAAATAAAGTTGCAGTGAATAGGTTTAGTTAACGAAGTAGTTTTAGTACCTAATCTCTTTTGACTAAGTCACCTTTTTTGTCTTTTGGAACTTTCTTCGCGATTTTTTATTCACCACTAAAACAAAAGCTGTTACTTAACCGATAATTTCCTAATTTTAGCGTGAAGTTATTGAAAGCAAAGGATACTGGGTCAAAGAATATGTAGTTGCAACTGAGGACGGGTTCTATCTCACTCTGCAACGGGTCGCTCAAAAGTCTAAGTTGAGTAATGCACAACGAAACGTTGTCCTGTTGCAACATGGTCTGCTTGACTCTGCGCACACGTGGATTAATAACTTGGCAAATCAAAGCTTGGGATTTATTCTTGCTGACCTGGGTTTCGATGTCTGGTTGGGTAACAGCCGTGGTAGTACCTACTCCCAAAGACATGCCTACCTTCAGCCCAGCGATTTAGCATTTTGGGAGTTTTCATGGGATGAAATGGCACATTACGATTTGCCTGCAGTCATCAATTTTATTGTTGGAGTAACAGGAGTTGACAAAATTTTCTATGTTGGACATTCACAGGTAATGTGTACACTCACTAACATGAGTATTTCTGATGTCATATTCTTGTAATGCCAGGGCTACAGAGCATTGGGTAAATTTGATGTTAGTCATTTATTTTAAGCTTGGGAATTCTGAGTTATGCTAAAAATCTACTGTTGGCCTGACCACAAGACCGCTTATGAATATTGCCCATAACTAGTTGTCCGTAGTTTATCACTGGCTTAGGTCACTAATGTAGATCTTCCTTATAACTCTATCACACTCAATCGACCCATTGTTTAACTTGGATTTTATTTTATAGGGTGCAGCAATAGCATTTTCTAAGCTTAACAGCGACGCCGCACTGCGTTCTCGAGTGGCCGCATTTGCCGCTCTTGCCCCAGCCGTTTATCTGGGTGATGTGGAAAGTCCTTTTCGCCTCCTTGTACCTGTTTGCAAAACTCTTGAAGTCGCAAAAGTTTGGCTTGGCTCCAGACGTTTTTTACCATCGAACTGGCTTGTGCGATTCCTAACCACATTTGTTTGTCAAAAGGAGAACTACCCTTTCGTTTGTAAAAACATCATTTTCCTTTTGGCAGGATATAATGCGAAAAACCTAAATACGGTACATCCATCTTTACATTTTTAACTTGCATTTCTCCTGAACTTCTTTTGAAAGATGACTAATTTGCTTGATTTGTTCATGATTGCATTAAGTGACTTTTTAAAATAGCCATTTTTCTGTAGATGCAGTGATTTGAAAAGCGACGACGTTTTATACCTGTTTTGTCCTATTAATGTAAGTGCTAAATATCAAGAGTAACTTGGGTTGATGTAGACACTAATCTAAGGGAGGGCTTAAGCCAGTTCATTTCAGTATCATATCTTTAGAGTTAGCCCTGCTGCTATACATGTTGCCAACTTTCTATGACGTAATTTTTTGTTTCATCTGTGACCTATTAAGTGGATAGCGTCACTGCGGCTATGAAATATACACGTAACCGGGAAAACATCGGACATATTTCCATTTAGGCGATATTGATGCGTTTTAGATGGTTATTTTTAAGTGATGCCTGCCCATCGATTTCGATTCAAGGTAGATTGGTGGTGCAACGTCAAATGACCTAATGCTGCTTGCTAATTTGTGCCGTCTTCTATTATCTGTTTTCGTTGTACCTGCAGACACGACTGCCAGTGTACGTCTCACATACTCCCGCCGGAACGTCCGTTCAAAACATTGTTCATTACTGCCAGGTAGGCTTATTATATTATCCTCCTGCTTGTTCCGCACAATATTTTGACTCAGTTTAATGGATGGGCGGCTACTGTTCCCCAAAGCAGTTAATGTGTGCACTTTTTACCGGTGTTAGTTTCACTGACTTACTGTCTCATAAGTTGCAAGCTGTGCGTTTTTGATTAGGACAGAAAACGTTGCTCAGAGTGGCAGAATGGTAAAAACGAGTAATCGACTACTGACAAGTGAAAAGCGTATATTCGTTGTAAAACCGTTTAATGCAGCAAACCTAAGTGCAACACGCAGCGGATTTCGAGAAAAAAATTTTGAACACTAAAAGGATAGACGAAGTCCAGCTTCATTCACCGCTTTAAATGAACCGGTTTGTATGAAGACCTTCCAAGTCCGTTTGCCACTTTGAACGAATCGGGTAGTTCGAGTTGCTTTTGGTCCTTATGCGCAAAAGTCCATAAGAACTTGATGTCTCTCAAAGATCAATTGCTAAATTGTTGCTCAAGGCCCAAGTAAAACCATATCCCCCCAATTTCCCAGCTTGCTAAGAGAAGATGAATTGTGAGTCGTGTTTCTGTAAGATCCCCTCCTCGTTGACTTTGTCTTACGCCTCTGGAATTTGTTCCTTGTGATGTACCAAAGAACTCGGTCTGCGCCAAAAAACCAACGCTTTTTATGCGCTAAAATCAACAAAGTCTTGTGTTGATCTGTGCGCTACTTTGTTCCACATAAAACTGAGAAATTTATTTGAGGATTTAATAATGTGTAACCTGAATATCGGTAAGTTTTGCCATTTTTAACAAAACTATTTCGACAGCCTGGTTACCTCGGACTTACCTTCGAATTTGAAATAAACAAAGGTTTTTTCACGTGGTATTTTGCGCACTAATCTAATGGGTTTTTTTAATTGGTTCGTGTTACGCGTGTACTATTCAAACGGCGTATTATTTGGAGAGAAGATAAACAACGCTAGCTTGCGACGGTCGAGGCTTGATGGTTTGATATATTGGGCCTTGACACCTATCAAAAATAAACACTTCATTATCGCACTGTCGATCTATCTTCAGTTAAGACAAATGTCTTTGAAATGGTGTCTTGTTCGTGAATATTAAAGCTACGTTTTCAGGCTATTGATTACGAAAAAAAAAACCGGGATCAAAGTGTTCAGCTTCTAACAGGATTACCTAACACTTTTAATCTATTTGAAAACATAATACTTTCAAATCGCCTTGTATTGATTTTTGATAACTCAACTTCAATTCGCACGAGATGCCTTTCCCTGAGTCGGTCTTGTTCACTCGAATTGGCGTTTGCAACTTAAAGAAAACGACCGTAGTAAACCCCATTGCCACATTTCCAGGTCTGAAGAGACTACCTGCTTTGATTTGATAAGCCTTGTAGTTTACTGATGAGTTTAATTATTTTTGGAAATGTTACTGTGGCCAGTCTCATGGTTGGTTAACTTTTCCAAATCATAACGATACTGCGGATGACATCTCAGGTTCCCGTGATAACTTCAAATTAATCCGAAGTCAGAAGTTGACATCCCAAGCGTGGGTTTTGGAATTTCGGTAATCTAGCTTGGTTTTAAACTTCAAATGTGATTTGTGATTTTTTGGTAATAAGTAACTTTTGAAATTTTGAATTTGACAAAGTCAAAATGGATTGAGATTGTGTAATTTGAATGGGCCGACTAAATGTCAAGGCTCATTTCTGTTTGACCTCAGTCTGTACGATTTGAGCTAATCCTGCAGTATTATTTCTCTAAACACCGAGGTGCCAGTCAAAATGTATTAGGACGTGGCTTAGGTCTGTTGTAAAAAGTCCATCGATGCTGTCAGAATTAAAACTGTACTGTCACTGTACACTAAGAGGGTGTTTAGAGGGTTTCCTTGTAGAAAAGGTTCTAGTGATGTCTTGGTTGCTTTCTTGGACCCGTCCTATAACCATACCGATTTCGTGTTTGCCTTCAGAGTATATCCCACGGACGATTCCAGGCCTTTGATTTTGGTACGAAAAAGAACATCGAAAAGTACAATCAAACGGCTCCACCGTTATTCCACTTGGACAACTTTGACATCCCTACCAGTGTCTACTATGGTGGCCGCGACTGGCTGGCGGCGCCGCAGGACGTGGAAAGGATCCTTCTAGAGCTGCCGAAAGTCCCTGGACGGGTGCGCAGTGTCTACTTACCGGATTATAACCACCTTGATTTCGTCTGGGGACTTGACGCTGCTAAACTGGTCTATTCCGACATTGTTGAATTCTTCAGAGGACATCAGTAGTCACTTGCTCTCCTACCACTGATATGGCTGCAACTAGATTTCCCCCTATCGTTTTTTTTGGCCCATTGATTTCAAACTGTCCCCAATTTATTACGTTTATTGTCCCACCTAACTTAGACATTCGTGTTTATATGCGAACAATTATTATGCTAATAACATAAATTCGCTTCTCTAGTATTCTCAGATGTATTAAAGCTTTTATATAGATTGCCACTCTGGTCAATTTTTATGTGGGCGACTTTTACACTATGCGTCAACACAGAGATGCCACCGCCTGTAAACGGCATTAACTGCAATCGGCTTGCTATCTTTTTCTTCTTTAAGACCATGTGTTTGGTTAATGCAAAAAACGATTTAAATTTTTCTGATTGATAGATCACAGTAGACATAGTTAGAGACCTAATATTTGACTTCTCACTTGAATGACTGGTCATTGTCACAATATTGTTGTCCACCGGTGTGTCCGCGTACAGTAGATCGCAGTCGTGAGAGTCAAACAACTGATTCACTGTTGGGAAACATTTCGATCCCTGTGCGATTGTTCTTAGTTAACGTCCATCGCTTTGACTAGATGCTCTGTCTACCTAAACACGATGGCTGTTGCATGCAATTGGTTTAGCACAGCCGTGGTATATTTATTCAGAAGTGGTTTGCCATTAGCGTCACTCATTGTGTTTGTCAGCCACATTTCGGTCATGAGTCACCTACTTTGTTTTGTTTTGTGATAGACTTATCGTTTTTTGGGTTTACTAATTCGGTTGAATTAGACATGCAGAAGTGGTTGTCAGTAGCCGGCATCCAGCTAGAGTTCCTCACATAGTCTATTTGGTTGTAAATGGCAATGAAGACGCAAATTTTCATGATAGCTCATTCACACAGGCCGTAGATCGTTATGTGAAAATCAGTAACAACTCAAGGCCGAAGCTTTAGCAAAACATGATTAGTGAATGACCTTTCTGCATGAGAGGGCCACGCATGCCCCTTTACAATACCTCTAAACGCCCTCGTCTTCGATTCATATTCGTAGCCATTTAGATGCAGCAGAAGAAAATATCACTGGAAATTTATCTTGTGTAGTCAATTAGGTCTACTGCCTGAATACAATTTCAATTATAATCTTTCAGAAACCAATGATGGTGGATGCTGAATTCAATAATGACTATTGGGGAATGCAAAATGCGAATGTGCTGAGTTTTATGCAGTGGGCTACTCATTTGAACTTAACTGAGCTCAAAGCTCAATTGTAAGGCATGACACAGGGTAGGGGTTGGCAAGACCATCAGTTAAGAAAGCTATCAGACAAGTCCTAAACTGCTAGAACTTCATCTGCGAAACATAGGTCAGCCAATGCCCATCCAGCTGTGGTAGTCTTCGTTTAAATCCTCATTGTCATTTGACAGGTCGATTTCACCTAAAAATGGCTTCCTAGTTCTAAAAAGGCATTGCTTGCTATGTAACTCATTTGACTGACACCTGGATACGTCTAAGGCAAGCCTCCTTCAAAGTAAAGCACGCGCATTGCAAATTCTGATATTTAAAAGAAACCCCTATCTTGTAGCACCCACAATTGCGGCGAATTCTTTGGCAAAATAGATTATGTGCAGCAACGAGCTAGAAACTAAACTACGTGTAGAGCTACTATGTTCAAAGTGATGCTTGTTTCGGAGGAACAAGTCAAAGGCACTCAGTTGGAATTACCCTAAAACTACAGACACCGTATTGTAAAATGTTAGGAAGAAGAGATGCGTTTTGCACTTAATTACCTCGCCAGGGAATACAGACTCAAGATAACAAGCTTTAAACGGACTGTATCTAGGGGGGGGTTTGCATTTTACAGATATATATATATATATATAAATACAACTGGGTGTCAAAATAGCGTTGGTGCGGAGTAGAAGTGGGGGCGGTCGACGCAGAAGAGGATGCGGGGATTTGTACGATCAAATGCATTTCCGGACTGCCCTAGGCTGGAATGCTGTGCTTGTAGATGAAGACAAATCCAGGGAGCTAGTTATTTGGAGTCTTCATTTTCGCGTTTTCAATCCTACAACGTAGTACTTTTTAATCAGAATATTCGAAATCTGCTGACCCTCGTGGATTCAACAAAGTACATCTACATCATAGATGTGCTTAATTTGTATGAAAATGCTGCATGATTAGGAAAAAAACACATGAACATTTGTTGTCAGGAGGGAACTTCGCGTGGATTATGTGGGTAACAAGCGAAAGAAAATAACCAGGTAAAGTTGGTGTAATTGGAGATACTCACAAATAATGTAGAGCCTATTTCGCTCCACGACTGTCGCTAACAACAGATTTCATTTCAGGAATTCTTGTAGTTGATCACTCTTTTGTGCTCATAAGGATCCTGGGAGCGTTGCATTGCTGAACCACACTGGGTGACTAATAATTCAACATTTATTTAATACGCCTTCCTTCCTTGATTGCACAAAGAGTAACCTTCGTTCCTGTCCAATATGCAATTCATCTGATAAGTCTACGAATAAGCAGGGCGTAAGCTATGTTTACGTGATGCAACGAGGTTCATTATTCCAAAAAATGCATTGGACCTAGCGAATTAAAATTTCAACACCTGAAAATACAAAGCAAGTGCTGTCATGTTTCTCATGGACACGAGACGGCACTGAGCATCCTTTGTGGCTGCAATCGAAAAAGGGAAATGGCGAAATCATTGGTAGAATCGGCAATGGAACGAGACTTAAGCAACCGTAACAGGTGCAATAAAAAAGAGCTACCCAAACCTACGCAAGAGATGGTTAGTAGCACCTTGTATCTCAAGTGTTATTATTAGGATCACAGATCAATGCCGATGCGTTGTGGTTCTGAACACTTTGTGAGATTTTAAGTGCACAACTTACCAACATCTTGCGCTGTGTCTGAGTGACGTTTTGTTTGGGTTTTTGTCTTTAGTCGTGCACACAAAATGAGCGTCGAGTTCGAAGCGATAAGCAGAGCCACGACCACTGCAAATTGGGTTTTTAATTGAACAGTATAATCAGCTGTGGTAAGATAGCTTGCAGATTAATTTAACTTGTCACGGATTGCTCAAGTCAATGCGGTACTGGTGTTAGGATAATTCAATCTATTAGTTGAGTGGAGGCTAGCGATCAAAATATGCCCCTAATTGCCGATTCGAATGACCATCCCTTAGCTGAATGTTGCACAAAGGTAAGCTAAGGTGTTTGAGCGTTAGACATTCGCAAATTGGGTTTAAATAAACAACAGCCATTTCAAATCATGGAATTGGCGTTATCTACTAAAATATACATCTCTACAAAACCTTTTAAGAAGCAACATTGGTTTAGTAAAATCTCACTGACTGGTATTTAAGAACATTCAACGGCCCTAAGATATACCAAAAATATTTTTAACTAGATTTTCATGTCAATCAGGCAGCCTATGTACAATTTCAGTCAGGGTATCACTCATGGAGTTTCAAGTCTTTCAATTTAGCATTTTCGATTCATCGTTTGGTCCAGATGTAATAAGTCATCACTATAAACCGGGAGTAAGCAGAAGGATGGACAATTTCATCTCAGGTCAGGTTTTGGTATGGCGAAAGCACGTGAGATTTTCCCTCACAAAGCCTTCGTGGATTCTGAGGCCGAAATTAGTGTAAAATCTCATTTATGCAGTCAAACACCAATTATAAATGTCGTGACAGTTAAAAATCCAGTTATACTCCTCGATTTTCCGAATGCCCGGAAACTTTTACTCTGATTTACCCTCCTTAGTGCATACTAAAGAAAGCAGACCCGTTTAATCCACAAATATTGAGACGGTGTGCCTTTAGTCCATCTCCCAAATCCGAATTAGTTATGCTAATAACTTTTTGGACATCTTTACTATATATCAATCAGTTTTTTTAAAAAAAAGTTAGTTCCAGTCAAGTGTCAAAATAACCAGTGTTAAATGTTTCAACATACAATCTTGTCCTGTGATTTAAAAAATTGTCCTGAATACTTTTGTCGACAGCCATCTGTTAACTTTAAATGGATCTCCTTCATTTTTGGTTAGAAATATCATGCACTTCAATTCGCTCTACTGATTTCAAATAAGTAGACTGAGCTCAGAACGGACATTGAAAAGCATAATTTCTTCTTTCACATTAATTGTACTGGCTCCATTCCCATTTTTTTGATGAATTCAATAGTAGGAAAATTTTTTTACAAAGAAGATGGTACATTAATTTGAAGAGCAAAAAGACGCAGTGACATTTGGTGGACACGAAGCGTGTGAGAGGACGCTACTGGCAAATTTTCTAATTCTGCAAAATTTTTGGTATCAAGGAGGCGTGCAAATATAGTTAAAAGTTGTTGTTTTATTGAATTTTAATAATGGTGGGTTTTGATGTGAGAAAGCACTGTAAGAATGGAAAACAATGGTGTTTGTCCTAAGTTAACTGTTATTGTTTTGCAGTGTGGATTGTGCAAGGACACTACTTTATTGCAGGTAATTAAATGATTTATCTTTACTCAAATGAAAGTTAATAGAGAAAATACTGACAGTTTATCGCACTGTCATGACATAGACCATGATGAATCAAACCTTTTGTTAAACTTAGAGTTGCTTAGTAGTGAATATTTTCTCAAACGAGTGTGAGTGAAGCGTATTCACGAGTCGATCGAATGCCATCGATTTTCGATTACAGTTGACGTTCGAGATGCACTCACGCGCTTGGCTATAAAAGACGCGTGTGGCCAAATGCAAATAAATCGTAACATTCCCTATCAGCGGTCTTGACTTTCCTCTCGGGCTATTACGGACTGTCAACTAGCAGGGTTGTAAAGTAGTGCTAACGAAGCTGCTAAATTTGTTGATCCCGAAAACCGCAACCACTGAATTTCGACTCCGCCAATTAGCAATTTCTCTCGAACTTTGCACAACCCTTTGTTTTGTTAACAATGAATAACCCTATTACTGTTAACCTGGGATCAGCAAACAGCATCTCAGGCAACTTTCACTTCAGCCGTCGTAATGCCCGAATTCGGTTTATGCAAGTCGAGACAGAATTTCGTAACCTAAAGGTGTCGTCCCAAGCCTTCAAATTCGCATTTACCAACTGAGGTCGCCACTGAAGTTGTCGATCTAGTTGAAACAAAGCCCCTGAAAATCCCTGTGACAAATTGAAAGCTACTGTTCTCGCACGAACCACCAGCTCGAATAAGGCCCGTCCTCGACACCTCCTACCTGGTGTTGAACTAGGCGGTAGGTCTCCGTCCAAACTCCCTCGCCATATGCGCTACCTTACCAGGGACATCAAGGTTGATGATTCTTTCCTGCGCCAGTTATGAGCGAAATGATTCCCGACAAACACGAATGAAATAATTTTGTTGCAGATCTCAGACAAACCATTGAAGAAATTTGCTAAAACGGCTGATAAAATTCACGAGTGTCTCTCTCAAGGACTGGAAAAAGGAAGTCGTCTTCCCTGGTGTAACAGCCAACGCCTACAAATTGGGCATTAATAAGTTTGAAGAACGCATGGACAAATTATCATTGAAAGTGGATGAATACACTACGGGTAACCTGATCGATTTCTATTGGCATTCGCAAAGCCGTCGACTTTCTTCATCACGTGTACGCCGACCAAGTCAATCAGGGAAACTATCTGGCCTGTGACGGTACGATCAGCGGTATTTTGACAAGGCGCAAGCCTGTAAATACCCATGTAGTCACCCCCAGGCCTTCAAGCCGTCCAACTTACCGTCGGAAAACGAGAAGGCCAGTCATTGAGGACAGCAGCTGGCTCAGGCACTCCACCAAATCGCCTATTTTACGTCCCTGATCGAGTGAGTGGCTTAAACTTCCTGATTGACACTGGTGCCGAGGTTTGCGTAATTCCGCCAGTACCTGTTAAACGCCACCTCGAAGCCTTTGGTCTGCGACTCCAAGCTGCGGATAATTCGCCCATTGTAATATATAGCCATCACAGCTTTACGTTAGATTAATCTCAATGTAAGTTGACAGAATTATTTTGTGGGAGTTGGTAAACCTCCTAGGGTTTAATACGGCAAAAAGATGAAAATCAAGACCGTTTTAATATCTAGGACACAAGGTTTTACCGAGATAGCGGCATTGTGTGAAGTAATGAAATTAATAAGTTTGTAAGCGTAAACGAATTTGTTAAAGAATGTAATTTTTGTAAACAAATTAGCAATACTTGCTCAATTTTGGTAATTCGATTATTCCGTACATGAGTAAGATATTAGTCAACTGTTTTGTTGAATTCAGCCATTCAAAGCAATAAAACGGACAAATTCTTGCTAGGCAAACAATGTGACGTAGAATATGAGATACCGTAACTTATCAAAAAATAAGTCAAACGTCGACACCTTTGAAAATCAGACCTTTTGTAATTTATGGGACAGAATTCAGGAAGTTTTTTTTATAAAACACAAAGTCTAATCTTGCGCAGACCTGTACATCTCAAGGAGCTATTTAAAATTTCGTAATTTCCAGTATTATCGAAACACATCTTAAATGTTTGCAGATAAAAATACTTGTCATTTGGCAAAACAAGAAACATTTGACATTTCAAAAAATAGCCTGACTTTGTCTATTCACTATTTTTCGACTTGACAAACTCGACTTAGCGGGAAATCAAAACTGCCATTGACGATGTCTCAAAAGTCGTTTAAAAAAAACAACCTTATTGAGACCGTACACTGCAAGGAAGTCGTAGTAATGACCACGCCTACATCCGAGTTTGCACACCGTCTGACCCAGACACTGAATAAATAAATAAAATTCTACGAAGCATTGGACAGATTTACACCTTGAGAATTATGAAAAATGTTTACACAGGGAGCTTAACTGCGCCTGGTTGCAGCATCTGCCGATTTTGTGAAATTATGACTGCCTCGGAAAATCTCACCGACAAAACAAACTATAGGGTGAAAAAACTTCCATTAACACGCATTTCTCAATTCATTCAGCCGTGCCTGACTTTCATAGTTTTATCAGGACAGTTCTTCCTCTACTCCCATTCTACACTGCGATTTTGGCATTGCTAAAATGTTGCAGGGCAAAAGGGGGAATGATTGGACTGACTAGAGGGTGGGGTGGGGTGACATATGGCTTTTGGAGACATGCAGAAGAGAACCTAGAGGGCAAAACAAAAAGCTGAACGTTTTCTACAGCTTAAGCCTCCTGAATTTCAAACACTAATTGGTTGTCAAGAAAACAGTATAGAAACCAAGCAGTTTTGCCTTTTGAATTCATTACTGTGTGCATTTTATTTGACTTAGACGGTCAAATGAAACTTGGGAGTTCTGGACACGGACGTTACGGTAGACATGGCATATGTTGATGTCTATACGTCAACATAATGCACGTAAAACACTGGAATCGGTATTTGGAAATGTTATTATACTCACTGGAAGTTGTCGCGTTTGCTTATCAGCGCAAATAAACGCACTGTTCAATCGCCATGATGGATTATACAGCCCACTTTGCACTATTTTGTTCTGCAATAAGACGGCTTTACACGCGAAAGCAATTCTCTCCAATGATTTGCAGAAGGCCTATGCTTGAAATAGCTGAAAGGACTACAGAACAAATGTCTCCCATGTACCCCAAATCGGTAGTTAACCACTCGACTGAAATGATGTGTGATCATGACCACTGTTCCCAACTAATAATTGAAAAAAAAATTAGATTTAAATGGAAAACTGAGATGCTTTACCACTCCATTCGATTTTGAGACGTTTTCTTCTGATGTTTCTACACTGGGAGTTCGAGTGGTTGTCAGCGGTGATTCGACAACCGAAACGGACAGGACAGTGACTACGGAGGTCTGATTGGTGCTTGTTGTGGTTAGGGGTTTCACTAGGTCTTTTCGGGTGCCACTGTTAGCCCCGCCTTGTTGCCACCCACTGCTTAGCATCTCAGGGTCGGAGTAAAGGTAGGTGTCGGAGGTGGTGGCAGCGGGAGTCGCCGAGTTGCCAGATGGATCAAACACCGCGGCACAGTTGAAGGGCCTTCGAGAGGCGTGCGCCACCTCACTGTCCGACTCGGCCAACAACGACGTCCCCCCAACACCACTTAGTGGTGAACGACGCAACTGACTTTTCACTGAAATCACCTAAACATGCGGAAATCGGAGGAACAGGTAGGACTGGATCCACAAACAAAGCGGTTGACTCACAGGCTGTGGATAAATAAAAAGCGTCTAAAATTTTGGCTTTGTGTGGAAATTATTCAAGGATTTGCAGGCTAATAAAAAAATCACCAGGAACTAAATACTTTCAGTTGGACTTATTGCAAATGATGAAAATTTCCTGTACAATCACTGGAAACCATTGAGTCACATGCTATATTTTAAAGTGATTTAAACCTTGACATGAAAATGTATTTGGGCAAAAATGTAGACCAACACAGCTTATCTAACATCGGAATGCGAAGAACAAAGAGCCACTAAGTGGTATACCGAGCATCTTTTACGCCAAATACGCGGCAATTCAACGACTTGGAGCGCATGTAAATAAAGCACTGTTTTCGATTTAATGAAACGAAATAAGCTGGAGTTGGTATGGCGGTTCTGACCTTGCTCCCTATTGTAGTCATTTGAAATTCAAGCGTCTACAGTATAGCTGATTTTCCGAATTGTCAGTTTCTATTAAATACGCTCTTTTTATCTCAACAAACCTAATTCAACTCCATACGCGTTGCAAGCTACACGCTAAGAACTCAAATGAACAATTGGAAATCCATGCGACCTATGTCAAAAGGTTAATTGAAAATGAGGACAGGATCAATTTTTACTGCATACTAAGTCTGAATAATTTAGTTGTCTGGGTTGCACAATCTCCCTTTGGTTCTCATCTATTTATATCGAGACATATACCAAAAAGGTTTTTTTTGTTAATTTGAATATTTAGCTCAAGTCAGTGAGTTTTATTTAAGTTTTTGATTTGTAGCAGAAAAAAATGGTTATGCAGATTTGTACATCGTAAATTTCTTTGAAATTATCTGCGTCTTAGACGTCGAAATCGGTGCTAAAAATGGTAATTGTCAAGAGTGTTAGTGAATGCCTTAACTGCAAAGAAACACATGTGCAGCCCGGTCAAGCGATCAAGATATCTTACACTTATGATTTATAGTGGATACAACGCAGCCCTAAAGCCTCACCTACACATGTGGGAACGAAGGCTAAAGTTAGCGGTAAAGAAATTGATTGATTCTGGACCATTTCATCCAAGTTTCAAATGTGAAAATGTCTGATTATATCTCCGAGTTTTGTTAAATAAAATGTCATTGTGGCCGGGTAAAGAAGGTACTAGTTTTGGACTCTCGTAAGGTCACCTTGACGCGGTCTAGCAATAAAACGAACAGGTGGTTTCGCAAGACGACAGCTTGCTTGGAAATGTAGATGCCAACTGCTTTGGTGGGTTCGGTGCGCCTGTCCTACTGCCCTTGCGGTCTTTGAACCACTTCCACCTTCAAACTTACTGTTTATTTCTTTATGCAGCAGTGTGACGACTACTTGCTAGATTTAAGGTTGGTTCAACCGCAATTACGGCATTTTCATAATACTGAGGTACGTTTTTTTTCAGATAAAAATTAAACCACGACTTTTATGCATTCGGGGACATTTCATCGACGATCGATTTTCACAGAATATTCTAGCTTAAACTAACTTTGACTTCGTTGATTGGTTATTTTGCCCGTGTTTATTATAAAAAAGGAGGCATGGGGATTTTTAACTACACAATCTGTTGACTGTGTTGCCTTTTCTGACTGCACATCATGAAATAGGCGTAAAAAATGCAAAACCACGCATCCGTTGCAATGGAGATTTAGAGGCATGTTACGTATCGTATCAGGCTAGATGCCAAAAAAAAAACACAAACAAGCTATCGTAACAATACAGAATTTACTTGTTGTGATTTGTCAAGGTGCTTCTCGTAGTCGAGATCACAAGTTTCCTCAGTGTTTTTTTCTAAAAAAATCGCTGGCTGAACTGCGAAACCATGAACCAAACATAGCGTAGTAAATTGCTTATAACACGTGCCAAGTTCAGAGCCTTTGCCAAAAGCCCGGTGTTAATTATGGTGTCTTTCTGAGTGGATGGAAGGACATAGGGAGCAAACACGCTTATTCTTGGAAATGAGAATGATACATTGAGGGACAGAATCAGAAGACACGGTCAACACACCTTAGAGATAAAGCAGGAGAACACTTTCAAATATCAACAACATGGCCAGGTTTTCGGTAATGCAGTATTGTTTTTGTCAGTGGTTTCAATGAATGCCTGTTACTAGGTGCACATTTCTTGACCTCCCTCAACTGCAAGTCAAAATGTATTAGCACTGAGTGGAAGAAGTAAAAAAATGTACAAAAGGCAAGTCTAGAGGGCTCCGCGGAAGTCTTTGTTCTATGCTAACGCAGAAGTGAAAAAAAGGCTGTTATTTGTAACCTTCTTAGACGAGGCATGTGACATTTTAACCGACAGGCTTGCCTTGCTACTGCTTACACGAGCTCATGTTATAGATTTACGAAGTTTTCAATTTTCCAGCAAAGTTTCCTATTTATTACAGTTTTCAGCAGACGGATGTTAATGTTTAGCTGCCATTCGCATCAACTGAGCGTTTAATAATTAAAGAAACTGGGGCTGACCTCGACACATTCATTTTCCCAACCATTTTTAGGGGAAAAAGCGGTTTAGCCTCTAGTATTATCCTAGAATTCCCTTATTCACTTAGTGAAATATCGGCATGATTGTGATGCCACACCCAAAAGTACCCACAACAATTTCACCTCCCCAAGACATTTCTTAATTGGCTTAAGACCCACTACTCGAATTCATGAAAAGTAAGTTTTCACAAACTGCAAAAATATGCATTTTTTGATTATTTCCCACAGCCAGAGTAAGGCGGGTTGGATTTGTTGGATAAAGTTTGGCCAAAGGAATAGCTAATGAAATGAAATTAAACATTGTATACAAATTGCATGAATTAGCACCCGGTCATTCTACTATTCAGTTGCTGTTTTACGAATTACCACCAAGTCTATAGTTTTTCCTATCTGAAGATGGTCAAAAAACCTTCCACGATTGCTTTGGGACGATCTTGGTTACCAGTGCCGCTTTAAAAACCACAATGAGAGTTCATAAGAATGACCTGAAGGTCAAACGTTAGACGAATGCAACTCACTGGTTTGGTTTTGGAATTGGCTTTGAGCAGTGCGCCAGACGCCGCGCCAACTGAATGCGAAATACTCCTAGGGCGATTCTTGTAGGTCACATCAACTGGTGGAATGGCGCTGGGGCCGAAACCGCTTGGTCTTCCCAAAGCGTGCTGAGGAGAAACCGGGAGGGGGTTGGTGCCTCTTCTCTGCAACGACATCGTGCTGCCGGGCTGATCATTTGGCATCGTCGATGAGGTTAGCAAGAACTCGGCGTCCAGGGAACGAGGCTCGTTGACAAGTACTTCCAGCGGTGTGCGTGTTCCACTGCTACGACGAATAAGGCTGCAGCTTCGGCGAGGTAATGCCGCAGTCGCTGTTCGTGGACGTGTGTAGTAATTTTGTTGGTAATATGAAGTAGTTGGCATGCCAAAAACCTCCTCACTCTGTTTCGCCGTCTGGTTTGGGCTGGTTTTTAGAAGCCGCATCAAGGTCTCGAGTTGAATCGTAAGGTCACGTCGGTTACCCTTGAGGATATATTACTTGATTTAAACAACTTAAATTGTAGTGGGTTAAAGTAACCAACCATACAGGAAAGCCGACGGATCAATGCTAATGGCAAATGCGAAATCTTCAACTATGCAAAATTATCTGTTAATGAAACCTCATCAATGAGCGATCTACTTGTAAAAAGTCGTTGGCTAAATTAAAAAAACGAAACAGTTGTAGTGAGTAGCCCAGATTTACGACCATCAACTCGGTCGTCGCAACCCTCAACACGCTGCCTACTTTTTCATAGCGCCCCCGTCTGTCAAATTGGACCGCCTGCTCATTTACCGTCATCATTGAGAGCTCCACTCATCTGGACATCAGTCATTTGTACTTTAACTAGGTCATCCCAACTGTGTCGGCAAACAACTTCATGAGTCATGCACGGCCTTGAACACAAACATGCGCGCGACAACGCCGTTGCCTCGACTTTATCTGGTCCCCTTTATCTTCCTTGGTATCTACGTTCCCTAACCGAACCAAGAGAAGACGGCCACCTCGGTGTGTTTCGGAACCACAAGTCAGGGCCTTCAACACATGGTATAACGCGAAACGTCTTCACAAAAGCCTTGCAGAACTTGAATTAGCTAACTGCCCTGCACATTTACTAATTACGATGATCTACCAAATAGGAATCTGTATGTAGTTAGTGCGTCGAGGATAATTTGGATGCTTTCACACTCAAAGGGTAGAATTCCTAAGAGGGGTCATGACTTGTGCTATGAGCAATTTTAGTTTAATCGAACCAGCATCACCTTCTCTTAAGCTACATTATGAGCATTCAGATTAAGGCGTTTAGGCAACCACCAGTCTATACTTTAATAACTAATAGCTGCGAGTGTTTTCATCGGAACTGATTTTGGTACACATCAGTGCTCACCTGTAAATCATTCATTCGGGCCTCCAGTTCAGATTTGCGCTGTCGAAGGGCATTGAGTTCAGCCACGAGCCTGGGGTCTTCGTTTTCACAAGACTGCGACGGCGGTTGAACAAGGCTTGCGGAGGCATTCTTGATGCCACTGTCTCGCATTGCAGCAGCGATTCCCGCGGCTTGATTCGCTTGTTCCATTTTCAGCCGCTGTATCTCCATTAAAATCTCCCTAAACAAGGCGACGTCAAATAAGCGCTCGAATCGACTTGAAAGTCAAACATTCTTTATTGAATTCTACAGCACTGAGTAAATTCTATCGCAGATATATCTTTTGTCCGACCATTAATAAAACGCGGCGGGTTGTAATGCTGTAAATTCATATTTGCTAATTCGCAACCTCAGATTCTAAGCCAGAAAGCACACACAAACAAGATTCTTCGTTGATCATTAACAAACTGTGATGAGATTCAAATCAGTCTTCATAAATTGCGATATAAAAAAGGCTGTTGACAGAAGTCAGTATTTTGGAATGAAGGCATCTTTCGCACCTGCGTATGTCAATAAACAGAGAGTTGAAGAGTCGGGAATGCAAGATCATAGGGCTGTAAGTTCATTGTTACGGAACCATCTCACCAATGTTAGCATTGAAGCTACGCAATTTAGTTTGAAGAAAAATGCCAGAGTGAGCAAACGAGAAATAGTAAAGGCCTATTTGATGGCCATTCAAGGTTATTTTAATTGCACTCAATAATACTGAAATGCAAGTTTTCGAGTTCGTACAAAGACCACGGTTATTGTTTGTCCAGGGTTACTTACAAAAGGTTTTATGACGGAATAACCCGCTGCCTGACAAGTGTTTGTAGAAACCTCGGAAAACCTGAAGGCATCATCGGCTGATCACATTTTAATTTTAAAAAAAATTTTGGTTCTAGAAGAAATGGCACAAACAACATCTTCGCAGTGAGTTATAGACTGGTGGGTGTGGAAATCGTGATAGTTCTGCAAACTGGTGACGAAGTGGGGTGTCTCAATTATGGCGATTTGTTTGTAAGGCAATCAGACCGCTTTATTGCCAAAGTAGAAAGACGCATTCGCATAATTGGCATGTCACACCACACTGAGAGCCCGAAATCAATTCCTATTTTATATTTTGTACTTAAAAAGTAAATACAATAAACGGACTCTTTAGTAGCAAATGACTCAAGCTCTTTAACACTTGTCCAGTATCATTGACAAACACTGAACAAAGCGGAGCTCAGTGGTTAATTAAATTTCCAACCGCCAAAATGTCGGAGGATACGTAAAAAATCCCAGATTTTCGTTCCAATTATCTTTCGTTTCACAAATCGGGTTATTTGTTTGCGTTAGTCGGACAACTGTCGTGACACTGACAATTTTTTATTTGCCGCGTTCATTTGCCAAGTCGGCATTTCAAAAGTGATTAAAAGGTGGCGAGGACTACTGTGCATCAAATCACTTAAGATTTAACTCAAAGACTAAAAGCTAACTGGCTTATTTAGTTAAAAAAAGACGCTGCAAGCAAAAAGCACATCAAGGCGTCGGTGGCTGTCTTAGTAAGAACGCCACATTGCTCCTCAAATCTCCCCTTTCAAGAGCCAAATAAATCAATTTTTTAACGCTTCATAATTGTTAAAGAGATAATATTAAAGATGCATCTGTTTGTCTCATATATTATGGGCAGTGGTTTCTTCACCACGTTAAATGCCCTATTTTGGAATCAGTATTTTTGTGGGCTAGATCATGCCACAAAGCTGCATGATCTTGAATTAGTTGTCGCATTAACGTCTGACGCTGTGTTGGGGCGGCGAAATCAACCTAACCATTTAGAAAAGAAAGCGGTTGATTTATTATGCCTAAACTTTAGGTAGCATGACTAAAATTTCCTTTCACTAATTATGAGTGGTGCCGTTAATTGTACTTGATGTTACCAATGAATCCTTATTAGGGAGTGTGAATTGGCGTTGTAAATATCCTGAGTATAACCGACAAGTAATCAATATAGTTAATTTGTTTAAAATTTTGGGATAAAAAAATCAACACTAATATAGGTTATTAGACAGAGCGACAGTATTTGCTTTCACAGCAGGATTCAAACACTTTAATTGGGCATAACAACCGAAGGCAAAGAAAACTATATTAACAACAGTTACCTGTTTTTAGCTTCAAGTTGCGCAACGAGTTCCTTCTGAGACTGTGTTGAACTGACAATTTCATCGATATTCTAAACAGCATAATGCGAAACTGAGTGGCTGTTAGTTTATGGTAAAAACCAACAACATAAGTGTAGTTATAGATAAATCATAGAGCAAAGTTAGCGTCAATCACTAAAAGCAATCCTTAGTTGTCTAAACTAAATATACCCGTAAACACCTTCACATTATTTAGAGTACCTGGCCTGTAGCAGATCCCACTGTAGCAAGACGACCCGGGTAATTTGCGATCAGCTTGTGTTGATCTGGCTTCCCAACACCCGTCTGACTCGGAGCCTGCCTGAACAGAGATCCATCGACAGGTGGCTGCTGCTGAAGGTGCTTCCTACCTAGGGTTCCGTCTGGGATTCCCATGGAAGCGCTCATTGTGCCTTCCACACCTACTGTCTCAGCTCTAAAAGTTAAAACAGAGTGGACGCTTAGTGTCCATAACACATTAAAATACAGTGTAAGGTATAACCATTTTAATTTGCACAAACCAAAGCTTGGAAGTTACAGTGAGGTTAATGACGGTTAGAAGTTTGAAAAGATGGCTTATGACTAAAACATTTTGGACATCGTGATTACCGATTTGTTGTCTAGGTGGTAAGACAGGAGACACTTGTGGAGGACGACGTTACGTCTTACCATTTGGTAAACAGGAGACACGAATATAGGATATCACTGACAACATTACAGATACTGGTGTTTAAATAAATCAAATGTCTGGTAGTCAACATGCCTAATGTGTGCTCCAATCTTATTTTAATGTCTGATCAAAATCAAGCTGCAATAATTTCGTGATGTGCGGTAAAACAGGCAGAATCAAACTTTTTTTGCAAACGATAAATTTACCAATCAGCCTGAAACAACTCCAAAAGACACCTTTTTATTAGCAGTATAAATCGCCTACTCCGTTTACTGTAATTACTTGCAAAATAATAAATTTTGCGCTGAACGGAATATTGTCTACACGTCCGAGCATGTATAATTATATGTTTACTTACGCGTCTACAGTTGTTAAGTCTTTTAAACTAAGACCAGCCACCCCTGGATAATGTACTGTTACGTAACTTAGTTAAAACCTTGGTTAAGAATTAACTTTATTGTAGCCTGCAGGCTTACAATGACAAAACACTACCAAAATTTTCTTAACAGTTTTTAAACTAATTTTAATACCTATTTCAAAAGCCATGATAGCTTCGACGACACGTCTTTCATGCCCGCACGTCACTTATGGCATCTCGTCCCTTCGACGAAACAAAATGGCATTTCTTGATAAAAAAAAAATTGATTTTGTCTATCTTGTTTATTAAGTGATGGAGGAAATTAGGGCATTATTGAATTGAGGGGTTCCTAAACAACAAAATATTGAATGAAAATGATTTTTTGATAATGATGCTTAACTGGCACTCTAGGTATTGAGAGTTCCATTGATTTGATGGGAAATGATTTATATCATATTACAAAAATGAAAATTTTAGCAGGTACGCGAACGGCAATAAAATTAACTGATGGAAATCAAACGACGGCCACGTGATTGGTTGGTGAGCTGTAGATGCAAATTCTTCTGGCTAGGCTGTCTGAACCGACTGAACGCGGAACACCGTTTCAAAAACAGGATCTGCAGACCAGAGACAGTGATGTTACGGTGTTTTGTCTGGATGATCATATGATTTTACAGACAAAATGCCACACGAAAATGAAGCAGCACGTACGCAGACGCGCCATACACGGCAGTGGTTGGTGTGGTGGCCACAGTGCCTGCTGCACCAATTTCTGCGTCGGTGGATAGTTGGCGCTGAGAAAGAAGCCCCCCGAGTTGCTGTCTTTGTGGCAGAGGCTGGGTGACAGAGTGATGTCGTTGCGAGACTTGCTGTTGAAGTAGATTGTTGTTGGAGTTGCGTTTGACTCCAGTCGAGAGCACCGTGGACGATTTTGGATCTATAACAAATCGCATCGATTACAGCCACGCCTTCGCTTTTTTATCGCGAAAAAAACATTTAACGCTTACTTTGGGTTGTAGTTTTTTTTGTAAATTCTTCGTCGACCCAACAAATGCTGCCATGAAGACGGACTATAGTCATGCAGGCGCAGACATCTTTATACTATGATTAGCTGGGAGGGGCTATAGATTTCCACACAAACTCCAACCTAGGCTTTACACCAAACCGACATTCTTCGGATTGAGGACCGGTACAATCACGACGTGGTTATATTAGATTGCTAGGCAGTGACAGTATCAACAATTAACCAGCCAATACCGGCTAAGGCGGCAATTTTTCAAGGCAGTGCACAACCCCAATATATTCTTTCTTCAGGGACGCCATTAGCTTTTTTTGAGGATCAATTCTGCAAATATACCGACAGTATTTTGTTGCATAAATGCTCAAAGTTTTAGACAAATATTGACTTTTTTGTCAAGTAAAAAATTGACATTTTTACAAAACTTTCTCAAGTTTGTCTATATTAGCCTTCTACTTACCCGTTCCCTGCGGTGAAATTGGCTGCACAGAGGTAGAATTGAAGGTGGGTGAAAGCACCGCCTGCTGTTGCTGCTGCCGAGGTATCGTCGTGGATCTTTGAAAGTGGCGAGTTTGCATAACTGGCGTCGGAGGCGGTCTCACGAAAGTTCCCTGAACGGGATAGTAGTAGCTCGGAGGGAAGCCTGGCTGAATAACTGGTGAAGGGAATCCTGGTCGGTACATACGATACTGTGGAAACGTCGTTAAAGAAGTTTGCTGTTGAAGCTGCGGAGCGCGGCTGGTGGCTTTGACTTGCTGTGCAGGCGTGGAGCTACCAGAAGGAAGACTGTGTTGACGACCGAATTGAAACGATTTTCTCAAGGAGTGGCCGAATTGCCTGGAATGAGTCTTCTAAAAAATAAACCAATGTGTTTATTCCAAGTAGAGTATCTACCAGACAAACAGCGTGGGCCAGACTTCATGATTACGATATTATTTTCAAATTGTCACACCAATGCTGATAAAAGCCATTGCATCTCATTTCTGGGACTCGTGGAATGCGTAAGTAAATTGTAGAAATAGGGTCGCACACCAGGTATCAACTCAAAGTCACGCAAAAGGAATCATTTTAGTTGAAAGGTCAGATGTTCTATTAGAGCAAGTGAACCCTTTGAGAAATCTCATGCCATCGAAGAAGGTTAGCTGTGGAGGTTGACGTTGCACAAATGGGATATGGGCAACAGCATAATTGCCGTCATGATTACTGGACCATCCGATAAACTACTATAAAGAGAGTTTACACTTGATTTTAATATCACAAGGCTCATAAAAGCCCAGGCCATAAAATGATTGGTTTTAAAAGAATTTGTGGAAATATCTGTGCGCTTTAATCAAATAAACTTCTGTTCTAATTGGAAATTAACGGTTAGCAACAACACTCCAGAATGCCGTGGGCCAACAAGGAGTTGACTACAAATATTGCAAGGAACTTCTAAAACGTAGATTACGTGCTACTTAAAATGCAGTACAGCAAACCTACTTTATTCATTTGTTTTGGGTGAAAAACTCCACTGGTTTCTCAAAACAAAACCCTTTTTAATTGGAAAATATCGTGGTGAAGAAGGTTTAAGGAGTCTCAGATGCTTACCGTTGCAGTCGTGTACTCCTTCACATCGTGACTGTTGGTGTGGGAGTCGGTAGTGATGCCGGTCCAAAAGCAATCCTGACAAAGACTGTACCGCGGACACCGGGTACACTTGTACCTCAACCCCACGATCGGTTCTCGTTTGCAGCCTTCGCACTTGAGTGGGTGTTGAACTGTTTTAAAAGAAAAAAAGGGCTCACTCTAAGTTACCTTAAATGCACATTTAAAAATTGGTTTCCGGAGAAGTGAGTTTAGTCAGATTTTTCAGACAATATTGGATCACAGCCAATCCCCTGCAAACTATAAGCTTAATTTTAGCTATCACCGTGTCGCAGATCTCTATAAATTTTTCCAATTTTGCAGACAAAGTGATAGGCATTAAATTGACTCAACCCTTTCTATTACATTCATGTACATTATGATCAAAACGGCTTTTGTAAATCAACAGATTCAGTGTTCTTTATTTCATCTCACCACTACTTTAATCTCTGAAATATTCCACTGGTGTAAACATGTTCGACCTTGTTCAGTAAATGCGCTTCGTTTAATTATCAAAATAAATAATGGAACGAAGACATTGCCAGTGTTACTAATCCAAATGTTTAATGACAGAAGGGTGTCTTTGCATTCTAGTATGTGCTTTGACTAATAAACAAAATTTGAACAAATCTTCATAATAGTAATTAGTCATTATGGATGAATTTCTTGAAGTAGCTGCCTAAAGTTTCTTAGTTTAATACAACCTTACAGTTCATACGCATTATGTATTGAATAGATACAAAAAGGGTCTGTACTGTCATTGTGAATTCAACGAAATAAATAATGACGAATAGTTAACAAAACACATTGGTATCCCTCATACCCAATAGCGACTTCACTGTGATACGCTTGCACGTCAACCTACTAGATAGGCAGATTTCACTTTAACTCGCACTAAAACAATCGTTTCATGGATAAACTTGCTCCAGGGGATGTGTGCAGGGGTAGGGATTTATGCTTCGTGGTTTAACACATCAGAAATGTAAAAACAGTATGCTAAATGATGGTTTCATTGGAGAATTTTATCATTATCGTGACGGTAAGCAACTGAAGAACGCAGCATAGAATTAAAGACTACAGTTATGCAAAAGAAGTATTGTTATTTGAGAAACTCAGCAAAAGTGTACAATGACCTTTTAACTTTCTATAGAAGCAAAATCAAAATGCATGACTAATGGACTAATTGTTTCATATCACGTCAAAAAATCGATTAAAAATCCCAAGTACCCTTTTCATTAGCATGTTTTCAGAGACGTTTATTTATAATTGTGCTCAATCTACCGATTCAATATCAAGTCAAGTCGCACAAAATGGTGGTTTTGGTTAAAAGCTCAGCTGTTTCAGCGAGGCGCATAAATTTATGACAAAATATTCTCTCCTAATAACAGAAGGTCATTTTTAGAGACTTTGCAACGTGTCTTTCACAGAGGTAACGGCGTGAAGATGATCACAATGTGCAAAGGCCAAAATGTCATCTCTAATATTGCATGGCTGCCTATTTTATTATAAAAAAACAGTAAATTCTTTACTTGGGACAGGAAAAGTAGCAGGTAAGGCTGTACAAGTTAGTTTTTAAATGTCTAAGGAATAGCGATTTAAGAATTGCATGATTTCACTAATCGGATGCTTCATCCCCCACTTCAGCTGCCTTTCTTTCCTCATCAAGAAACGTTTTGCCATTTTATGCGACACTAAATCTCGAACATACTTATCAACATCCCTTGTGAGTTGTCTCATGTAAAAATTAATTTTAAAAACAAATTAAATATGCTTTTAGCGAGAAATATTAATTCGATGGTATATTCTGAATTCTAAAAACTTAGCACAGGCCAATATTACGAAGCTGCTTTAAATCAAGTTCATAATATCTAAGTGGCAAAGCCCAGAACATGCATGACGGAGGGGATAAGTAATCGGGCGTAAGCTGCACCAACAATTGCATAAGGCAAAAATTACTTCTGCACTTTAAAATGCTACCACAAAACACACATGATTGGTGCGGCTACATTTGGCCCATTTACTACAGCCTTCTTTACTATTATGGGCTCAGTTAGGTTAAATTTCACTTCTGGTTCATGTTACCATGTAGATGCATCACAAAGGCGCTCGATTGAAATGTTGAGCTTGTATTTGTGCCAAGCGCACTTATTTTCCATAAAAAATGCGCTTTCTACAAATTGGACTTACTACTGCTGATTACCGTGTCATAGGCCATCATTAGTATGAGCTATTTATCGGTCTTTAGACACGAGGCCTTGGGGAATGCTTTTAAGCTAGGCGCAATTTGGGAAAGTTAAGGTATCAAGCCACAAATCAGTGTTGTAGAATTAACTGCGAACAACGGATTTGCAAAATCAGAGAATATGCAGATAAAAGTGAATTACAACACTGTATTTCCTAATGCGTTTAAGTGAGCTTTTCAATTTAGACATCATCTTGACAAATTCTAATTTTAAAAACTCATGCCAAAAATAACATGAGGAATGAGTGTACACTAGAAGTTCATAGATTATTAAACTCCTTACGTGTGGTGCCTAGAGTAGCATAGGGTTCAACTCGCGATGCAACTTCTAATATACAAAACTAGTTTCATTAAAAAACCGAGCCTCCAGTGAGATCTACTTTTGGTAACATTGCGTAGGCGATCAAAATACGATTCTTTACATTAGTTAAAATGGCTACTAATATAGAGACAATCGAAGCAATACAATTTACAAATTTGCAAATGTTTAATATTTGGTTTTTTTCAAAAAAAACAAGCTTTATGAATGAAAGAATGGCATAGCTTACCGTTTTCCACAATGCCCAGACGATGAAATACCTTGAGCCAACTAAATGACTGAGGTCCGGGTTCGGCAAGCATTTTTTCCAGAAATTCTTCCAGCGAAATCGCCTTCGACTTCTGCAATTCGTGGGATTTGTAAGATGGATAAATGAGTACCTAACATCTCGATTCATCGTAAGCATTCATTTTCAAAATAATTGCCACTATAGAGCGTGTCGTCAAGCTTGTCAAAATATTACGCTCAACGCTTACAGCGAACACGGTCAACCTCATAAAAGCCCCTCACAGGAATCAAAAAAGTAGACATGTCATAGAACGTACGCCTGACAGGAGAAATTTCGACGTCTGGGCATTGTAGGAGAAGTTCGGTTCCTCAAATACCCCAACAGCAAGCGAAAGCAGTTCATGAAGGTAGGTCTCAAGTCGATCAATTTGGAGTGCTCCCGCATTATTGACTAATAAACTATAGTGATCTGTGAATCGAAAAACACAATGAAAGTCTCTTATGTAACTTGGAACGTTTAAATTCCTAAAAATGTTATTTTTTTTTAAAGAAAAGACAAAAAGAGCATTTTTATCATAAAATCTTTGCTGAAAATGTGTAATGTCCGCAAATTTACATCCTACATGCCGTTGGTAATGGTAACCTTGGCACTTTTTAGCAGTTGCAGAGTGAATATAACATGACGAAACTTTATTTTTTTTTCAAATTGAGGATTTATGAAACCTTTTTTTCTTGTCACGCATTAGTTATCAATTTACGCGCATTGTGTGAAGTTCAGCAACTACATAAATTAAAGTTTTTGTGCTTTGATTACATTAAACGAAATCTTCTCACATTCCATTAATTGTTTGGTGGCATGAGGTTTTAATCACCTTTTTTTTACAAAAAAATCCTAGAAAACTTGCTTTTTTCTCTGAAATCAGATTTGCAGGAAATAATGACTTTTAATTGGATGCTTTTAATCGACACAAACCACGTGCGCTGCTTTAAAACCCATAAAATTTATTATTTGACATTTAAAAACTTTTAGCCTTGATGTCCTAGACACATGCTTCAGAAGTACTAAAAAGTGCACTCAAAACCAAGGACGAAATTTGCCGAAAATGAAAATTATACTTACAGGGGTTAATTGCAGTTACTTTTTACATTAACGCAAATTATGTCTATGCATATTGTTACCTGCTGCAAACATATGTCTTCTTCTACCAATTAAATGTAATCTTAATGTTTTTAACATGTTTTACTCAATACACAGTATGTATGTGTGTGCACCGCGTAGATAGTTGTAGCAAAATGTTAACTACGAAAACTCGCAGTTTTTTACTAGCATCATCCAAGTAACTAGCGTTAACTAACATCAACCATAGAAGTGTTCTAATGAGCCCGTGCTTCAAATGAGACATGAATGCAACAAAAGAGCGAGCCAAGTAGCGCACAAAACTGTTACACAAGCCTTGAAAAAAAGCAGTGATTAAATGGACGCGATCAACACTGCGATGGTTAGTCATTGCTTCAGTTGAAAGTACTGATCCTAAGTCTATCCTAGTTGCTGACTCGCCTCTCTAGCCGAATTTGCACTAGCAAAATTAGTTTGTTAAGACGTGGACGGTAACACCAGCAAATTAACACGATGATATTGTAAAGCACACCTGCGTCCACCGTTAGCTTCGGTATAACAAGTATGCATTTAAAAAATCCAAGTGCTCATAAAGGGATCAAGAAGTGACGATTCTTTTAAAAGAAAGTATAGGCTTTCACAAAAACTTCATTTTAAACGTGTCAATGCTAGCCGGTTCCGTAACTTGTTTGTGTCATGGGTGGTCATGGAAAAAAATTATTGCCATTTTTTATTATAACCAAACGAACAACCGCACCTGAGAACACTTTATAGTCCTTTAATGCTCGATCGTTTGCGTGAAAGGCCTAATTTTTACGCAAGAAGCGTTTAAGCTAAGAAGACGAATAACCCAAACGATTACGGGTTATTACTTTGCAAAATATTCTAAATATCAATCTGGTCTTGAGTGTCTTCTAAGCAGAAGGAAAGCGTTCAAATGTAATCAAAACGAATCAACTAACATTTTGATTTTTCTTAACCACTATCTTAACTACGTATTATTAATAACATTCAAAATTTACTTTCCTAAATACTAGCTTGTTTTGCTCTAACTTTTGGGTTTGAATAAATACCTTCATCAAAGTAAACAAGCAGTTAGACAAAAGAGTCTGGTAAGTCTGTCAAGCACACCAAAATGCACAGGCATTTCGCGTAGATACAAGTCAATTTGTTGTTTAAATAGCTTGGGAGGCTAATAGGTGTGTAGGCAAAGGTGTTAAATCAGGATACCACTATTTTTTTAGATTATTCACAACTTTTGACCGAGGTCGGAATAAAGTAGCTATGAAAACGGACTCGCAGACATAATGGTACAAATTTTTATTGAGTCATGTCAAGCATTGCCTAAATAAATGGCTAAAGACATTGTCGTAAAACAGGTTTAAAATATTGTGACTTGAAGCACAACAGAACTCAGGAAAAACGTTAGAATTTTAATTTTGAAATTGAATGATTTCTTAGATCCGACATTTAAAAAATAATGTATAAAAACCTTACACCATAGCACTCAGCATTGTGTCGACAACAAGTTGAATTAATTAAATTACTGATGTTTTTAAAGTATAATAAATTTGATGCAAGAGACATAAAAAGTGCCTAGGTGTCATTCGGGTAAAAAGTGGGTCTTTGCTATTTAGACTGTTCTGATTAAAATGAACTATTAATGCAATCTATGAACTTCGCTATCAAGGAAATACTACCTACCCAAATTTAAATATACTGCATTAGAGACAATTTTAAAACTAACAGTGAATATTTTTACCTTAGGTTTTAATCTTTACCAAGCACATAGTGTATTATTAGCGAAAAAAGGTAGTTATTCCTTAACCAGGTTTTGAAGTCTTCGAAAAATGATTTCCAAAAAAGATGGATAGATAAACTGTGAATATTTTTTTCCCATTTTTTATTTATGCGTCCTTTCATCATTATTATACTTCACAAGAACATTCGTGTGCTTATACATCCATGGAAAACACAAATAAAGTCGTGCATAGGACCATTTTATGCATTTGTACAATACAGATTATAAATTTATTAGCATTAGATTCATTTGATTTGTGGAACATTGTGACATGGGGACACACAACACGTTGGTCGGATAAAATGTTGTGCGCCTACAGAGAGCATCCACAAATAGAATCATTCTCAAGTCCTGATGACAGGCGCAGTAACAACTGTCTTAGCCACCGAAATGCATGCAAGCGTGTGAAGCGCCTTGCCTCGCCTCCACCGCCACATCTTTTGGATGAAACAACACACGCTGGGACGGTGCAATATCACACCCCTGCTTAGACCAGATGCAACTAATTCGGACGCGGACTACAGCTTAAATACATTTCAAATGTGCTTGCATGGTGTAGAAAACAAATCACCAACGTGATTTATGTGCATTTAAAATGTTGAGTTTTTGTTCGTATGTGATTGCAATGCAGGAAGGCTTTGAAAAGAGCGTCGAAAATTATTTCAGCTTCATTTACTAGGGTGAGCTAAGAGTAAAATCTGTCTAACAAATTCTAAATGCTTTTTTTTCTTAAACGAAAATACGCAAATAAACACATATACGTGATTCGGTGTGGGTAACTTGCAGTTTTTAACCAAAAATTGACTTATCAAAGATGGCACCCCAGATGTCAAAATGAGTCGAAAATTCATGGAATCAATTAAGTCATTTTTTGGTACCTAAAACCAACGCAGTGTCTAAATGGTATGCCTTTTTAGTTCTGATCCAAAAGAACAGTGGTTAAAATTCACTTAGGCTTCTTATAAATTTTCAGATTTTTTCCTCTGCGTTTTCACTGAAATTAACTGGTTAACATGTGTGAGGTCTACGCTTGAAAAAAAGAACATAATTTTTTAAATTCCCAATTCCATGGAATTTTTTAAGATCCTTCTGGCAATCAGTTCACAACTTTTTACCTCCTAAAGTAACATTTTTGACACTTGTAAACATCTGCTAACAAAACACATGTGTAAAGGAAAAAAGTTCCCTAGACGTAGAAATGACTTTTCGAATTTGCCAAATAATAACAGGCAAGAGCATCTTTTTTAGGCGCAATATAATACTAAAATCACCATTTACAGTAAATTTTGGGAGTTCATCTATTTTGGATACATGAAAGAATCCAGTCGGCGACGTTGCTGGGTGTAAAAATTATTCAGTTTGTTTTATCAAAATTGGATAAACTGAACCAGAGGTGTGACACAAATTTCAGGCGTAAATTTCTATCCACCTGTTACGTTTGCCCGTAACAAAAGAGAGGACCACTCAAATAACGGTACCAGATCCCTAGCCGAAGCTAGAACCGACCTTCCCGGGGCTATTACAAGAACAAGACCAGAGCTCGTGCAGAGAGCTGTATTTACGTCAGCCACGTGCAGAGAAGAAGTGAAATCGAAAGTAATTCAAGTCAAGGTCAACCTTGACTTGATAAAAGCGTAACAAAACAAATGTTGATAAATTAATGTAAATAAAATTAGGAAACAATCATGGGGAATCGTGGATCCCCAACACCACCTGGGATCTTAGAAACGGACTGCGAACCATAGTGTTCAGCTAGTCTACTTAAAAAAAAACACATATTAGTCTTCCACAAGCCTAACGTCAAACGCATTAAACAGACTTGAATCAAAAAGCACACGGCTTTTAGGGTTGGAAACTGAACGCTGAGCAGTGCACGGTTAACGATTGTCATGAATTTTAATGACTCAGATTTTATTGGTGAATGCAAGGCCACTATTTTAATAGACTTGAGGGATCCTACCGACATTCAGAAACAACCACCAGGCTTCAAGAAAAGCGAACAATTTTTCACACCTTTATTCTGCCATTTACGTTCTAGAATTCAGCAACTTCTGTAACAGCCAGACACATTTCCTTGCAGTGATGGCGTGAGCAGCACAACGCGTTGACTACCATTGCGTAGAAGGGCGTCTTAGGAAAACACGTGGGGCCCATCGTTATTAGTCATTTAATATTCCTCAGCCAGTAAAACTTTTCTTTCCTAAACAAGATCTAATGACCAATTGCATAATTGACCCTAGAATCTGAGATTTTTACGTTTCAAGTGTGCATTTTGTCAGAAATCTCTACTACTTTGAAGTGATAAAAAATTCCGACTAAGACCACATTTACAATTGTGCACACAAAAGCTGAAAAAAAAGTAATATTCAAAATTCGGCTGAACCTGGTGGTTCTTTTTCACCCATCGCCTTTGATGTCAAACGTGCCATTTACTTTATGCTGTTCAACAGTTCATCTTTGAAAAATGACAGTTTGATTTGCAAATGACCAGATATTTTATTGATTGCCTTTTATCTTGTAATCACAATTTTGTACCATGAAACCTGAGTAGGTCCATTATGCCACACTTTCGATAACACACCTTAAGACATAAAGTTGGCAGATAGTTAAACAAGCACGTAAAAAACAAAATGCTGTGGATGATTTTAAAGCCATAAGCATAACAGTTATGCTTTCATTGTCCAATCAGATAATAATAATTATTCTGATACTAATTTATAATTAATTGTTGTCAGTGTTTATGATATGCTATTTTTTCAATCTTATGATCATCGCGATGTACCAAATCTATTTTTAATTTAAGCGTTCGACCTTGGCTCTAGCTTGTCATTTGAACACTCCACATAGGTTCGATGCGTAAGTTTCCGACATTCTGAACGAAAGCAGCAAATCGTATTTTTATTAAAACGTTTTCCCGAATGCTCCTCTTTCATAGATTTCTTTGGCATGAGAAATTGTGCTTAGCAGATTTAAACAACAAGCTGTCCAGACGGAGGTAAATGCTAAACGCAGTATTTGAAGTAATGAAGTACCTTTTTATTCCTTGAGATTTTTCCTAAAGAGGTCTCTTGCTAAAATAAAACAACCACACAACCAGAACCAACCGCATACCGAGGAGGCAATAAAATGCGAACCTTGTTTATGCAGGTGAAAACCCTGCTATAGCAAAGTATACCTGAAATTATTATTTTTATTTTTATACTTATATAACCTCTTCTTATACCAAAAAGTTAAGATATTACACCAAAACAACGTTGACAGTTAAACTTGGCTGAACGAGTAATATCCGGTTTTAACAACCAAGAAAGCGACGCATTTATCTAGCTAACAATTGCAGGCACCTATTTGGTTGTCATGGCTTTTGCTGTGATGAGAATGAAATTGTCACTTCCCTAGCAAGAAATCTAAAACAAAGGCATTAAAAAACTAACGATAGATGAAAAGGAGGCAAGAAATTGCTTCGCACTAAGACGGTTCTAATGATTCAGTAGGAAAATACAACATAATGGATTCCATTAAAATAACATAAGACCTACAGTATCAAGGTGTTGGGGATCCACGATTCCCCATGATTGGTTTCTAATTCTATTTACATTAATTTATAAACATCTGTTTTGGTACGCTTTTATCAAGTCATGGTCAACCTTGACTTGAATTACTTTCGATTTCACTTCTTCTCTGCACGTGGCTGACGTAAATACAGCTCTCTACACGAGCTCTGGTCTTGTTCTTGTATTAGCCTGGGAAAGTCGGTTCTAGCTTCCAGCAAGGGATTCGGTACCGTTATTTGAGTGGTCTTCTCTATTGTTACGGGCAAACGTAACAAATTTGGCGACGCAGGTGGGATTTTTCTTTTGATGAGTGACCTAGTGTTGGAACAATTACTCGAGCGGCTAGTGGTAATGCTGGCAGATCGCCAGTCGTCTCAGGCCGCTCCTGCCAGTACGCCGTCAATTGACGGCCTCACCAACAGTATCTCGGAGTTTTCCTATGATCCAGAGAACGGCGTAACGTTTAAGTCCTGGTATTGTCGCTACGAAGACCTGTTCCGAGTTGATCTCGCGTCCCAGAATGACGCATGGAAAGTCAGACTCCTTACCCGCAAACTGGGCCCATCCGAATTGAAGAAATACACAGACGCTATCCTCCCCAAATACTCACTTGACTTTACTTTTAGAGAAACCGTTCAAAATCTCAAGAGTAGGTTTGGAGAACGCACATCCTTATTCAGTATCCGATACCAATACCTCAAACTCGCAATAGGAGAGTTTGACGACTTCCTTGATCATCTGGTCGTGGTCAATCGAGAGTGCGAGAAAAGTCAATTCAAATCAATGACTGATGACCAACTCAAAGCTCTCATTCTCATATGCAGCCTTCAAATCCCTAAATACACGGATCTACGAACGCGGCTGCTACACTTGATTGATCAAAATCCCTGTGACACTGGACAATGTTCGCGATGAATACCTACGCTGGAGAAGCGTGCTGCATGACTCCAGAATGGTCCAAGCTGGTGGCCGCAGTGCTCCTTAAGTCATTAGGGTCCAATGTTTCCAAAAATCACCTCCCACTTCTGACCCTCCCAGCCCTCGTCAGCTGAAATCGAAAGGAGAATCAGCCGACACAAATCGTCGAAGGAGATCAAGGGACACTCCTTCCGAGTATTGGCACTGTGAAGCCTGGCATTATGTCAAGTTCTGTCCTTACAAACAGTACCGATACCAGCGATACCAATCTAAGGGCCACAAGGACGGATACTACAAATCATCCCCGTCAAACAGGAGTAGATGGCACCCTCACCTTCACACGAAGGAAAGGTCAAAAGCCAGCCCCACCATCTCTTCTCTCAGCCTACGAATCACCTCCGAAGACACTTCACAGCAGCAGAGGATGCATACAACCGTACTCATCAATGGTCATTCAGTTCGTCTGCAGCTAGACATCGCCTCGGATGTTACTATCATCTAGGAAACTCAATGGCGCTCCATCGGAAGTAATTCAAGTCAAGGTTGACCTTGACTTGATAAAAGCGTGACAAAACAAATCTTAATAAATTAATGTAAATAGAATTAGAAACCAATCTTGGGGAATCGTGGATCCCCAACACAAAGTTAGCAGTGTTTTAGGACATACGAACTGGTTGCAAAAAGAAAGCGTAACCAAATTGCACCTTAGTTCTGATAATACAAAATTTACGCTTTATATCACATTTATGTAATCGTCACTGCATTTATGTTTTCAAAATCGTTTGAATACATCACTAGCGAAGGTTATCGCCGACGTGTCCTCAGCAAAGATAGAGTCAGACACGGATGTCTTTATAAAGGAAGGTAATAAGACAGTTGTAAAAGGAAAATAAGAGCCTAACGCTGTGTGAACTACAAACCATCCAAAACATTGTCGAAAATCAGGCCTAATAAAATTACTTAACCAGAATTGATAACTGGATTTTGTTTATTGATTGCTCAAGTCAGATTTCAATTATACCAGTTTTTGACAAACATTAAAAAATATATATTTTTTTAACAATGTATCCTATGCACACAATTGTTTTAAATTAGGACAACACTTAACTTCTTAAACATTCTTTTATTTGAACTCTGAGTAATATTGAATAACTAGAATGAATAACTTGTGAGATGATACATCTGAAAGTTACAATCGCAATCTTATTTGATTCCATGTTTTGGATACCAAAAGCGAAGACTTCAGTTAAATGTGAAAAACAAAGTGGATTAAAAGTCATTTGACTGAGAGTGCGCGAACTTACAGGTAAACTTGTCTGCCGGTTTTCCCACAACAAGAGTTGATAACGCAACTTTGAGTCCACTGACAGGAAGGTGACCGCAATTGGTGGGATCCAGGATGTAGGTAAGCCAGCCCAAAATAATCTCACGGGCCTGGGCAAGCATTAATTGGGCGGCTGCCTCGCTGCAGAAACCTCCTTTCTCTGCACCCAGGGGTGCGATTGCAGAGTAGATGCTGTTTAGTAGCTGTTCGGTGCCCTGACGGTGAAGTGTAGCCATTGGGTCGGTCGCATGAAGACCAAGTTCTCGAAATATTTCCAGCAGACGTCCCAATTCCAATGAGCTTACTAATTAAAAAAAAAATAACAAACTTGATTAAACACAGGCATAAAGAGTGGCATCGGCAAGCAGTAATCCGCCACCCTCATGTTGTCTCAACTCTTTTGCCATAAAAGAGGGACTTGATCGAAGTTTGGGTCCACAAGGAACTTAAAAAGAGAAATGGGACAGATCATGGCTACATCCCAGCAAATCGAGGCATTTTGATGCACGTGCCGTGGACTTGTGAAGTCTAGATTACCTAATCCACTTGAAATCCACTCTTTTGCTCAAGACAATAGAGGAAACGTTGAGTTAGTGTGATTGACAATCTCAATCTTAGATGATTACGTTGTTTCTATTGTGAAGTTGCAGGTAAAAGAAATCATTTTTTGTAAAAACTACATAATGTCCGTACAGATCGTGAAAGGTAACACTTAATGCAAATGGAGAGCAGGCACAGCACAAAATGTCACACGGTTGTGGTCACTACCATCCACTTTTTCAAAAACCTCAAAGAACTAAAAACACCGGGAGGCAAAGCGCTTCTACACAAATCTTCGTTTCAATTCAAAAAAATATTTATTGATTGCCGCCATGAAAGTTACTAGGTTGATTTGTTAAAAAAAGCATTCAGCGGCTGTAAACCTACTTTGGGTGGTCCTAGAACTACACTTTAAACAGGAACACCTTGTAATCGGACAATCTTTGACCAAATTTGCTAGATTCTGCTTTCCTGCACATATTACCGAAAAATCACACTAGATTCACTTTGAAGCAGACTTCGTAATCCGTGATCAAAATTTTGTTAGTGCCTTTAGCTTTGGTCCAACATTACTTAACAAGCAAACTGTTGTTTTTGTAGAAAACGTCAAACATATTTCACACTTCTAATTGTCCGGGCTTCCATTAAGTTAGTTAGGCTGATCAAACATTCCGATCATCACCAGATGAGTCAGTGATAAAATCTGAAAAGCCCCTTTTTGCGGTTAGTAGCGCAGCAATTAAATGATAATGCTATGTAGATTAGCCGTCATAGTTAGGTCCACCAAAACTTTCATCTTTAAACTTTTTTATGCAGAAACAAATTTTCGAACAAATCGAAGTGTAACGAAGTGTCTAATAATGTAAGCTGTGGTAAACACTGAAAAATATGCTTAAAAAACCCCATGTCAAGCAATCCCACACAATTTTGAATTCCTTTTTCGCCTTGCCAAATCACTAAACCACAGAGAAAAGAAATATGTTTTATTTAAGCCAAATGGCAAAGGTTTTTAAATGGAACATTTAACTGTGGGTATAATCCAGACATCGTCAACTTCTCGCCACATTTGTTTTAATTAAAATGTCATACACACCGCGAAGTAAAGAACCTTAATTAACACATTTTAGGACTAGTCGCAGCAGAGGGTATCCAAAAAATGCGGCTACCCAATTTCAGCTATCATAAAGCATTGCATTCAGGAAACATTGAGCAGTTTTAAAAGCGAGATAATGATAACAACGACTTAAGATACATGAATATTTGGATAAAAAAAATATCTTAATGCGCCACGGAGATGAAAATTTGAAACACCATTAGTAGACCCCCACAGCACAAATCTCATTCCTTTTATTTATTCTGTTGTAGTGTATGTTTTAAAAGCAGCTAATGTGCTCGAGTTCAAGAGAAAAGCAGCTTAAAAATTGTCAGGGTTCCAAATGTTTTTTTTACCTAACTCATTAGACAGGCGAAATTTTGTACCTAGATTGAGCTATTGTGTAATCTAAGGTCCATCATCTTTACACAGAAGACGTGAATACATTGGGGATTCTTATGTTTTTTTTTAAATAAACCTTTTGTGCGCTTCTTTCGTGTCTCCTGGCATAAGCTTTTACGATGCATAAAAGGCAGAGAAGTGATCTGAGAGGAAAAATGCAATGCAAGCATTTCGTTCCCCTCATTCAATCACAACAGTTGGCCTAAATCTAGGCCACTAGAAAAAATCGATGACTTGGATTTTAGGCCAATAGGGTGCCTGCGTTTAAAAGTTGGAGATTTGAATTCGTATGTCGCATACGTGTTAATTCGGACACAAAACAAAACTGTCTGCTTTGGTTAAGTTAAGTTAAATAGACGCTTTTCAATAAGGGTCGTTGTTTTGTCCTAACAGCTTAGGCCAAAGTAAATTAAATTTATGCCTAAATGCAAAAGCGAGTTTGAAACAGTTCTTTCGAATGAACTTAAATTTAACATGTCTGGTTTCCATGTTCTTCAAGATGTTGAAATTCTTTAACATAATCTAATTCCGTCAAGTGGATGATGGAAACATCGATTTGTTTTAAACAAATTTAAGTTCCAAGATGGCCTTGAGCAATCACTTGTCGCAAGGGAAGATACTGTCTTAATGCGACACTCGACATGCACTTGTGTAACAGCTTAGGTCAACTTCAGTACTACATAATAAAACAGGACGTTTGATGCCTTCACCCTGTTTTACAACTTTTTTTAACTAATGGCAGAATTCACATTACCTGCTTAGTTTTGGTTTCAATTCGCCAAGAAGAGGGCTGGGCTTAAATGCAAATACTTGATGAATTGAGAGATTCTAAGAATATTTTACACAAATCACACCATTTCAAAAAAAAATTTTTAAAAATTCTTGCGGATATTTGCTACTTCACAGTTACGCTTAATCGATTCCTACTCAATGGATCAAATCGAAGGTGTCTGTATACCATACAAGCAATAAGTAGTTTTGAGCAACAGGTGAGAATGCATGAACTATTTGGAATTCAGACGTTGCATTTAGAGCGCAAGCAGCGTTTTACCGTTCAATGACTCATGGTACTTTGCATATTTAATTTTTTTCGTTTTTTTCGGATTGTCGAAATCTCTTACAGAATCTAAAGCAAGTATGATAAACCTACTTAACCCAAAAGACATCTATAATTTTTACACTACTTCATGGGTAAACCAATTGGTATGTGCTCTAACGCTTTTCCGAATTTTTTTCAATCTCCTGACGTTCTATTTCATTGATGTCCACTCGCCAGACATGACAGTCACGCTGTCCATGCATTTTATCGCCTACTTCCTGAACCGTAAGCAGGATATTGCATTCCGTGCTCGGGTCATTTGCTCTGATGGTTGCAGGTGGTTGCAATGATGTTGATGATGATATTGGGGCGAGGCCAGGCATCCAATCGATAGACGACATCAGCGCAGCCTCGACGTTGGCGCAAACTCGCGCGAAGAAGTTTGGATGCAGGCCAACCAATCAATGCACAGAAGGCATGACCATAACTCAGTAGCCAATAACTGTATTTTTGCCTACGGTCTCCAACAAAAGGGGAAATTTCACAAGCAAACGAACACCAATTACATAATTAATCAGAGCTCCTGTTTTATGACGATTTCAAACGTAATCTTATGGTCGTCCTGGCCCTCGTACAATTGTACACCATTACAACTTTTTCACTGGATTTTCAACCGCACTTTGTGATTTAAGTCGCTGTGCCTACCATAATGCCTTGAAAACAGGTTGCTTAGAATTGTAAAACGCCACATGTGTGCGCAATTTAAACTGTCCCAAACCTTCCAGAAACAAAGTTTTGAAAACAAAAAATGTAGTTTTAATTTAGATGTGCTAATAATTTAACGTCCCCATGTGATTCAGAGGTATTTGCAAGGACATTATAGAACAAATAAAAAAAAACAATTTCTGCTTAAGTTGGCCGTTCCATTATTTCTGGTGGTAGTTCGAAATGAGAGTGCGTTGAATATATGCTGGGGTCACGAAATCACTTTAACCTTATTTTGCAAAAGGTGGAATCTACCATAAGTATACTTGTGCGAAAACAAATAAAACTGATGGAAAACCTAGAATGTCATGAAAATGTCCTTTAAAAGTTCTCTAAAAAGCATGCCTAGAATTTTGCAATGAGTGAACATAAAGAAACTCTGGATAGAATTATGGCCCTTTGCCTAGACAGCTGAACTGTAATCACATTAGAATTTAAGACGTTGGAGCATTAATAGGTATAGATGCGATCACTTTGGTTTAACGCTACAAGAACTCATCTTAAAATCAACGTTACAAAGAAAAGTCTCAGGCGATTTATGAAACTTGGTAGATTTAAATGAATAACAGGAATCATTTTATAACAGTATCATTATCAATTGTGTGTTGTGTGAGTGTTAGTTAACGCTGTAGCGTGTACGCAAAGGGTCAATCGCTGTAGTGGGATAAGAAAGGAAGAAGTTGAAGTTAGTGATTTTGTCATACATTTCTTAATGTTAATAGTACTGCGTTCAGCCTTCGTCATTAGAGCCATTCGGACCAGGAAGACTTAATTTTCCTAGATAAGTCCTTCTGACCGATGTTGACAACTTTAACTCTTAATCCTAAGTTGTTTCAGTGGTCGGCGTGTCTAATTATAGGCATGTCAGTTGGGAAATAAGACCAAGTAGTGTCAAGTTGTCTTATAAGAATATCATGGCATTTTATAATAACGTTTTCTCTCGAGAACCGAATTTGTTTCATTTTTTTTTAATTCAAGGCAACCTCAGATAACGCACACCGAATCTGCTGCATGAAAATAACACAACTTGCTAATCTTACGTAATAGTTTTTATTCAAAACATCCTAAATTTTTCCGTGACAGCTTTTTTACCGGCAAACAAGTTGATTTTTTCTCCTTGTTACACCTTTATCAGCCATACTCGGTCAGTAACACTCAGATATCAATATGAAACACTCCAAAAAGTATTTTGTTAACCACAACCTTGCAAAGTAAAAGCCGGCTGCGTTTTTTTCGCTACGAAAACACTGAAGTCTCTCGCAGAACATCAAGTTCATTCGAATGGTTAACAATTAAGGAAATATTAATTTCTGTTTCCAGCAAAGAAATTCCCGGCTAACGTCTTGTAATTCATTTCAACGGGCATTTTCTTAAGTTCTCCAATACACAAGAGCAATTACAGGCAGTTAACTGAAAATGAACTGGCAACCACGTGTTTACTTGCTGCCCACAATTGGTGTCAGGTTTTCCATCTGATGCAAAATGTGCATTTAGAATTGAAACAAACTAGATGACGGGCTCCTACATAAATATTCACTATTACTACCTAAAAATGTTCTTTTCATGTAGCCACAGAAACAAAAAATTAAAGTATGACTTACGCAGTGTTCTCTTCTGAATGTAGCGCAGTTTGCTTGCTGTCCGATACGCGGCAAACCGGATCTGATCAAATTTTTTGGCCTCTACAAAAATGAGCTCAATAAAAATTCATGTAAATGACAGCAGATAATTTAAACCCTGGACTAGAAGAAGAGCATCTCATGGGCTTTGACAGGTTTGCATAAATTTAATCTCTCAGATAAAACAGCTAATATGAAATTTATAGTTACGTCATCAACATATTTGGCAGGGTTGTCAAGTAATTGTTATTGTAATTACATTTGATCATTTTTTTATTACCTAATAATTTACCACTTAGGGTTGTTTTTTGAAATCTTTGTTTATGGCTCCAACAAAAGTTTATGCATAAAACTACTTATTATATAGATGCATTTGACGCAAAACAAGTATCAATAAGCAAATTACTTTTAAATATACTGAACTATTATGAAATAGCTTACTTAATTCGGCTAAGAGCCGACGAAATCCAACAAATGCGGCATTGCTTGTGTCCGAAGCCGTTGTGAATACGGGGAACATCTGAGCTGTTTGCAGCTGATGATGTTGATAGTATGGTTGAGTACGAGGTGGTTGACTTGTCTGAGATGCGGTTAGTATTTGGGTTCCATTCGAGGAGTAAAATAGGTTACTCGTCTGTTCTTTGTTTGTATTTGTGGCCGCAGTTGTAATGGTTGATGCTGAGGGTTGCTGAAAGTCCTGTAAGCCTTGCATTTCAGCTTTGAGGAGTGTTGCTCAAAATATATTAGATCCTAAATTAGGTGTAGGTTCGTTACTGCTTCCCATGATAAAAATGATTGGCCCTGATTAAAATACAATTACTTTTAATCTACATAAAGCTCCGTCAAATAGCATACAAGTACGAATCTCATTAAACGATATTTGAAGAATAAATTTCCACGTAAACCAAAAAAAAGTATGGATTTATTTTGATTAAAATAATGACATAGATAAAGTTGTGCTACTAAATTTTAACTTTGCAACCTTTTTTTGCTATGTGTTTTGGAATTTTGTGCCCATTCTGTGGGAGGGTTAACAACTTAAAATCACTCATACGTGAATTTTACAATTCTGATTGCGTGTACTGCAGAATTGTCTATGAACTCATTAGTTGCATGATGAATCACAAGTGCACATTAGAGAGTAGAAACGACTAAATGCTATAGCGTAGGAACCACAGTCATTGTTACACGTTCTCAAGAAAATGAGGCAGAAACATTAGCTGCATTAATCAACAAAGTCGGTGATCAGAGGCATATTTATGATCAAGTATTTCCTTGCTTGTTTTAAATACTAATACAGAAAAGTCAACATGTAAACACTGATTAAGTAACAAGGTATCCAACGTATCAATTATGTCGAATGTTCTTATATCCAATCCATAAAGCCAGTGAAGTTTCATGTTTCTTAAACCAGAACAAACGTAAATGCAGTTTATATGGAAAAAGGTGCTAGGATAATATGGCGTGACAAGGTCGAGTAACTATTAGGAAAAATGAAAAAAAAAAGATTTTGGCTCATCAAAAAGCAGAGAAAAATGTTTATTTCCCTAAGCCTGGTCTTATATTAAACATTAACAAAGCATTTACAGGTTCATCAGAAAAATACAAAACAGCTTGATTAATAGGAAAATAACTTTTAAACAATCGTAAATTCAGCGTTAGGGTAAAATGTGTAGGTTAGTAATAGAGTACGAAGTCGTTTTTAAACAAACAAGAAAATATAAACAATTAACATAAAAGAGAGGATAAAAATAGCATTAAAAGTAAGCATTTCCTATGGCTATGATTCACATGAAAGTTTCTACAGAATACAGTGACTGAATTTTCGATTTATAGATGGATATAAATAAAAAAAAACAGACGCTAACAAAATACATATCAAAACAACAAAGCTGTTGTTTGCATCTAAAAACACTAATCATGTAGTGTCATGGTACATAAGTTTGATTTACCAGAAAGGTTACAGGTTTAAAAAAAGACTTTTTATTATTTAGTAAAATATATTTAGCCTTAGTCATACTTTAAAGAGACAAAAATCAAAATTAAAAATTCGTCTTATATAATAACTGCATCATAAATCTCACCTTTATAAAATCGTGTTAATCCGATTTTTCAGCGACCTGGACTTCATGTCATTCAAAATAACGGTAGTTTCTAAAAACAAATACAAACAACGTTCAAGGTCAAAGTTGCATAAAACATTTTGATTTTCGCCTAATAACAAGTTTCAAAAAAAACCTTTTGTTTATTTATGTAAACAATGTAATAAAATGAATACTGCTTACATTTTAAATGTTGGTTCATTAATTTAAATAAGACTGAAGGTATGCGAAACGGCAATTTGAAAAATAATACTCCAAAATAGTTTGTTATCCAAATAAAATTATCTCTGTGATTATATAAATGTAATAGGCTTTGAAGAATATTGTGTACACTGAGATTAGTTGATTAACTACTCTCACACTACATGACACATGAATACTCGTATTTTGTTTAATCAAATACAACACAATTTTTTCGCAATTTTGTGAAAAAAATATTTTGCTTGTTCTTGTGCAGTTTCACATATCAATTGAGCAATAAAGCGTGGTTAAATAAAGTTCATTTTTTTGCCTTATTTCAACCTTATTAGTTCACATTTCATCATAAAATTTTAGATGTTCCATGACAAAAATTTATGAGTTGTAGTATGAACAATAACTTTCTCAAATTCTACATGGTGAGCCTGGAAGCTACTAATACGTATTTTAAAATAATTTGTTAATAAACACTTGATAGACAAAGACAACTAAATTAGGTTTAACCGTTATTCAATATTACTTTACCCTTGTCTTTTTGGGATAGAAGGACTTTACGTGAGGGATAAACATGCAGGACTTGGAAAATAAACCTTGAACTCATGATTGAAATACCGAGAGTAGTTAGTGATGCTAAGGAGGTATTGGATTTGTACATTTAAACTTAAGGACACGAAGCAAAAGTATCTATGAAAAAAAGTCGACACAACAGTTTACTCTAACATCAATCCATGGAAAATACAAGCTGATTTTGTTAACGCTTTGCAAACGCCTCAAAACCTCGTAAAACCTAAAGTTTTGATTTAGGCGATCTTTAAGCATTGTTTTAAAAAAAATGTCTTCGAAATCATTTTTTTAAAGTCCATCATGGTTCGAACTCTAAAGCTAGAATCGCAACTGGACCCAATGCAGTAGCTATTAAATGCTTATGGCCTTTTATTTGTTGTGGGCTCCTGCATGTGGTCTTGGACCACGCCGGGGCCACTGAATTAACCCTGGCCTTATTACGCTTCCCTGATACCCGCGATGAAGAAAAAGATTGAAGAGGACGTGGACACAACCGTTTACCTCAGAGCTCAAGCACGTTAGTGTCGTTATGTCGTGTGTGGGGTTTGCGCGTGTATTTTTATAACTTCAGATGCGCTAACATCGAGACCTAGTAGTGAGGACAATCCAAGATGAATATTTGTGTAAATGAGAAGGGAGTTGAGGATCCGCGGGCTGGCGGCATGCCACGAAAAGGGGAACTCTGTGTCGGAGGATGGTGCGACCGAATTAGGGAGTGTGTACAAACACGATCAACAACGTATTTTGACGATGCTGTCAGTTATTTGGATTATACCCAAGTTGCACCAGCTACGTTACTACATTTATAGCATTTAAATGGTCACATTGGCACTAAATTGTGTAAAACGATGCTCATTTCTAAACCCGAGCTGATTTTAATGCCGAAAATAGTTGCCCCATTGGGGACCTTTTTTGTACATCTACGTTTTTTACCTTAAAAAAAAGTGACGCTCTCAAAGGACTATACTTTTGTGCTAATGAATTGCCAAACCCAATTCCCAAAACTTCAGCCTGATATACTGTACATTAACTTGACTGTGAATCCTAGAAGCAACGACGAACAATTCTAATCGGTACTTACTCATAACTGTCCCGAAGTATAGTGTATCGGGGATTCATTTAGACCAGAAAATCGATTTTTGATGATAGCAATTTACTCAATGCCATGGCGACAATGTTGCCAGGCAACTTGAGGTGCCAAGCCATTCTAATAAAGCTGAGGACAACACGATGACCCTCAGCATGGAAATCTTACTTGCAAGAGTGCGGAAAGAGAGACCACCCAAACAAACCGCGTCATTGGACTAGTACCTCAAAAAATAACGTATACAAGGAGACAATTGTAAGAATGTGCATTGATACGGTGATTTCCTTGGGATTACAGGTTTTAAAGGGATGGGAATAGTGGAGTAGCAAGTAGACACGATCACGGTGGTTCGCGACAAAATCTGACTAGATACTTTTAAGGTCAGCTGTGCCTCACGTCGGCACTTTACACTGTTGTCACCGATTCATGGTCAAGGCAATTGCGAAGGATTGTGCCAACAAGCTACTTGAGCAGTAACAAGAACCGAAATCATAATTTGGTTGGAGGTGAGAGGAATGTACTGCGGTAGAGCCTGGCGACGGTCGGTGCCCATTTGTCGAAGAGACTTCGACTCGCAGCCGCAAAGACACCCGAGTGATCGTCGATGGCGTCTGGATCGTTGGGGGAGAACTGGAAGCCTCTTGTGGTGTCGGCCATCGTTCGGACAACACCACCCCGGGCGTGGAGAATGGCCGAGGGCGCACACAAATCCCAGCGTCGGGCTCCCCCCACGTGAATGTACAGATCAGCATTGCCGAGAGCCAGCTCAATCAGCTTATAACCTTAAGAATTTAGAAAAAAACTTAACCAATCAACGCGAAGCTAGATGGATGAGAATACTTTAATATATGCCATCGCATTACGGTGAGATAGGCCTTAAGAAGGTCACATTATTTGGGTTTTTTTAAAGCCTAAACAAAGATTAACCTGATCCACCCGCAGGAATGATCTCAATTGGCGTAGGGCCAAACGCCTCTTGAACTTTATCACCCAAATGCGGGGCAGTGTGCGAGCGTGAGACGAGGACTCGGACGGGTGTTGTGGGGCGATTCACGGCGCCTGGCACATTTTGTAAGTTCACGGATAACTGCCCACCCATTGAAGTCCAATCTACAAAGTAACAGTTATGAGACAGTTTTACAGCAAAAAATGCACTTTAGGAAACGAAACTAGGCGCGTGGATAAGCAAAAAGCGAATTTTCGCAATCAACGGTGTTTAGGGTTTCGAAGTTAGTTTTCACATAGCAGTACGCAGGTGACTTTAAATAACGGCTACCCAAATATTTTAAGCAATCTCTACTACTGTCCGCAACAATACTTAAAAATAATAAGTATTGAAACCGATAAAATTAAATGCTTGTTAGAAGTAATTGAAGTTGATGGAAATAATTCTCGCATAGGTTGGAGCTTTGTAAAACAGAATACGATAGTAAAAAGCAATCAAAGTAACTACGTACACGTTGAGTTAAGAAAAGGGAAGTGAACAACCCCAAACACCGGCTCGCCGTGGATGGACGCGCACACCATGACCGAAACATACTGGAGTAGATTTTCTGAAAAGAACAAATCAACACAGCAAATTAACACAACACACTACGCACACGCAAAAGAACCGTGTGTGTCCACGTAAGGTACCGAAAATCAAGCATTAACTGCGTAATTACAACACAAACTGAAATTTGTACAGAGGAATACTCGAATTTGGACCATGAAGGTCCTTGACCAAAACAGCAAAGCCAGGAAGTGAGTTGTATCTGACAGGCAAATCACAAGTCCACAAATATATGTAGCAGAGGAAGCGTAAAAAAGTGCAAGAAGGTGAAAAGCAAAAAATCGAGGCGCGACGGACTGAGGGCGTCAATTTTGGGAGGATGTATCTCAGTTTGCATAGTCGTTCATCAGAAGAACAATGAAACTACTGATTTTAGACAAAAGGCCGTCCCTAGTGTTCGCAACAAGACGAACTCAAAGGCATAGGCATGATTTTAAACAGTGTAGGTCACTGTTCGTGGTTTTGAAGAAATTGCCTCACAGACGAGAAGTATAGATAATGTGCCCAACACTACGCAGACAATCGCTTCAGTGAAATGCACTGTGGGACTACAGCAGTTTGAGTGATCTTTGAAGAGCATTAACTACTTTTTGTTTGCTCTCCAAAACGCCTGATTTGATATCGAGGATTGGATAACGGGTACAAGCACAGCCAGAGACCAAATCAAACGAGGGATATTTAAACTAATGGTCTAGTACACAAGCCGCAATAAGTTCGCACCACACCGATCTCAATCTCTTCAGGCCACGAAGTAGCTCTGACTATGCACTTTCATTAATATTTATAAGGTATTTCAACAGGCACCTCGCCAATATTTCCACCGAAAATTGAGGTTACATTCATGTGAAAATGGGACCTATGTTTTTTTTTCACAAAGAGGCAAATGTTAACAGAATAGCTAGATGAAACAAACCCCAATGTTCATTACAAATTACAAATAAATAGAGAAAAAATTTGGTACCACTGGACGTTGTCACATCTGTAATGCAGTTACTGACTTACATTTTAAGTATTTGTTGTAAGATAGTGTAATTAGGGTTCGGTTAAATCTGCCTGTGCGCACGTGCTGCTTGAAGAAGTAAACTAAAGCACTCTTTTCAGTTAATACTAACGACAGTCCAATTAGATAAGGACCCTGCTAGGGTAATTCCCAACATTACTTAACTATGGCTCCGTAGAATAGACTGTTGGAGATGAAAAGTTACAAGAAAAAAACGGAGACACACCGCTGAATTCTTGCGTGGCGTCGAGTGGATCCACCCAGAAGGAGAGCTGTCGCAGGTGCAGGAACAGGTCCTGCTCTCGCAGCTGGGACAGCAGCACTCTGCGCCTCTCAGCGGCTTCGGTGTCGCTGAGCGAACTTGCCATGGCAACCGCCAGCGCCGAGTGGCTCGGCAGTTCGCGCTCCTCGGACCTGACTTGTGACTAAACCGTTAGGGGAAGTAGAAAAAAATGTGCGTAACTAGTGCGCAACAGGGCGCTTTGACTTCCCGAAAGAGATGTCAAGGCCTCAGCACCGAAGCAATGAAACTACTTATCTGCGTGAAACACATGAGTAGAAGAATGTAATTCGCAGTGCCTAATTAAGCTTCCTAACCCCGCAAATCCAACATCCGGCCATGATAACAAGTAAATGCTATTTTCGTTGAACATTTAGGAACAAAAGGAAGTCAAAATTAACTGTCGGGTCTTCCTGTTGCTGTTGTACTGGCCTACTACTTTCCTTGATTTATTATAAGACAACTCTTAGACAGTGATCGAGGCAAACAACTGGACATGCTTTGCCTCGAAAACTAAACCAGGATCTGCATACACATCAAAAACAGAAATTTAATAATAATAATAAAGTGGAACTAGCTAATCCCCTTTACCTCTAAACTAAAAAAGCTTATGGAATAAAGAGAATCCGACAAAGCAACAGGTCCATTGATTGGCACTGCATCGCTCTACTAGTTTTCTTGTAATTTTCAAATGATTTTATAGGCAAAGTGCATCAGTTTAAGTGAATAAAAAATGCAATTAACGAACATGTTATTTCGTGCAGTTTTGATGGAAAGAATAAAAGTAAATTTTTGAATAAACTGAGGGAATAGTAAAATTTGGAGGAAGTACATAAAGTGATACTGCGTTTTGCCTTCAAACGACTACATAAACGATTTGCCTTCGAAAATGTTCTCGATAAAATTGAAATTCAGGTTGATTGGAGGAGTGTGGATGAAAATCACTCTAGACAAGCGCAAAGCAGTCCCTGTCTGATCACAATGAGAGGTTATTTGCAACATTCGTAAACAGATTTGAGTCATGAATAGAAAATCCAACTTCCTTCTTTGGATTGATCTAACCCTGTTTTGGTGTGATTTTTTAGAGTACTTACAAAATGACAAACGTTCTAATGAGGCCTGCAAATAGCTGCATTCGCATCACTTTTCCCAACAAAGTACCTGTCGCACAATGGCAGAAATAATTTGCTTGGAAACTATAGGAGAAAAAACCCCCTTTTGTTGCGTCCTTTGTTTCTTATGCATAGTGCTGGATTTCTCCAGTCGACCTTACCGACGAATTGTCTAATATCTACGGGGATTCCGGATATAAATGCATTTTGTGCGCTTAATTATATTAGTCAAGTTCACACGCATTCTGTGCCTTTTTGTACCCAGTAGACCCCGCGAGAAGGCATTGATGCGGAGAATTGAATTTGATCAATAGGGTCGTTATGGTTGATTGCCTATAAACCACCTTAATGGGTGCTGCAGTCTTCTTGTCGGCGTAATTAGCCGTTGTAATGGCACTTTAGCCACGATTATCATTTCATGCGAATTCCTTCTGAAAATTGACAGTTTATAAACCAAATTTTCAAACAGATCAAGAATGACTTACAGAAATATCGGGTCGCAGCAATTTAAGACGCCGAACGATGCAATAACCAGAAACCAAATCCGCTTCGGTGACAACTTCCTGACTGGTTGCACCACTAGAAGTATCTAGTTTGAGGAGGGATGATTTAGTACGCGATTTCAGGTGACCCATCGACAGATTATGCATCTTTTTGATGGCGCTTCCAGCTTCCTCGACAGCAGAAACAACGGCCACGAAAATAGACCGGACGCTCACTACGTCTGGGTTAATTTCATAGTCGGCTCGGCTGGAAGGACTCGCGCCATTTGAGAGAAGAAAAAGTACGAATGTTACGGCACCGACAACGAGGACAAATATTCCCTTCTTTGTCAATGAAATCTGAACCATGGGATTCTGAAAAAGATATATGTACATAAAAAACCGATGAATCGGCTGACCAAATGGTAAGTTTTATGAAGACTCCTTAAGAAAGTACAGGCAATGCAACAGAAATTGTAGGACATTTTGGGTCAAATTACCTGTGAATTTTTAGGAGTTGTTTCTGGCCTTTTAGTAATACATAGTTTGACCAATGACTGTAAGTGCCTGCAACCTGCAAAAACCTACAGCACTGTCGTTGGTACGAACAACGATCCAACCTCTACCTTCCCATGACACTCATAAAAATCGCCTGATAATTTAATGATCAAAATAAACTAAGTGGAGATGAAGCAGCTCAGAATAAGTGGGATTGAAACTACTTTCTAACAGACCAAGACAGCACGACTCAAGATGTTTAATAACTCGATCTTGAAAAAAAAAACACCAATAGTTTAAAAGTATCGCAGACACCAAACATAAGTCCACTAATGCGATTATTAGGCGCACATTCCAATCATAGGTCAAAAGATTCATCCTTGTCATTCTTTTGTATTTATTGATACATTTTGCAGGGACGCATAATATTGCGTCGGCCTTCAAATCGCAAAAGCTGTCAGCAGAAACAACGATGTGTTACGATTGTGGGGTACCCAAGTCTCGAGACCAATACACCTAAATAAACAGGCCACATTTACTGAGATCATAGTCAGATTTCCGCTAATTATTTATTAAAATTTGTAACATTCTAAGAGATCTGCAAGACAATTCATTGACGCGATTGATATAAGGGTATATTTAGCTAAACGTCCACAAATGAACAAAGTACTGTTTATGTAGACATAAGAGCAAAAGGACTTAGCAACCACTATTGCCGACAAGAAAAGAAAATCTACTATTCATACAACTTAGAGTTTAGACACCGTAAATATTGAAACTCAGCCCCAGAGCGTTGATTTAGCATTAACTGACAGCAGAATGCATTTAAGAAGGCAATAGACAGGTCGGCCAATTTGAAGGCCAAACATTATAATGAGATAAACATTGGCAATTTACAGCTGCAAAATAATTGATCCAGAGGGGGCTAATACCAATCGAAAGTAAAAAAATTGGAAAAATACAGACAAGCTACTCAAAAGTAACCCAAAATTGTAAAAGTGTATAACACACCAGTTAGGTATCGGCAAAACTGGAGGAACGTTGACTTCCATTGGCTAGTTACATTCTCTCAAAAGTGCGAATAAAAATAAGGTGTTTTTTTTTGGTCGACTAAAACAATCAAATTGATGTGATTAAGCCGCACAACTTTTATTGCAAATATAAAGAAACTTTAAACCAAATACGGTAACATTTTTATACATCAAACATGATGCTTACGAAAATTCTTGAATAATTTTTCATAAACTTATAATAAACCGAATAATTGCTTGCATTGGCATTAATTTCAGTGTTTAATTAGTTACCAATTTGTAGGGGATCCAGCATTTTATTAGACGTCTCATTGCTTGTTAGGATTGTGTATGCAGTCATTTTAACCACGCCACTCCAATGGGTGAGTCAACCACGGAATCATACTGACAGCCCCATTTGCTTTCATCCACAAGGTCACGGTCATCCTTGACTTATATAAGTAGGTACATTTCTACAGATCACTGGGCCTTTGGCTAAGACGATAAAAGCTCTCTGCACGAGGTCTTGTCTGGTCTTGCATTGGCTTGGGAAGTTTGGTTCTTGTGTCATAGAAGGGATCTCCGTACCGGTTTTTTTGAGTCTATGTTTTCTTAGTTACACCAAACGTAACACAATCAAGAGCCATTTTGTATCATCAAATATGCATATTTATCCGTTTAGAACTTGTGATTATATAAAGTAGATAAAGTCCATAAACGAAATTCTTTGCGTATAATATGCGATTTGAAAATAAAATTTTCAAAAAACTTCAAGTGTAGATCAAATATTTGCAATTTCTACCATGCTGTTTGTAATATACAATTATATCAATACACCCGGAATAATAAATATATGCATTTTATGATAATCTAAAAAAATATTTTTCTTAGGCGTTAAAATATTAATGGTACACTTTGAGGGATCCAAAGTCTAAACGTAATTTTATATCTTTAGTGAGCAATTCATAAATTGTTGTGTAAATTACACCAATGTAAAAGATCCTAACAATCATGCGTTAATGCGATCAGGCACGCTCCCAATAATATTGGGAAAAAACATTTCTGCTTTGAACTCAAATGTTGTCATCTACATGCACTTATGTACCTCGTTTAATATATCAGTTCTTTGCGATTAAGTGGCTTTCGTAGTTCCATTATAATTTTTTGAGGGCCCCGGCATATTGTCGTGATCCGCGCCGGGATCACTGCGATAATCTACGCAAAGTACGTTACCCTGTGTTCCCGCGAAAATAAAGAAGACCGGAGTGGAGAAGCCATAACCGTCTACTAGACCACTCAACCAAGTTGTGTCGTGTACAATTACGGTTGAGTGGACATGTACAAAACGAAACACAGGCGTCTGTGAAGTCACATGACTAAAACGGGTGGTGGTGGGACATGCAGAGTGGTTAACGAACCAGTGGCCTCCCGTGACTGATGGGCAGGTTGTGAAAATGGGGGACGTGTGCTGGAAGCTGCGAGCACTAGGTTACTGGACATGATTCAACACGAATCCCTACATATTATTTCAAATAATGTGACGTCTGCGTTTTCGGCATTTTTTCTTATCCCGAGGTGTTACATAGCCTTCTAGTTTTCATGAGATTGTGCTTGACAGAAATTTACGGCTCGCATGGTATTTCTTGTCCTTCTTTTATTTAATAATTTCAGATGTCTTTACCTGACCTTATAGTGCTTCATCATAAACTTGACCAAAGTTCACTGACAAACACGCTTCACTGCAGTTTGCATTAGGCTTACTTACAATTCGCATTGAACTCTGTTTTCTATTTAATTTTGAAGAACATGTAGTGGACACCTCACACACTTGGCAAGAGTCTGAATCAGTTGTGAACTACAACTGACCACTTAAAACTGATAAGATCAGCATCCTTGCCTGTGCATTAAAGTATTTAAATGCCTTTTTTGGCCTTTTATAATTAGTCTAATACTGTAGATGTATTTCGAAACCAAGATGTTTTTGAATTGGTTCATTTTCAAAACTTTTGCATTTATACATCTAACTTGTAGTTTTTATCCGATCTCTCTTAAAACACCTTTTTTGACGACTCGCAACAGCTTGAAATAACAGGGAAATAACGGGCGACAGCAGATGCAACTATGTTCCCGAGTCTGTTTGGCAAAGTACTTCATTGCAAATACGTGATAACTGATTGTCAATGGCGCGTATCGAAATAAGGTTTGAGTTAGTGACACCAGTTTAAACTGCAAACAAGCTGTAGTGACTAGAGGATTTAGCACTACCTTACAACCCTCTAGTTAACAGCCCGTAGCTACCCGAGGATAGGAAAAAGGAGGCGACAGAGAACACGACCGTTTATTAGAGTTGAACCAGCCAAGTGGCTTTGTGTGCGTATGAGCACGCGTGCGTAACAGGCAAATGCTGACAAAAATAAATAACAAAAGAGGATGAGTCATCGCTACACACGGGCCTTCATGCACGCACACTCGCGCGGGGCGGCTGTCAGTCCATTACAAATATTCCCCGCCAAGTGTTAGCTGTGAAACAGTAAACACTCGACAATAGGTGGACTGAATCAGCAAAGCCGACAACGGGTAACAAGGGTAGGT